CCACGCATCAATTTTTTAAATGGCTATAACTCTGGTTCCTTTTCTGGTATCAAAATGATATTAACAGGGTCTTATAGGCAATTGATAAGGCTTTGATTTTTTATTATAAAATTAAATTGAAGTGACCTTGAAATGCATTTGACCTTGAATTAAAACAGAAAAATTTAAATAGCAAAAAACACGTCACCTTCGATTTGGGTAATTTTTACATATTATGTCCGTCACAATGTTCCCAACCATCTGTGAAAAAATTGGAGTGGGCCATTCATAACTTTCGCGGCAAACGCCGTTTTCATGCATCAACATCACGCAACCGCGCGTGACCTTGAAAGACAGAGTCAAGACATGCTTGCTTGTGTACACTTTCTGAAATGAATGATTGCTGATTAGTGATATCCCAAACTCTGCGAGAATGGAAATGCATAGTCATCGTAGTCAAGCAGTCACGTTCCATAGTAAAAGTGTCTCAGGCAAACGGTATTTTGCGGTGAATTTTGAGCCGTGTGGAAATGCATCATGAAGTAAATTCAACGAAAACATTATCACGCAACGATATCTTCACGTCTTTTGATCTTCACTATCCGAAAGAACATACATTTTTTAGTATGTATGGGGAATTTCTAGTTAATCCAATAATAAATATGGCAGTTAGAGGCCTGCTAAGAGTAACATGTCGCCGGCTGAGGCGGGCTCGGCCGATGCGGGAAACGCAGCAATCACAATTTTGTGTTTACACGTTCATATTTCAATTGTTTACCAACCGATTTTCAAAATTCTTTCACCATAAGATTGCCTGTACATTTCTTAGTCTTCTCACAAAATTTGACGCGAATCGAACGTAATCAGCGGTAGGGAGCGCGATGTAAAGACGGAACCGTTCCGTTCCGTCCCGGCACAGTCTACAATTCAGGCGGCGCGTAGCGGTCGGCGCCGGCTGCCGAGTCGCCGCGTCGCTGCGGGGACAGGATGTTCACTTTACACCGCTATTACTAGAACAGTTGTGAACCGATTTTCTTATTGCTTGCACGATGAGATGTCCAATTCAATTCTTGACAGGTAGCCATAATTAATTTCGCATTAATCTTATGAGATATTGGCGAAAAACAGGAGGGGTGGGCGAAATTCGCTCTTCCCCCTCCACTGCGCGTGCTAACATACGTTTGCATATGTGCAATTTTCTTCAAAACTTATGAATGGCCCACTCTAATTTTTTCACAGGTTGTTAAGAATATGGTAGGCAATAAAATATATGAAAATGAGCCAAATCGAAGGTGACGTGTTTTTTGCTATTTCAATATTTGTGCTTAAGAACAGAGTTAAGCAATTTTCAAGGTCATATATTTAAGTAGGTGCAATTCTAAACAAATGCTTAAGAAATTACCTAAACAGTAAGGTTTATTTCATTCAAATCAAACAAGTACAACCAAAGTTATGGTTGTTCAAAAATATAAATATGCAACATTTTGTAAAAATTTGATGCCCTATATTTAGAAGACCTGTGGTCAGAATGTGCAAAAAACATCAATGTAATGTCCGGGGCCACACAGGAACTCGCTCACAAATTTATACTGAAATCGCTGATGGTAAGGTGCAAAACAGCCGATTTTTGTTCGATTTGACGTGGAATGCCCCCGCTGTCACCCCAGCCGCGATGGACGGGCCACGTTGGCAGCCAAGGCTCGACAGTCACACCGCTGCCGCCGGCTTCCAAAGGTCGGTCGTGCCCGAACCGGCACCGTTCTGAGACGGGCTGGTGCCCAGAGCCACAGAACGGAGACGGTACCCCGAGCTAACGCCGGCTGAAGTCAAAAGTCAGCCAAGGTCATGGTGTCATCTGTTTAGATGAAGAATGACAAGAAGGCTTTGGGCTACTTCTCTCATTTTTATCTTGCATGCTGTGTCTTACACGTTCCTGGGTCTATATTTTTTTATGCTGATTTTAGTTGTAGAGTGGCAAAGGGGAAACGAAGATTTGCCACATATAAGTTGATTGTTCTCGGCATAAAGACCAGCCTGCGGGCATAAGGCTCTGAGCTGCAATGATGAATGCATATTGCGTAGCTCGTCCGATTACATTATAATCGGCAGCATGGAATCGAATTAGATGCGGAGGACAGTGCTCGTCGAAAACATTTTACCAGCGATATAGTGAAGTTCCGCCCAAAGCTGCATATCCTACCGAACCGGATCTTATCAGATGCGATAAGAAGTGGCGGGCTGTCTGTAGTGGTTTGTCATAGCTGGAGAGCTCCGATCCTGAGCTGCGCTCGTGCATTCAATCATGCAGTCCAAATTAGCGAGAAACGCCGAAAGAATTTGTTTGCTCAACGGACTGCATGCCAGCGCGCGACCTTATCGTTCCATTGGTAGTCATCGTTTGCCGACACTGTATACCGCTGAGCCAAACACAGCGGACTGGGCTGGGGTTCCTGAGGTGGACCGGGGCTGGCGAGGGGAGAGACAGCGGCATCTTGGGAAAACCAGCGAGGCTGCCACTGAGGACCGTAACTGCGGCAAGACTGAGGACCGAGCAGTTGTTAGCGGAACCGGGGGTGGGCCAGCCAGCTGTCAGTGATCCGTTCGACGGCACCCGATCGATCATGACCCGTCATACAGTCCCGCGGATCGCCGTCATGCCGTTTGAGGAACCTCGCACACCGTATGAAGAATCTCGTTATTTCGTGTGAAGAACTCCGTTATGCCATTTGAAGAGCTGCAGCATAACGTCTGCAGAACCTTGTTACACCGGCACAGTCACCCTGTCAAACTGATCCCGCCTCAGTATGCATATCGGAGGCTCTGTGACACTGCACCTCCCTCTGCATTAGCTTGGTAGTCCGGCCGACCGCGTCAACCGAGACTTGCTCAGAGGGAGGGAGGGGGGATTTCGGCGACATGACCGTGATGACGCGCTGACCGGCCAGACACTTGTCCGAGCAGCGGTGACCCGCTGGTTAACGCGACACCGGCGGGTGATTACCTAATGGATGGTGAGTTCAACAGGGAGTGGGATGGTCCCTGCTGTTGAATTTAGAGTCGAAAGCTGACACGGTGTTTGTTTCAACCCGCTGGCTGTTGACGTATAAATATCAGAGGTCATGAACACACGCACCAGTGCAGCGCGATATGAAAATGCGAGTCGCCACCGTATATTCCATCGGCTTATCGCCTGACCCTGGCCTGGCGCCGTTCAGTTTCTGTCCACGTGCACTGGCCGGCGACCAATTGGAGCCAGTGTCCACACTTCATAGGACGGCGCCGGTCGGCGGAGAGCAGCCCGTTTAATTCGCTCGGACGGCGCCCGGCCGCCGAATGGCCCGGTTAATGGGGCACACCGTGCCGCCCCGAGGATTCAGCGGCGCTCTGATAATCCGCCGGATCATCCCCGCTGGCTCTGCGGCAGCAGTTGGACCGGCGCCGGTTCCCCGAACGGACCCGATTGTGGTCGATATGTCCAATGAGAGCTCAGCGGTCCGGCTCCGGTACTTCAACTGGAGAGCTGATACGGACCGGACTCCAATACCGCCACAGCCGTGCTGAAAAGGGCGGAATTGTCTGCATTCCTGTCACGTGGCGAGTCGCCCTGACTGCGTTCGATTCGGGTGGGCGCTGATCGGTGCAGTGGCTTTCGAGGGGAGCAAGCTACACCTCGGGTTGAGGGGCCGGTTAGAGTGAAGCGAATTACACTCCGGAATGAGGGGCCGGTCCGAGTGCTCTTGACCGGCGTCGATCCATCAGTCCAGTGCTTTGAGGCGCCGCCGCCGAAGTTAGTCTGGGCAGCGTAATCCATCAAAGGCGTCTCCCGTTGATGTCCGGAACATTTAATATACGACATTATTGGCTCTGATCGCGGGTCAAGTCTATCGAAGCCGCTCGATCTAGGTGGCTGTCGGGGGACCGGAGAAGGAAGTGGGCCCTGTTGGTCTAATGGTCTCCCGGAGACAGACGGGGCTTCTGCAGAACTCCTCCTGAGCTGCAGCTCAAGTGAGTCGGACGGCGGCTGGGCCCGGGCTGGCTGCGGCTGGCTCGTGGAGCTGCACGGGTGCGATACGGGCGCGGTGCCTCCGGGTACAGGTGGCGTATCTCCACCGACAGACCAGAGAGCTATGTTGCAGGAGCTCGGTCCCCGGGTGCTGGTGGCGTTATCTTCTCAGGAAGTCTCAGGCCGGCTTTGGTGATTCAAGTCTCATCACAAGGCTTTGCTTGAGCCTTCATCGATTGATAATTATGCTTTTTGCAGCTTTGATATGTGACCATTAGGTATGGTGTGCCACGCGACGAGCGGCTTGCTGCTTGTTTTAATTTGAATGCATTTTTTTCTGAGAATCATTTCAGTTATTAAAACCTTCCTTTTTTATTACTTCCCCGATTTGATATTACCGTCTGATCAATGACCAGCTGATAAAAAGTACAATCTTCAAAATTCATTTTACAATAGCAAGACCGCGATACCATGAAACGCTGCTGTTCGTCCGAGCTACATGGCCACAATAAGGTCCATAACGGTGTGCCCCGGTGCCAGCGGCGCCGGACAATCCCAAGACTCAGTCCGCTCAGGCTCTGTTAAATCCCCGTAAGCCGGTGCACTGAAGACACCAAAGCCACCTACGGACCTGCGAAATGGAAGACAGCTTCGCGCGCTGTTCTGCTCAGAGAGGTACCACGTCCAAAATGTCACCCGAGAAAACGACACGGCCGCATTTGCAGTATTCTCTTTTACGACGCTGTTTTATGCGTAGGAATTTTGGTTTTATACAACCGCCTCAATTTTTAAAATAAACCTACGCCGCAGGTATATGGCCCTAACCACATGCAAAAGATTTAAACAATATCGATTGTCGTATTTTCGTTTTTTTTTTGTTTGTATATATTTATACTTATTTTTTACTTTTTATATTGTGTTTTTGTCGTATTTATCATCGAATGTCGATTGGAGCGAAATGTCAGCTTATAAAACAAAACCTCGAGCACTCGGAGAGCGGTCTCGTATCCCGACTGACCTTTCTCGCAGAAGACTCCCCTGAAGTCGAGGTTGCGGCACTCGCACGCGGCGCCCGTGTCAGTGCTGATGCAGATCCCGCCGTGCTGACACGGGTCGTGTTGGGCGCACGTGTCGACGCCGTTCCAGCGGACACCCTGCACGGACACGGGTGTGTCAGTGGGAGCGGGGCACACTCGGGTGGGTGTGTCGGTGGGGGCTGACGATCATCCAGTGAACAGATTACGAAATGTAGCTGTATTGGGAGGAGGGCGGGGCACTGCATGGAAAGGATGTGTCATTTACGAAATGTAGCTGTATTGGGAGGAGGGCGGGGCACAGTATGGAAAGGATGTGTCATTGGATAGCGGGGCGGGGCACGCAGTGCAAGTACGAGGGAAGATTGGGGACTCGTCCAAGTGGAGAAAAGGTTGAGCATTGTTAAGTAGCATTTGAGAGGAGCCACTAAAGCCTCAATGAGAGAACAAAGTCGCCTTCTATCTTAGTTGACTGTCTTACCTATATTATTATTCCTGCAGGGTGTTTGCCAGATACTGGTAGATAATCACGAAGACGAGTCTCCGGTTACCGCTTGGCTCTCAAATGTATAATCCGATAGATTTTGACTCGCCTTGCAGTGGCATGTCCATATATGTAAGTTCATCAGTGTATCTGAATTCTGATGAATAAGTTTATTTAAAATACATTTAAAATAAATGATACAACGATACCACCCAGCACCAAGTTTTTATGAGTTCCCGAAGAACGGGGCCATTCATTTGTTTTATTTTACAATTTTAATTTATAAATCCAATTGAAAGTCAGTTCCCTGAAATGTACTTGGATCCACTAAGGGAAGCACACAATCATGTCAGTTTCTCGGCAGACTACTTTGTACGGCACTGGCATGAGCTGGGAAGGTCGTTTTGGATGGTTTGCTGCGCACTGTCGAAGCTGGGCAACTTTGTCGTAAAATATAATGCATACTTGGCGTCGTTCTTGTCGAGAGAGGCCGAGTTACCCACCGCTCTTAACCCGCGCGGGGCTGGGGTCTCCAGCCGAACGCGCGGGGCTGGGGGGGGGGGGTAAATTTACCCCCCCCCCTGTTATCTCCCGAACTAATGGTCCGATTTGGAAAATTCAAACGCCAATCGAAAGATCTCATCACGAACAACTAAAAACATGTACTTAATTTTAACCCGGCAGTTGCTGGGGTATTTCGCCACCCACCGTTTGCTGGGGGGGGGGCGTTAAACGCCCCCAGCCGATAACTCGAGAACCAATAGGCGCAGCGAAACGCACGAGGCGGCAAACGAAAGAGCGCGACGAGACGCTTCAGATGAGTACTTTAAAGTTGAATTTTGAGGTCACAGGTCGGGTCAAGGTCAGGTCAAACACCTGAAATCGGGCTTTCAGTAACATGGACTTCAGGGCTTCGCAATGGGCGCCTCTCGTCATAAACGTTGTCAAAACGGTGCACAATCCATCATATAAGGCCTACAAGAGTGTCAGCTCCATGTAGGGGTCAGTCAAGCATAGGTCAGGGTCAAGGTCAGGTCAACCGGGTAGGCACATATCCCCGAAAATTAAAACTGATATTCGCAGCCTGCGACACATGTTTTATGGGTAATTTAGGGCGTAGAACCCGATGGTGACATTCATTTTATCGTATGTGTACGTGTTTGGCTCAAAAAGTTCAATTTAAGAAATGTATGTATCATGGTCGTGAAGTAGTCGCGAGAAATTGCCAAGATTCAGTTCAAGATTTTGGAAAATGCAGAACGATAATCAATAATCGAAGATAGCCATTTGATTGTCCATGGTATTGGCAGTCTAATGGCGTTTACGGCATTTCTGTATGTCTATTCTGTGATTTTATATGATTTTTTGAACATATGCCGTTTTTGGTCGAAAACTCAGAAATCATGACGTCACTAAAACCTCGATATCTCAAAAATTTTCCAACCGATTTTTTTGAAATTTTGTCACAATAAATCTCAATCAATTCCCTACAGGTACCCAAATTTTGGCGCGCCTGCGGCGCGCCGTTTTTATGCTATGGCCCGGCGAAAAAAGTGGGGGCGTTTAACGCCCCCCCCAGCAACTCGCGGTTAAGTTTGAGGTCAAGGTCAAGGTCAGGTCAAGGGTACAAATTGCAAGTTCCTACAGTATCGGCCTTGCACCGTAGTTGCCAAAGAATGGAGTCATGGACTGAGACTGATCGCCCAAAACGTGTGCTTAGGCTACCAAGACAATATTCGTTGCATACAATATCATTCAGAGGTCAAGGTCAAGGTCAGGTCAGGTCACCAAAAACAAAATATAGAAAAGGGCATGTGCGACACATGTTTTATGGGTCATTTTACTCATAGAATTCAATAGGCACACTCAATAAGTGATATGGACCACCTCTGGATGAATTTCAGGTCGAGGTCAGGTCAAGGTCAGGTCAAGTGAGGTCAAATTTTGAAGGTGGTTGTTAAGGTCTAAAAAGGTGTCTATCTGATGCAGTTTTTCACGGCGAATCGAATGGTGCTATTTTTGTTTCCGTACGAGGTCTACAACTTCCAAAAAAGTCATTTTTCAAAATTTTTGTGTGTCGTGACGTCATACAATTTTGAATAACTCCCACATTTTTGAACCGATTCTTCTAAAACTTGTTATGTAGGTGCAAATAGACCACTTCTCTGACATATATTCCGGTTTTTTCGATACACTCAAAATTTTGGATTTTATAGTTATTTTCCCAAAAAAGTCAGTTTTTTGAAAAAAATTGGGTCAAAATCCAAAATTTTCAAAAAACCGAGATAGCCATTTGATAGACAAAGTAGAATTACGTATATCCTTTTTTGTTACGTCTTGATTCCTTTAGAAATGAAGATGTTAGCGGCGTTTGAACTTTTGCCGTTTTTGAGGCGAAAATGGCGAACATGACGTCACTAAAACGTCAATTTCTCAAAAATTTTCCGACGGATTTCGCTCAAATTTTCAGGGAACGTGTCAAATTGATGTAAGAAAAGGTACTGAAAGTTTGGCGGCGCTGCGCGCCGCCGTTTTTGAGATATTGCAAAAATTCGCGAGGGGGGGGGGTAAAATTTACCCCCCAGCCCCGCGTGGGTTAATTGACGATGCACATAAAAGTTTTGGCAGTTTTCTTTGTAGGCTGTAAAGTTTCTGTGTAGGGAAAGTCCCTTCTGTACATTGTCGACTAGCGTCATGCCAAAAACCTCTGGCGTACTTGAGTTTGGGGATGCTTGCTGATCACGCGACCTTGGGAGGTCACGTAACCTGCACCATAAGCCATGTCTCCTTTCTTCCCACCCTATGCGATTCTTCTGTCGTCAGCACACTAATCCTACCGACCAGCAGGCGCCAAGGTGAACCCAATGACTGCTGTTTCACTGATCAGTGACCGATCGACAACATCGGAGATCCCAGGTCGACACAACATCAGTCGCCAGACGGCTTTGAACCCGGACAATAGCTGCTGACTGCGGCTGTCGATCTGCCTCAGAGCTGCCTCTGCGCCGTGTTTTGGAGGTAGTTCAGAGAGACTGTACGAAGCTAGACGTCTCACGTCGTCACGTCTGCTGCGCAGATGATTTGATGTTTGTCTATTGAAGCAAGACTGAAAGCATTGTCGGTTTTCAGTTGCATCGAATCGCTTGATCAGTCCCAGTGTGGGATAGAAGCCTCTGGGAAATACATTTAGGCATGCCTTCGTCCATGTGATGATGATGTTAGCATCAGTAACCGTGAAAGGTTACTTCTAGTCCTCGCAATGATGGTCCGAAATTGATGTCTCTTAATGACTAATTAATGCACCCCTCGATCACTCCCAGCCACCCATTAAACGCTCCTTGACCTAGAACTAGCCCATCTCCTCCGGCGGGCCAGTGTGTTTGTTTGTTGCCCGTACCCCGTGGCTCGCTCAGCGCGTCTGAACTGACGGCTGCACTGTCGGCGCACATCAGGGTGTCGCCGCTGAGCGGTTGAGGAGACACGCGGCCAAACAAAGGCCGCCGACCGAAGCGGCGCGCTCGGTCGGAGGTGTCACCTCTGAGGCCCGGGCCTGTCACCTCTGCGGCCGTGGGCATGTCACCTCTCCGGCCCGGCCCCGTCGCCTCCCCGGCCCGTGGCCAGACACCATTGTCGGCTGCTCCCGCCGCTAATGCCGCCTTCCGACGACGGCTCAGCGGGGGAGGGGGGGGGGGCGTACATACGTACCCATGGAGTGACGAGCCAACTGGGACCGAGGGACAAAGCCCAGTCACAGGGGAGCAACTGGCTGGCACACAGTCTCTGACGACTGGGAGATAGGGCGACACATTTATGATGACCATTATTATGTGCATCATGTAGGTTTCAATTTATGTTGCTATAATGTCTGTACTTTGCACAATGCACTGTGTAGTGTGCATGTGTGCAATTTATATCTGATGATGCAATTTAAATACGTTAAACACCCACTGTCGCGGTTTTCCGAGAAACTCGACGAAGCCCATCCAAGTAAAGATCAAACGGCGTGGCGCTGGCGCGGTGTCCGGCTGCGTCTCAGCCAATTAGAGCAATGTTGATACATGTTATGTGGCCGGGCGGTGTCGGGTTTTCTACACGTACGGACCGCCGTACGAGTGTGTCGTCTCGCCACTGTGCGTCTAGCATCCGACCGGTGTGTTGGGCACGTATTCTGTGACCGGTACCGGCAGTCGGGAGCCGATAGATGAGCTCGTTCGCAGCTCGACCCGCGGCCGTTCGTCGGTGAAGGGTCGCCACTAATCGTCGGCAGTGGCCATCGTCGGCAGCGACGAACAGGTGCCGCGGCGGCCGACGATCCTCGGTCAACACAGGCCCGTCGCGGTCACAGAAATTAGCGCCCCCAGGGTAATTGGAACAAGAAGTCTCAGCGCGCTTCTTGTGGCTCTACCAACACAGTTGAGTGTTTGATTTTCATTAGCTTCAAGCTTCAAGAAGAAAAGAAAAGTGGATGAACAATATGGCATGGAAACAAGTCATTAAGCGCCTCCAGTCGACCACACAGTCGCTGTCAGTCTCGTGATTAGCATCTATCAATATTCAGACACAGTTGTGAGGTTGGTGTGGTCACAAAGGAGTCGGCACGCTACCACTGCACCGGCCGCGTCCACAGAGACGCCGGCTTGTGTCTTTTGTCCGTGCCCCGTGGTTTGCAAGGTCAAAACAGCTTTTGTCAAAATATCAGAGAACGAATCCGATGAGGATTGTAAACGTGCTTAGGTCATTCAATGTCGCAAAAGTCATAGCAGCAAGTAATACCGGTCTCATTTCCCATTGACCATTGTTTTAGTATGGTAGGTACGGGTGGCGCACACTAAACGTTTTCCTGCATATTGTCCAATCCATCTTTTGCGTGCAAAAATAACCGCCTGTGCTGTCCTCCAAATCCCATATCGCTCCGTTATATTCGCTCAGCCGGGGCGGGTTTTATCCTCGGCACTGGGGCCGTCTGTAACGGAATAAGGCGTTATTGGTCCCATCTGTGCCGTGCGCTGGAATCGATGCTCAGTCGCGGCCCGGGGCCACTGGAAACATTAGGTGGAACGGCCTGCACCATCTCGGTCACGGCGGGCCCGAGAGAGGCAGAATGTGTACAGGGGAATGAGGAGAATGGTCTTAGGCATAGAGAAATGCACTGCTTATATGGAGCTTCAATATGGCATAATGGTCATTCAGCATTTATCTCAGTTGCTATCATCAGTCATAACTAGTTTTCATCAGTTACGTTAAACGCACACCACTCAATGGAATGCAAGGGTTAGATGCATTGATTTGACGCGTCTGAGTATGCTGTCCGCTTGCCTGCATGCCGGTACTTCTTAGCTCATCTTCTTGCATGTAATCTATCGTTGGAAAAAACCAATTACACACAAGTCGTATTCAATGAAACAGTTATCACTTAGGAACATGTTTGTATGTCATGTATCTACATATTTCCCTGCAGACAGCATTATCCAAGAAATATGGAAGATATAAATCATACATAGCTCACAATGCTTGGGTCCTGCGCACATGTATCCATCAAATGCTACCGATGCGCCTTGGCACGCGACTACACGATTCTATTTGTGCAGTTGCTCGCGGACCCGATAACCTATTGACCCACCGCCTGCCGTGATATCCAGTGTATGTCCCGTCAACGTCATCCTCCGAGCCCTTGATAGGCTTCACAGCTGCCCTTGACATTTTGGCCACGCCCTTTAACGGTTTACGATACACTACAGAAGATACCGTAAACTCTATACGCTGAGCTTATCGCTTGAGCATGAAACCTTCCTATCTCTCCATATTGCAAGCTAGATCCATTATTTTTTTGATATTCACTTGCATTTTCAATGCACATTACCCATGAAGACAAGGACAAAGGACTGCTACCGCAGGCCGTTGGACTTTGCCGTCCTGAACGCTTTCTTTTTGAAACGCATCTTTCGCCGCCACTACCTCATCTTCTGTGCCATCAACAATATCAGGGTACTGCGAGTGCTCTCTCACCTCTCTCAAATCCTGCGCCATCACCTACCTTGGAGTGTTTCATGTCCTGGCGGCGCTCGACGCCATCCTCGCCGCTGTAGACGAGGTTGCGCACCTCGCCGGCCAGTCGCGGCTCGAAGCGCGCGCTGGGCAGCGCCAGCTGGCTGACTCGGACCGACTGCGGCACGCCTCCCACATACACGTGCGACTGGTTAGCGGCGGCCACATCGAACGTGAACTGGTCGCCGCGCGAGAGCCGGTGCTCGGAGATGTGGTCGACGGTGAGGGTGGTTCGCGCGTGGTGCCGCGCCACCGTTACCCGGTGCCAGCGGCCGTCGTTCAGACCCCGGCCCAGTCCCAGGATCTCCGAGCCGCTGCCGAGGTTGTAGCGCAGTCTGAGAGAGCCCTCGACGAGCTTCACCTCAAAGAAGTCCACCCAGCCGCCGTCGTCCGTGTAGAGGAGCAGGCCGTTAGGCTGCGTGGTGCGGAACTCGAACTGCAGCGAGCCGTTGAGGCCGGGCTGCCATCGGGGGTATTGTGCGAACGAGTGTTCGGCGCCGTCCAGCACGATACCGAGCCCGAGGCCGAGCTGGAGGCCGACCAGGGCGGCCAGCAGCGGCCCGGCGAGCACCCCGGCCGCCATCACTGGCACGGCCGCATCGATTCCGGGCCGGCCGGCCGCGGGACAGTCCGGAGAGCGGCGGTCCGCTCAGCGGCCCCCCAGTCCGCCCTCCGCCGCGCCGCGGTCCGCCGCGACTCGACCTCTGCCGCCGCTCCTCCGCCTCCCTCGTCAGCACCTTCACCGGGACACAGAGCGACTCGCGCACTCGCCGACGTCCCGTCGCGCGCCCGCGGCACCCCTCCGTCGTCGTCGGCGCGCGCCCGGCCACTGGCGCCGCGTCGACTGCGTCGCCGCCGTCGGCAGCGCTCGGTCGATACGGCGTCGGCGCTCCGCACGGAAGAAACGCGCGCGCGGACTCGAAGCCCGAGCTCTGTTTCGGCCGCCGGAGATGGCTCGGCGCCGGGCCCGGGGGTCTCGGGCCTGCGCGCTGACACGGATGCGGCTCGCCGTTAAACAATCGATATAATTAATAACTGGGTTGAGTTCGCGACGGAGATTTCTCTGCGCGTCGGCTGTCGACGGCTATTTGCGAGAGCCTGTGGAGGGCCGAGCCGGCGGCGGCGGGACGACAGCAGAGCGTGCGGGTGACGTCCTGGACAGCCCAGAGAGGCGGACAGAGTGGTTGATGACGCGTTGCGCAGGGGGTGGGCTGGGAGTGGCTCCCCGCTCTGCCCGCTGCGACGTTTTCCGACTCACACTACAGCGGCGGCCGGCGGTGCCAACAACAGGCAGCGCCAGATTACGGCCGTAATGCCGAGCTCACCAACAAATAAGAAGGCTTAGCGCAGTCCACAGAAATGGCAGCAAAAAGCACACACAAATAAGACGGAATGAGAACGGGTGTACATTGCAGCGGATTAGCGCAATCCCTAGGAAATTTGGTTATTCATCAAGAAAATAAACCACCAATCTCACGTATGGAAAACATAAAAACCACTAAGGAAGAGAAGACAGTTAAACATTCGTTTTGTCAAGTCAGAACTTAAAGGATGGCTGGAAAGCGATATTTTCGGCCATTTAACCATCAAACATCTTTTTGTTTGGTTCTTGTGGGATGTGGCGCCATGAGCAGTTCAACAGCTCATGTAACTGTAGGTAATTCATAAAATGGGTTCCTACATCCGGACTCAGACTCGTGCTGTGGTGGCTCATAAACTGTAGGGAGTAGTAAAAACAGTCGAGTGAAGATCCGTCGAACGAATTCAGCCTTTCATCCCTTAATGATAGTCCTGCTCTATCAGCAGAACTCTAAGCACCGCCGTGAAAAAGTGTTTCTAGTAGACCATCATGCAGTTAGACGTTTCACACTGCGCCTTACTGTATGCGGTATGACGCAAATGCCTTGTGCATTATTTTGCGAGCTTACATAAATTGTCAAACAAAGACGGGTTATTTTTACACCTGGCACTCCCACCTGGGCGCTCTGACATTTTAACTGTGCTGATGCGCGCTATTCTTGAAGAGCTCTGACACCGCTCGTTGGGAACAGATGCGCTGGATAATGTCCCAGACGCTTTGCCTTGAACTTAAATTAGACGGAGTGTCTTATTTAGAGACTGTTTTATCGTCCAGTGACTATTTCGCGCTTCAAAGTCGGTCGCCTGTCAGTTTCAGTCAGTCATACCGTAGCATCGCACATTGTACGGCCGAAAAGTTAGGAGGACCTCATAGAACATATTTAAACATTCATTTTCTAAATTTGAACGACACAAGAACAACGACGCAACCGGGAGGGCTGCTGCTTTCAGAAGATGGACGGGACGTTGCATTTTGGGAAATGCTAGCACTCACAAAAATTGCATCTGTGATGCACTGATACTGATACAGGCAGAATATTCATATCACTGGTTCGTCACGTTGTGATAGGGAAAATTGCTCCTTGCATATGATTTCGTCGGACCACGGAAAAACGATAAAAGCCTCATGCCGTTATGCGTATGTGTCCTTTCCTCCCGGCTCATGCAGGTTCACGTTCATGGCGAGTTGAATGGTGAATATACCTCCCTCCCACCCCACCCCGTCGGCTTCCCCAGCGGTGATTGGTCGCGGACGATTGACCTACTCGACTCTTTGACCGCCGTCGGGACCGAGACATCGTCCCAGCAGCGACCGCACATGGTCTGATGGGCTCAGCGCGGCCCGCATATCCATTAAATGGTTATCCATTAAATGGTGAGCCCACGCCTGACGATGGACGGTAACGAATGTTGATTGGATTTTAAACAAATTTATTGAGGAAAAATCAGGATGATTGCTATGCTGCTTGAACAGGGCGCATCATTACAGGAATATTATTATCCACATCCGTATATCCAAAAATATTCATTGAATAGGGTGCAGTGTTACTGGAATATTATCCGGGTTTCTAGACGCAATTATAATTATATAATGCGAGGCAGGTAAACGTTGCATTTGATGATTCGGTTGATCCTCCCGCTAGTTCGACAGAACGATAACATCGCTTCCGGATATGCGATCATGGATAATGCTACATCTTTCAATCATTAAATTGTTGGTTTTCGAAAGACGTGACGAATCTGAGTTCCTAAAGGAAAATTTATGGTTGGCTCGGGTTATAAGAAGATCGAAACCGGTATTTACGGTGCCTCGTCAGTTAAACACATACAACAATATAGGCAGGCATGCCAGTGGCAGGCGAATGATGTGGTACTCAATGGATTATCGTTCCTGCATCAAACGACTACGAAGTATGTTAGATTGGCACTGGATGCTACTACGTTTTTCAGCGACATGGACGGACCGTGATATTAGCTAATAACCTGCCTTTTCTGGGCCGTCTGTGTCGGATTTTGTCATATAACGGACTCCACCTGACCGTCTCCATTCAGGTGAACTCTGCCGCGGTAATGCTCGCAGGTCCATGGGCATTCAGTCATAATCTGCGCTCGTTTGCGCGGACCATGACTGACAGGATCGACCCACGGGGCTATTGCGGGCCGCGCTGAGCCCATCATACCGTGTGCGGTCGCTGCTGGGACGATGTCTCGGTCCCGACGGCGGTCAAAGAGTCGAGTAGGTCAATCGTCCGCGACCAATCACCGCTGGGGAAGCCGACGGGGTGGGGAGGGGGAGGTATATTCACCATTCAACTCGCCATGAACGTGAACCTGCATGAGCCGGGAGGAAAGGACACATACGCATAACGGCATGATGCTTTTATCGTTTTTCCGTGGTCCGACGAAATCATATGCAAGGAGCAATTTTCCCTATCACAACGTGACGTCATTGTAGCTTATGTGTTGAGAACGAATCATATTTATATGATTCGTTCTCAACACATAAGCTAAACACATAATTCACATAAACACATAATTCGTAATCATATTTATGTTTGTCGCTCGCCGCTACATAACCCAGGAGCCGAGGAAGAAGGGCTCGTAAAACGTCTCCCCCTGCAGTGCGATAACCAAATCGTGCCAACACGGCGTGGTTTAACTGGACCCAATGACTTCTAACCATTCCCTTGCTGACAAACGAAGAAAAGTATCCACCGATCATGCTATTTCAGGCCTGGTTCGCCGATCATTATCAATGAAGAGTATATCATCTATATTTCAAAACAGATAGGTAAGCGCTTGTTGGGCGTAATTTGTCCCGTATTGGTCAGTCCGTTCAAATGCTGGCATTCTGGTTTTTTTCAGAAGCCAAGGTGAAACCAATGTCGGGAATCCTGCCGGCAAAACGCGCTGAATTTAGCGATTCGTGGGTGGTGATTTTAATTGAGAATGACGCTGAGTGTAATCTAAATGGAATCCTGGGGAGCTTGTGGCGGACGCTAATGGGTTGGAGAGAGAGAGAGAGAGAGAGAGAGAGAGAGAGAGAGAGAGAGAGAGAGAGAGAGAGAGAGAGAGAGAGAGAGAGAGAGAGAGGGAGAGAGAATGAGAGAGAGAGAGAGAGAGAGAAAAGAGAGAAATAAAGAGAGAAAGATAGCGGAGAAGCAGGGCGGAGAGACTGATTACTGGTGTATTTCGCAAAGCGACTTTTGTGGAGCAAACTTGCCATCCGCTGAGTGCAGCTGGTTTGAGGCGAAGAGCGGCGGCAGTCCTAAGCTGAAAGCGTCTCAGAAAACCGTTCATCGGCATTAATCGGGTGGCGGCCCTGAACAGACTTGTGGCAAATATAGAAAACCCAGATTTGCCAAGGACGTCCCAAGGATCAGATAGAGCTTGATGCACTTATATAAGTAGAATAGACGTGCACCTCACTTACTTTGGCGTATTGATGTTTTCTCAGAAAAATGCACGTATGAAGCGCTTTGTGTTTCTTTGCCTACTTCAGTGGATTGCAAAGATAAAAGCTGCGTGCACAGCATATTTGTTGATATTGGTTTGGTTTTTCCACAACATCTATTCAGGGATGCGTGAACTGTCTGCAGAGAGCTTGTATCCGCCACAACAGGGACGTAGTAAAATCAAGGGATGGATCTAACGGAGAGTTGCGAGTAAGATCAACCTATGCCCGTTCAAGCTTGGGCCAAAGGAGATAACCACCGTGGAGGGACGTCCCGATCAGCTGTACCACCCAGCTGCGGGAGGTCGATCCAGACTTATCACAGAGGGCCAGGGCCCAGTTCATAGAAAGGCCAGTCGGCAAGTGTCACTTTGCCAAAGTGCCACTTATCAAAGGGACACTTTTGGGAACGTTGGTGCAGGTGTGTAAGGGTAGCTATATGAAGCCATTTGTAGGGTCGCCCTTTCCAATAAGTGTCACTTAGCAGCAAAGGGACTCTATATGAACTGAACCCAGGCCTCAGCTGCCTAGGCGCCGACGGGGGAGGGGGCGAACCGGGGGGAGGGGGGGGGGTTGATCGCATAGGGTCAGTCCCCAGCTGTCCAACCGGCAAGGAGGCACTGCCCAGTACCCAGGTAACCACGGCTTTCCTTCGGCTGTGCCTCTCATCGGGGAGAGATCCCTGAAAATGCGACCGCTTAGGCCCGTCCCTTGCGGTACCTACCACCAGACAGGGAGGCTCTGCCCAGGGTGACCGCAGGGCGCGCTGTCGCTAATGGTCGACGGCACGACACGAGGCAGTCCGGGCGGGGTCGGTGCCGGCCAGGTCAGGGGGGGGGGGGTACAGGCGACCACCTCTGTCCGAACACGAGCCAGCCTGATGCCGACTGACAGGAGTCTGGTGCCGCCGCTGTGGGTAGTGGTCCGGTGAGCTACGGCAGCCCGACAGCCGGACAGCGCTGAGTGCCACTGAGCTGAGACAGCCTGACGGCAGGGCACTGTGCCGAGCTGTGGCAGCAGGAGGGTAAAGTGAATTCAGTGAGCTGCGGCAGTCTGACAGCAGGGACTTTGGTGGACTGCGATGGACCATCAGTACAGCTTTGGCGAGGCCTGTTTGGGTGATGGAGAAAGTGTCGTCGAATTAACAGTAGCGCCAGAGAGGACTCAATTCAGGAGAGTGATTAAGTTGATTGCTTCGGAATTGACCTCAAACGATCCCCGTCCCTATATGCATTATGCATGTAAATGTTGCGGTGCGTTTGTGCCTCATCGTAAGCATCTATATTCTATACTCATTTTCGAATTTTAGACAAGACTCCTCAGCTTACCCCCTTTCCTGTATGCTACTATCCATGCGTTTCCACGCAGCGTGTATGCATTTATGCGTATGTTTACATAGTTTGTGTGTCCTTCGGTAGCATCTGAGAGATGATTCACTGTGAATAGACCCGGCCCACCCCGCCCTGCGCTCCGACCGTATCGCCGCCGACGTTCAGATGTATTGCTAACACGTTACCGGCCCGGGCGGTCGATGTTTGGACTGGCTCCGCTAGTTTGTGCAACCATTAGTCACCTCAAACGCTAATTAATCTCGGCCTAATCAGACGCGACAATCCACGACGCTAGCAGCCGGATAGATTCGTCTGTGTGATGTCATGTTGATGTTGGAGACGGTCGAATTTATATCCAGTACATCTCGTTCAGTGTAATATATTTTGTTTACCACTTGGCGCTCCGCATGTGTACAAAATACAAGAGAACACCATCACGAGACTCGAAATCTCCGAGACTCTTGCATCACTTCAACTTAGCGTCAAGGAATAATGCCCATTACAATGGAGTAACAGTAGCTAAGCACACCACTAACTTCTTATCAGTCTTAAGCACGCCGTGCGCGTGCCACTATGCACAACCTTCATATTTTTAGAATGGTCCCGCAGCTAAAAATGAACTCGCTCGATGTCGCAAGCAGTGGCACACCATAAAATAGCACAATGCCGTCCTACAAACATCGCCTACTCACTGTATCTGCAACCACCCTGCACCCGGGTGCAGCACCGAATCTCCGATCTATCAGATTCACGTCCGGTGTTTCGCGGACGGCCGTTGGCGGGGCCGCACAGATGCGCCTTGACCTTGTCAACTTGTCTCTTCATTCACGACGCGTGGGCGGATCCAATCCGGTTCGCAGCACTTTTGCAGCATTATGTTAGGCCGTTGCCGCCTGTCGCGCCGCGCCACCGCGAGAGGGAATGCAGTGACAGAAATCCAACTGTCGGTATTCTGCCGTCGTCTGTGACATTGGGAGGCACCGGGCTCGACAAGGGACGTGACGACCAACTGAGTTCGGTATTTTTGGTCGTCTGTCGCATGCGCTGAAGGAAGGTTTTGCTTATCTGACGGTCCACGGTGTTTTTCCAACTCGGATGAGGTGAGAGTCAGTCGCGCTTTAGCTCATACCGGAGCGGCATTTGCATTGTTATACACATACTCAGCATACTTATGCTCAGCAGCTCGATTGGTTTAACGGTTAGACGACCCTTTCAATGTCAATCTCTGAAGCTCGCTGTCCGTCTGCCCATCTAGTGTCGGCGCGCGGACCGGGCCCGCCTCAGGTGGGACTCCTCGGCCACCACGGGGCCGCGACGCTCCTCACCCAGATCGGCGGCCCTTTGACCGGGCAACTCCGAGGAGCTGACCTCCTGCAGCTCGGAGGTCGCGCTCTGCGCCTGTTCGCTTCTCTCCACGGACTGGACGGCGTCCTTCGTGGCTCGCTCGGTCACCACTGGCGCCTGGGAAGTGGTGGTCGGGGCCTCAGAGGTTGAGGCCTCTGGAGTCATGACCTCTGGAGTCATGACCTCAGGAGTCATGACCTCAGGGGCTGGGGCCTCAGAGGCTGGGACCTCAGGAGCCGGGGCTTCAGCAGCCGGCTTGGTGTCGTCCATGGGCGCCACCGCCTCCACCTGTGCCGTCTCGACCTCGGCAGGCGGCTCGGGCGGCTGGGCACAGTCACAGGCCGGCCGGTCGTCGCGCGCCCACGAGAAGGCGCACGGCCGCGGCGGCGACAGCTTCTGGCCGCGCAGGTGCTCGAAGAAGCACGTCTGCTGCACGGAGAAGGCGTTCAGCACCTCGATGAACTTGTCGCCGCCGAAGGCGCTGTGCTCCTGCGCCAGCGCCGCCTCGGGTGTGCCGGGCGCCACGGTCGGGTAGAAGGTGTCGGGCTGGCAGACGGCGGTCAGGTCGGTCACGCACATGCAGCTAGTGAACGAGTCGAACCTCTGGCGGCGGAAGGCGCGGTACGGCAGCACGCCAAAGATCTGCGAGCACACTAGCCACCTTAACGGCGGAGACGGTAAGGTATGTTGACGGATCGGATAGGGACGCACGGCGAAGTGAGGGGAGAGAGGGGGAACAACGGGAGGGGGAGGGACGGCGGGAGGCGCATGGCCGCGGGGAGGCAGGGGCGAGAGGGAAGCGGAGAGGGACATGCCAGGCGCCAGTCGACAGAGGGCAGCGAGCGCGGCAAGACGTGCAGCAGTGATTTTTTTTTTCGCTCGTGGGTGTGACGCGCAGGCAAGGGAGCTATGGCGAGACGTTCAGTGTTGATCAGTGAAAGAGATGGGAGTCGGCGAGATCGACAGCGGGGGATTCGCACTCGGCGAAGGAGGTTGGAGGCTAGAGGACCGGCAGCAGGTGACCCAAGGGGAAGGGAGTCAAGAACAACAGGTAAGGGGCCATGAACGGCTTGTTTTTCTGTCTTCCGTTGCCCGCCACGAGGGACCGGGATCATGAATGGCGTCTGAACCGAGTGAAGGAGCGCAAGGAAATGCCTCAGGCGCTGACCGGGCTGACGTTAGGTGGTATCTGTTGAGGTGTCGTTTTTCTGCTGTGTTCAGTCAGGACGGGAGCTGACCTGAGTTTGGACCTCATTAATGTTCGAGGACCGATTGTGGTACTTACCTACTAATGTGGCGCCTGCAGGGGCGGTCAGTGGCGAGGTACATACGTATGTAAGTACCTCGCAAGCGCACAAGTCAGGCGCGTATCGCGGCTAGCGCGCCCTGTAGCACGGACGCAGCCTGTTTGCCTACAGTGAATAGACGCGGATCTATGGGCCAGCGGGCGTCGCCGGCGGCTAGCCCCATTCGGCGGAGACGAGGGGTGGAGGTCCGACAAACAGCCCGTCTTTTGGGTCAGCAGTGTCCGATGGCGGCGGTCGGGACGGCCGGTTCACAGCCGAGACCGGAGATGATGTTTAGTTAGGACGGCGGCGCAAGGCCGGGACAAACGGGCAGAGGGGCAGGGACAGGGAGCGAAGGAGCGGGATACCGTCTGGAGGGGAGGTGGGGGGGGGGGAGGGCAGGCAGTGACTCACCCGGAGGAGAGGGGGAATCACTGGGTTTGTGGTCTACTGACGTTTCACCGAGTGGGTGTCACACCGCAGGGTCGGGAGTGTCGGCGGTGTGGCCGGGAATGATCGGGCCGGAATGGCCGGGTGGTCGGCCGATGTGGCCGGGTGGTCGGCTGATGCAGCCGGGTGGTCGGCTGATGCAGCCGGGTGGTCGGCTGATGCAGCCGGGTGGTCGGCTGATAGAGCCGGGTGGTCGGCTGATGGAGCCGGGTGGTCGGCTGACGCAGCCGGGTGGTCGGCTGATGGAGCCGGGTGGTCGGCTGATGCAGCCGGGTGGTCGGCTGATAGAGCCGGGTGGTCGGCTGATAGAGCCGGGTGGTCGGCTGATGGAGCCGGGTGGTCGGCTGATGCAGCCGGGTGGTCGGCTGATAGAGCCGGGTGGTCGGCTGATGCAGCCGGGTGGTCGGCTGATAGAGCCGGGTGGTCGGCTGATGGAGCCGGGTGGTCGGCTGATGGAGCCGGGTGGTCGGCTGACGCAGCCGGGTGGTCGGCTGATGCAGCCGGGTGGTCGGCTGATGGAGCCGGGTGGTCGGCTGATGGAGCCGGGTGGTCGGCTGATGGAGCCGGGTGGTCGGCTGATAGAGCCGGGTGGTCGGCTGATGGAGCCGGGTGGTCGGCCGATGTGGCCGGTTGGTCGGCTGATGGAGCCGGGTGGTCGGCCGATGTGGCCGGTTGGTAGGAACGGATGATGGTATGACGGTTGGTATGGCGGTGGGCGAGGGGTAAGCGCCTAGCGGTACCGGCCGGCCGTGTCAGTGTAACAGCCCATCACCGATACATCAACCTGTCAGTCAGTGGGGTCCGCCCACACGGGGACTGCGCGACCAGGAGAGAGAGGGGTCTTATTCATGACAGACAGCGGGGCACCGCAGACGAGGCGACGGCCATCATCGTGGGTGGCGCGGCCTGCTGGACGCACCGCACACACCGCACGCAGCAGTGTGCGGTGCCCGTGAACACCCCTGTTCACAGACGAGAGAAGAGGAAGGACATGGGAGGTGAGTGAGCATAACTGGGGGTAGAGTGTGGTTGGGTGATTCGGCCGGTACGGCCGCTGGTGAGCCGGGAGCGGTCGGCTGGTGAGCCGGGAGCGGTCGGCTGGTAAGCCGGGAGTGGTCGGCTGGTGAGCCGGGAGCGGTCGGCTGGTAAGCCGGGAGTGGTCGGCTGGTAAGCCGGGAGTGGTCGGCTGGTGAGCCGGGAGTGGTCGGCTGGTAAGCCGGGAGTGGTCGGCTGGTAAGCCGGGAGTGGTCGGCTGGTAAGCCGGGAGTGGTCGGCTGGTGAGCCGGGAGTGGTCGGCTGGTAAGCCGGGAGTGGTCGCCTGGTGAGCCGGGAGCGGTCGGCTGGTAAGCCGGGAGTGGTCGGCTGGTAAGCCGGGAGTGGTCGGCTGGTGAGCCGGGAGTGGTCGGCTGGTGAGCCGGGAGTGGTCGGCTGGTAAGCCGGGAGTGGTCGGCTGGTGAGCCGGGAGTGGTCGGCTGGTAAGCCGGGAGTGGTCGGCTGGTAAGCCGGGAGTGGTCGGCTGGTAAGTCGGGAGTGGGCGGCTGGGGAGCCGGGAGTGGTCGGCTGGTGAGCCGGGAGTGGTCGGCTGGTGAGCCGGGAGTGGTTGGCTGGTGAGCCGGGAGCGGTCGGCTGGTGAGCCGGGAGTGGTCGGCTGGTGAGCCGGGAGCGGTCGGCTGGTTAGCCGGGAACTTTTACGGTCGGGTCATGACCTTGACCAGCAGTCAAATTTTCAAGTTAACATTTAGGAGTTAACTTATGGTCTGTCGACTCGTCTCGACGAGAGGAGTACGATGCTTGAAAAGTAATGTCGTGGCTCTACTGAGTCAAGGTGGTTGAAAAAAAAAACATTTTCTGTAAACCAGTTATTTCGTTGTTTTTTTTTTTTGCCCTCTAGAGGCCTGACCGTGGGCATGGGGGTCAAATCTGAGGACGCAATCCGGAAAGAGGGTTAAAAGTGCTATCGAATGCGCTCTTCCGCGGCGCTGTGGCTTTGTTGGTTCTCGAGTTATGTGCCGCTGTTACCATTTTTTTCCAAGTGTTGAACAACACGGAGGTTACAGCGCGCTCCTGAAAAACCGCGACGTCACCGCGAATAGGTGCGCACGGAGGAGGAACGTGCAGTTTCTCGTTCCGGGTAGTTAGCGGGACGCGACCGGCTGGACGCGGCGCGACCCAGTTGCGTGCCTGGGGACGCCGTCTAGCCGACGCTGATTTATGCGTCTGAGGAGGGTGCAGTGTTACGGTATGTGGTGGCGGCGCGAGTCGCACGAGAGGGCGAGCAGTGCGATGGGCAGCTGCCGCCGCCTGGCAGAACCCGCGGCGCGGTCCAGCAGAATGGCCCTCAGCGGGGCGGCTCGGTTGCCCCCCCCCCCCCCCAGCGTTTCCACCCGCGCCGCTACGTGACAGGACAATGGACAGTGACCGCGGCCGAGACACGCCCCGGCGAGGCGGTCGCTCGGGTAGGGAACTGACGGTCGTCGCGCAGGTGTCTCGGGGTCACACTCCCTCCCCCCGACCCCCTGGGGAGCCGATTTGGGAGGAGGCGGGGGAGACTGGCCGATACGTCGGCGCACCCTCTTCCGAAGAGGAAAGGAAGGGATGGGACAAGGGGCGCTGATCGCCGGGACGAGGCAAGAGGGGCAGAATAAGCTACAGCGGGGAGGGATTGGGGACTGCAGGGGCCGTGCGACGCTTGCAGGGAGTATGTGAGCAAACGGCAGGAAAGCGGCCGTAGTCGTTTCGGGGCTTGCGAGTTGTTGTCTCGCGGCCGATTTCATATCTTGGTAATATCTCACATCACGTGGTATTTTACGCCCCAAGTAACAACACTCTCGATGCCTAATATGCCCCAACTGTATGTCTGCGTGCTTGGGTTGCAGTTCATTTTATCACTATGGAAATCATAGCTAGTAACAGAATACGATAATACCATTCAGCTTTCAAAAGAGAATAGGCGGAAAACGGTCAGATATTTTTTTTTTTAGCCACCTTTATGGAATCGACCGCTGATGGTAGCTTACTGCGAAGACGAAATGTATTCCGTGCAAACGCGTTCCGGGCATCTTCGGTCTGCACAGGAATGTAGCTTCGGAAGTACGACGTCACGGTAAAATATTTTGCCGCAGAACGGCATGAGAGCAGTAATCGCCACGAAACTCGAATGCGCAGATCGCTCACGAGGGCGCAATACAACACATACAATATAGTGCATACAATGCATGACAACCTAACCGGCCCGGGAGGACTGCTAGAGCTGTGCGAGGCTTCTAAGGAGCCTGTCAGGAGCGGGCAGCTGTGGCCTGACCGGGACCGGTGAGGGTCTGTCGGGGGTTATGTGGTCTGACCGGGATCATGACGGCTGGACAGGAGCCGTGGGAGACTGCTGGAGCCGTGCGGGGCTTATAAGGAGCCTGCCAGCGGTGGCCTTATCGGGGTATGTGAGGATCTGTCGGGGTTTAGGTGGTCCGTCTGAGACCAGAACGGCTTGACCAGTGCCGTGGGAAACTTCTGGGGCTGCGAGGGGCTTGTAAGGAGCCTGTCAGCGGGCAGCGGTGGCCTGATCGGGGCCTGTGATGGTCTGTCGGGGGCTAGGTGGCCTGACTGAGACCAGGACGGCATGACCGGTGCCGTGGGAAATGCTGGGGCTGCGCGGGGCTTGTAAAGAGCTTGTGAGCAGCGGGCAGATGTGGCATGACCGGGGCCGGTGAGGGTCTGTCGGGGGTTATGTGGCCTGACTGAGACCTTGCTGGCATGACCGGTGCCGTGGGAAATGCTGGGGCTGCGCGGGGCTTGTAAAGAGCCTGTGAGCAGCGGGCAGCTGTGGCCTGATCGGGGCCGGTGAGGGTCTGTCGGGGGTTATGTGGTCTGACTGAGACTAGAACGGCTGGCCTGGCGCCGTGGGAAACTGCTGAGGCTGTGCGGGGCTTGTAAAGAGCCTGCCAGCGGTGGCCTGATCGGGGCATGTGAGGGTCTGTCGGGGTTTAGGTGGTCCGACTGAGACCAGAACGGCTTGACCGGTGCCGTGGAAAACTGCTGGGGCTGCGCGGGGCTTGTAAGGAGCCTGTCAGCGGGCAGCGGTGGCCTGATCGGGGCCTGTGATGGTCTGTCGGGGGTTATGTGGTCTGACCGGGAACACGACGGCTTGACCGGAGCCGTGGAAGACTGCTAGAGCTGTGCGGGGCTTGTAAGGAGCCTGTCAGGAGCGGGCAGCTGTGGCCTGACCGGGGCCTGTGAGGGTCTGTCGGGGGTTATGTGGTCTGACCGGGACCACGACGGCTTGACCGGAGCCGTGGAAGACTGCTGAGGCTGCGCGGAGCTTGTAAGGAGCCTGCCAGGAGCGGGCAGCTGTGGCCTGACCGGGGCCTGTGAGGGTCTGTCGGGGGTCGAGACGTCGATGCTCTGTGTCACCTCGCCTGCGGACAAAGAAAGATAAGTCGTGTCAGATCAGGTGCGGGAAGAACAGGGGCGCGGGAACTTCTTTCAGACTGGGGGGTGGGGGGCACACCATAATGTAGATCAACCTAGGCTACCCTCAAATCTATAGTTTTCTCACCGGTTTTAGGCCACTTATTATTTACCCCTTGGCTTTTTCAACGAAAAAGGAAGCATTTACAAACAAGTGCGGTATTCCGTCTCAAAATTATGGGGGCACCGCTCCCACGGCCCCAGAGTTAAGGGGGCAAGCTGCCTTAACTGCCCCCCCCCCCCCCCGGTTTCCGCGCCTATGGAGAATGAAAAAAGTCCACAGTTCGCGGACATCAGGAGGCTCACGGCACTGACGGGACACATACAATAACGTTTGTGATTGATACGGTATTGTAGATCCGCTATATTTCAGTTGTCGTAGAGGATGAGGGGACTTCAAAGTGTTGGGAAATTACGAGCTAACCACGAATCCTACGAACAATATACTGATACGCTTATTGTTGGTTCTCATTGAACATTATGCATGTATTATTGGGACTTCTGAAACAATACACAATGAAAATATGTAGGTCATCTAATGTTCCGTTTCATTGTGTAGTAGTTACCTTTACATCGTTTTTATATCAATATAACATCGTGTTACGCGCTGACTCATCCATATTCAACTTTATGCGTGAATCTGTTTCTTATAAGAAAAACACGTCAGAACATTATAGAGAAACAAGGACATATAACGCACCTATACTGCTTACTACAGTACTCTACTTCCCTAGAAATATGAGAAATCAACAATCAATTAGATTAGTGAGTCATCACATTTTATATCCGGACGAATAGTCATCATCCAAGTGTTATCAGGACTGGGACATCCGCATTGAGCGGGTGCTTAGTTTTCCGTGCCTCCTACACCACTAAAAAAAATCATCGTATAAACAAAGCATTGGTTACAAGGAGCGGATTCATTATCATAACTACATTATTTTAGTGAAAGCAAACGATTTGTTTCCCCGAATCTGTTGTATTGTGGCGTCTAGTCTTTGCAACACGGTTCGTGCACGGTAGGCGGCTATTCGGTTATCAATGCGAACATCACAGTGGTTTGTGCCGACCCTGCGCGGGAGCGAATTTCTGCTTTGTTTATGCGAAACGATGATGCTTGATTATTGTGGGGCTTATCTTGTATCCCTTATGCTGCATTGTTTTCGTCGAATCATTTGTCACTGAAGAAGGAAGAATAAGAATCAGTGTATCATCTGCAGCGGCTTGCAAGTGTAAACCAGATGCGTCGGTAGTTAGGGGCCAAAACTGAACATCGAGAAATATATCCAGCCACAAACAACTGCTTTGCAGACGCAGATTACATCTGACTGGAAACGCAACACTGCTCCTTTGTGACAGGACACGTCAGTAATAGCTGAGCCTGCCCTCTGTTGAATCCAGCCTCTGTCGTCGGCTCGACCCCACCCCATCCCACTCACTCCCACCCCCTCCCACGACTGTCTGCAGGTCGCCCACACTCCCATGAATCGACAGACTAACATCCCTGCCAGACGCCGACCCGTTATCGACAAATATATCCGCCAGAAAACTGCCGTGTCGGGTCCGGGAAAGGTGGCGGAGGTGCAGCGGCGACTCAGGCAGGAGTGTCGTGTCGGACGATCACCGGCTACCGGGGCTGGTGACCGACGGGACGCGGCCAGCCCGGTACTCGGAAGGATGGACAGACCACCGAGCGGCACCTCTGCCCTACCTGTGCGACACACCTCGGCCGTTACGACCACCGCCGCAGCCGCCGCAAAACAACGCTCCCTTTGCGCAACCGACTGGACTTTTGGACGGAAAACAGGGAGGGCGTCACGCGATTAGGAAGCTGTTCTGCGAGTTCCAGCGGGGGAGGAGCGGTCTCGAGGATTTGTGTGCTGCATCCATCTTCGTCTCTGAGATATCTGGAATGGGAGGGCTATTTATACTGGTATGGAGGTGGTTCCTACTTTCTGATGTTTCCAGAGCCGAAGACTCGAACGTTCAGTGATAGTGAATCCAGTTGTGTGCTCTTTCCTGTGTTATGGTACCACAGTTTTCCTTCATTTTACACCGTGATTGTGGACTCATCTATCGCCGATGGCGCTAGAGACAGCAGTGACGTCAGCACAACGTGACGTCATTTCTGACTCAAACGGCATTGGCTGCTCCTGTCAGTTCGTCGACCCTTCACACCCAAACAATATTGCATAGAGGCGCTTCGTGCAGCTGATGAATGTTGAGACGAAAGTGGCCACTCTCGATGCCGCCACGGCATCCAACTCAGCATCCTCCCGCAATATCGAATAAGCCAGCTGTCAGCCAGTGGGCTGATGACGTCACAGAGCAGACGCTGAGATTGCTGACGTCACACGCCATTTGCCGGCAGCGTCTCAGGCAGCTGATGCCGGAGCGCAGATGACGTCCGAAAGGAGACAATAGATTGAACGGCAGACGGCCGAGGGCAGAGCTCGGTTAGTGACTGGTAAATGCTGTTGGGTTTCAGTGGTTACCAGGCTACGGCGGTGGAGGATCGGCTCCCCAAGAGCAGCAACTCCGATTCGGGAAAGTAATGCGGCATGGTCACGCAGGCACAACGGACGGTAATTGAAAACAATGGTTGGCGCGCGCGCTGGTTCGGGGTGTGGGTCAGCTTATAACCTTCACCGAGTAACCGAGCGAACCCGAGCCGAACGGGACACCGGGAGATGGATTAGGTTTGGGCAGGAATTACGTACATGCATTTTAGATAATGTGGCACGATTAGGAGCATTACATGGATTGCCTACACTTCGGGGAATACAAGGGTAGGCTGGCTATCAGTTAACTCAGAGTGATCACGCATACATGCACAATGTGCGCCGCCGTTTTTGGCACATCTGTTCATGCCTCTTTTACACACATGTTGTGAAAATTTTAGACCCAGGTCGCTCAAGGTCAGGTCACCAGGTCACGTCAAGTGACCTCACCAGAAAGTTCGGTGTATAGCTCGACATAGCTATACACCGACTGAACGATCGCCTTGAAACTTCCAGCCATTGATAAGAGTAACAGTATGTATAAGATGCATAGCTCGGAATATTTATATCGGTGACCTAAGGTAAGGTTATTTTTGTGCCCTGTCCATTTTGTCAATGTGAGAAAATTGAAAGGCGTCTCTTTTGGACGAACGCCATTCTAGACACTCTCAAACATCGGGATACAGGTAAACTTGACACTGAATAGGAAAATTGCACCTGTGATCCCTGCATATGTCCCCGAGGTCATATCCTGTCATGAAAGGTTCCCAGCAGTTTTTTGCAATACCTTTAAACAGAGCCGTGCTAGAGTGATGAAAGAACTTTTGTGTGTTGATGTCGACGATACGGATGGACTGATATGCAACATGACCTTTTCCGGTGAGGTCAAGACTTGACCTTGGGTCAACTTTAAGAAATGACCCTTCAATGTCGAATTATAGTTCATTTATTCGACGCGTCTCGACGAGAGGAAGACGATGCTGGCAAAATAAATGTTGTGCCCTTCTTGAATCAAAGTTTTTTTTTAAATATATTTTTGTTAACCGGCTATTTTCGAGTTTATGCCGTCTGGAGGCTTAACCGTTGGTCCTAGGTCAAATTGGAGAGCTTTGTTCCAGAAAAAGCGTTAAGAGGGCTATCGAACGCGCTTTTCCACGGCGCTGTAGCTCAAACGGTTCCCGAGTTATGTGCCGGCTTTAGGGAAGATGTTCAAATATGCAACATTTTACCTTGACCTCTGGTGACCTGACCTTTGAACTGACCGAAAAATTACCCGAGTATTTTCGTCCTGATTTTGGACGCTCCCTCGAATGCCGCTTACCTCGTGTCGCTAGTGCTACGTAGCCCAGGAGCAGAGTTAGAAAAGGGAGTGTTCAAACATCCCCCGGCCCGGCGCGGTTAGCGCCGAGCACGTTCCCGACGCGGGTTAAATTGTAAGCAAGAATCGTGGTGCATATCTTGGAGGTCTTACTGGGGTCAGAGTCATTGGGATGGTGGGTACTAGCTGGACAGTGGACATTTCCTGGTGTGGCACGATATCGCCACGTCGGCCATGGAGGCTCGAACTGAACATTTTATATTTATTTATTCAGAGCTGGACGCGAACTGGTTCCACTTTTATTCACCAGTTTGTCCCCGGTGTGAGCATTGCGGAAGCTACCTTTGCTTGTTAGCTTTTGCTTTGCTTTACCTTTGCTTTGCTTGCGGAAGCTACTTTTGCGGAAGCTATCGTTGCTACTGACTGCAAACTGCTAACTGATCTTTGGAAGCTGATGGTGTGTATCTGGGGATGGCTCAAGAAGAGTTTTGGTTAGTTAGCCCTAACACCCGCTGGCTCGGGTCCGTCCGTCTCACGGTACCTATATAGCTAGGACGGAGGTGCAACAATTTCATGGTTGCATGAATGCATCTCTAAGCACCCAGGCACGAACCACGGTCACACGTTGACGGAGAGATTACCGAGCTTTTTCTGACATGAAAATAATTCTGAGATAACCAGCTACATCGAAAATTTGGCCGACGGCCGACGCAGAAAACGACCGATCCAGCGCGCTGAAGTCGTAGGCTTGTTTTCTGATAGCTCTGGAAGTGAATTTAATCTTAACGACATATACAATAAACATATTGTGACCTCATGAATAAAACAGTGCATGTGATGTTATTAACGCTCTAAATGTTTACTCTTTACTGGGTATATTAAAAGCGTTTAAAGTCTATATCAGGATTATTTGTCGTGTGTCAATGTGGAGTGTTGCGAGAAAATAATCAAACGTGAAACGATCTTCTTACATAACCATTCAAACATAACACCTAAACGATGCCGAAGCGGTTCGAATCGGGTCGTACCGGTCGCTTCAGGGATTCATTACGAAACTCGTCATTTTTTCATCACTGTAGGCATTTTTTTATTTGCTTTTGTTAGTATGCTGCTCGCACGCTGCCATACCGGTGGCAATTTGCGTCTCTATTTCATGTTGCAGAAGTTTTCTCAGAGAGCTGAGTGACGCCAGCGAATGGCATGCACAATGTCATCAGTAGTCACGGGCCTTGGACACGACCTACGACGGCCACATCACCCGTTTGCACAATGGTAGCGTAAGGAAAACCGAGATGGCCGGTTCTTTCTCAGCGCTTTGATGATTCATGATTGCGATGTCGCTCTTTTGGCCTTGGGTAATACTTGGGTGGGGAGAATTGAATAGACGAAAGGTGGTGTACTGTATGCACACATATGTTTTGCATTTTAATCATGAACTGCATTTCTCATCAGCTCTATCGTCCTCCGGCCTCTGAATACGTCACATGAGTGAGCCCTTTCTTCACTTTCGCATTCCTCCGAGACTCTTTGTTAGTAAGTTACTTGTAAAAATAGCAGGGGCAGGAAAATGACGAACGTTTATGCACCCATGGGTGAAGGTCACCAGGATGTCTGGGGACAATGGCTCCCGACAACGGTCACTCTGAGTGACTTGAGATCGTACCTCGCCGAAAACAGGTTTTTGCTTGCCACTACAATAAACAATTTAGGAAAATGCAGCGATTACTTGAAACACGTAAAATGTCAAGTTCCCTTGTTGAACTGTCTCAATATGCAGCATGTAAACGTGAATATTTAAATTCTGTCCTTTGTGCTAACAAACGGCTGAACGTGAGTCTAAATGTGCGAAAATTGGCGGTTTTCGGACGGCCCTGCTTTCCCTGCGGCCTGCGTGCCACCTCAGAGCTCACCCGTGGCCTACTAACAGCCCCCAGTTCGAGCTGAATGCAATATCTGGCCAGCAGTTATTCACCGCGGCATTTATAGCTCCATACCTCCCTGCAATCGAGCGGGCCATTCGCTGGGAGCTCGGGGGATTCGTTTTACCCGCGGCGCTGCCGAGATGCCGGGTGCCAATGGCGGTATTGACAACATAAGCGAGACTCACATATTGACGTCTTTTTGAGTGGTGATTGCCTTATGTAACAGGTATCGGTAAAAGAAAATGAGCTAGCATTGATGCATCTAGGACACAATAGGAGCCTATACTGGGTCTTATGTCCTTAAATCTACATACCTAGAAGACGCAAATTGCTTTCTCGTTATGTGATATTCATAACAGCAACATTGTATCGCAATGATACTAGCATACGGAAATAATAGCTCAGTTTTGATTTATTGAGACACAATAACAAGAATCTGGGAAATCTGCAAGATATAATGTTGTTTACGCAATACGCATTGTTCCCGTGATGCCTAACTATACCTACACCACGTTATTGCTAGAGGACAATTATGTCTGATATCCTGAAAATTTACGGACTTACATTGACAATTATGGTCATTATTTAGGCGTCGATGGTGTTTGATTGAAATATAATGGGAAAAGGGAGTCGCTCAGCGTCTTTCAGTGACTAAACTATGCGAAAACGTCCTTTGTGATGTAGGTACAAATAATACCATAGTGCAACTTCCAAATTACAACTCAGCTCCAAGCATAATTTCCAGGATCTCAATGCTGAACTTTCTGTACAATTCATTTCCTACGCTTTCAATCTGGTACCGAGCTATTCTTGAGCCCAACAATAAATGATGGTAATGAAAACGGCCATTGTTTCTGAACCATCCACACAATGAGAGCTTCTGTGCTGCTAAATGGCACAATGGACCCGGCGAGCTCCTTGATACAGTCATCTGCAAGCGCAATTTTCCAAGCACACCAGCCATATTTCAGCGCTCCTAAATATACGGGGTGGGTATAACGGTTATTGAACTGTCATTGCCAGCTGCGACCAGCCGCTCTCGGGCTATCGGAATATTCTGCCGGCGCCCAATAACGGAGACGGCGGGAGTGGGCCGGCCGTCAGCGTATAGTGTATACGGACGGCATGCAATGTGTACGGACAGGCTGGGGCCGGCTGTCAGCGTATCCTTGGTGCATACGGACGGCGGGATGGGACCGGCCAACTGTTTGCTTTCGGTTGATCGAAGGACAGCGCAACTTGATTTTTCTGTGGTGATGTAGTTCATCAGGTGTTGGAAATTCAATCATTTTTGTTGATGACTATCAGTCGCGTCAAGCTCTGTTGTAGTGACATCAATGCCTGATACCTCAGTATCTAAGTCTATCCTCATAAAAGAGAGGGGTGCTTAGAGTGGCATGACGTTCTCACTCGGTTTAAGTGGTAGGTACTTTATTTCTCATCAGACTATGCATGTCACGAAGAGATGCGAATCCGTTGACCGTTATCAGTTTCTCGTGACAGCTGTGGTATGCAAACATGACGATATTTAGTGACATCTGCCACATGAGTGTGACGGATAGATTTCAGCGTGTCCTCTGAGGCAACTCTTATCATGACTGCTCTTTATCACATGGGACCTGATCTTCTTGGAAACTGAAGGCTCCAAAACACGCATTTACTTTCTCCTGGAGTCGTAGATCACGTTTCACTTTCAACCCGAGCCGCACATAGTGCGCGATGTTGCGCTCAAAGGCGTGTCGCGTCGCACATGAAAGGGATAAACGATTATCCTCCTCGGAGATAAACGATATGGGCATGTAATTATCTAATAAGGCATTGCAGTTCTCTCGAGGCCTGAAGTCGTCAATTCTGGCTCGGTTTGCTATCATTGGAAAAAGAAAAGGAATTTTTAACTTTATCGAAGTGGAGGATGAATGATAAACTACTTGTTCAAATGCTGCTTCGTACATGCCTGTTGCAGACTTCATTCGGTTCTTTTGCGGCAGCCAGTTAGCGAATGTGGTAAGCTATCTCTAGCGTTTGAGTAAATGGAGGACCGCACCAACCCACCTTGGTGTGGTTGTTTAAGGGGCTTTCACACTGAGAGGTATGCTAGACACGCGTGTTTGGCGCGTGCCGTCAGCGGCTCACCTGCGGGTGGCACAGTTGCTCTCAGCAGCACCTCGGGCGCCGCGATCTGTTTCCTCTGCGCGATGTTGGTCCTCTCGGCCGGCGAGGCGGGGGCGGGGGCGGGGGCGGCCAGCGGCAGCAGCAGGGCCGCCAGCAGACAGTGGGCGCGCAGTGCCATCGTGCAGGGCTCAGAGGTGGACTGCGAGCGCCGCTGAGTTCGGGGGCCGACTGAGCGCGGTGTGCCGGCCGGTCCAGCGGCACCCCGCTCAGGTGGGCAGGTGGCGCCGTGCCGCGGAACGGGCCGACCCGACACCCTGGACCCGGCCGGCCGGCGCGGCGGCAGCGGGAACCCCGGCCCGAGCTCCGCGCTTGCCCGACGACCTCAGCTCGGCCTGAGGCGAAATGGGGCGCGGTGTTTACAGTGGATAACGTCGAGACGTGTTCTTAGTACTCCGATTCTGAAAGAAATGCCGCAACTTTGAATAATCATCGCAACTTGACATAAGCTGACGTAAACTACAAATATCTTATCACACAACCCTTTATTCAATGCCGCCCCACCCCCACTGCTTAACCGAAAACCCAGCGGCCAAACCGCGGTGGTCGTCCGGTCGAGCTAAGCCTGCCTCTGTCAGTGTAATTCGGCTTACTGGGGCAACGTCCGCGGCTGACGGTCGACGGCAGTCGCCGCTGCCGGAGAGACGGTCGGAATATAATCGGATAAGCACGCCGCGCCGGCTCTGTTGGCGCCTTGTCGGCTGTCAGCGTGGCTGTTCTCGCTCGGAATCCTCCCGGACTCCGAGAGGACGTCACGGACTCTGAGAGGACGTCACGGACTCGGGAGGGATGCTTGCGGCCTGTCCGCGGCGCAATGGGAATCGTGAGCCTCGCGTTTACATTGAGGTGACATACGATCTCGTGATTATTTTACGAGGTAGCTGCCCATCAATGGTCAAGCTGCTTGCATATTCAGTGGTTTCGGGAAGTCCTAACCGTTCATCGAAGTCTTTGCATTGGTGCCAGTACGGTATGAATAATAACACGAGCGTTCCTACACTTTGATCTCACCTACTAATCGATCGCTTGAACTGAAGTTTGAACGCATAAAGTGGGCGCCAGCAGTCAGCTATTTTATTGTAACTATGGAAATTATAAACATTTTTGATTTATTAACTGTACCCCTTTCTTGTAAACCTGGGCCCGGTTCTTATAGAAACACTTACCGGTAAGTGTCACTTGGGCCAAAGTGACACTTATCTTAGGGCGACTTGAAGTCTCGGTTCTTATAGCCACACTTAAAGCCTCCCTATGATAAGTGTTACTTTCCTTAGGGAGACTTTGAGTGAGACAAGCAAAACGAACTTTGCATCTCTAAAATGTTGTCATTTCTGGTCATTTCTGGCAAATCTGTCCATTTTAGGAAGCAGTCACGTGCAATTTGTTCAATTCGTACTTTGGATATGCATATGACCGAATATTCGAATAAGAACCAATACGTTGAGATGCAGTTTTATATTTACCTTTGACTCTTTGTTGTTGTTGTTGTTCTTTGGAAATTATTAACGCCATTGACAAATAGCACTTAACCCGCGCCCCGTACCGCCATCGGCGGACCCTGCCACCCGTAGGGGGGTGGGGGGGGGGCGTTTCCCCCTATGATCTTGGAAGGTTACCGACCGATTTTCAAATTTTAAACGGCATTCGATAGCTCCATCGGGGAACTACCTTGTAACCAAATTTCATTGATCTAGGTCCAAATGATGAAGTCACGGGTCAGGTCAAAGGTCATATTTTCACCGTTTAGAGGCCTAATTCTAAGGAATGCGTTATAACATCGAGCAAAAGGAAAGTTATCCCGCGCCCCGCGCGCGGGGGGGGGGCAGAATCTGCCCCCTCCCGTTTTTCGCCAATAACTTCCAAACGCGTTACGCCAGCGACGTCAAACTTTCAGTACCTTATTATACATCAATTTGACACGTTCCCTGAAAATTTGAGCGAAATCCGTCGGAAATTTTTGAGAAATTGACGGTTTAGTGACGTCATGTTCGCCATTTTCGCCTCAAAAACGGCAAAATTTCAAACGCCGCTAACATCTTCATTGTTAAAGGAATCAAGACGTAACAAAAAAGTTTATAGGTACGTGATTCTACTTTGTCTATTAACCCTATTAGTGGCAGGCTCCTGGCTACCCCATATTAGTGGCAGGGGGGGGGGGCTGTTTACGACCCCCCTTGATATCTCGAGATCTAACCGGCTGATTTTCAAAATTCAAACGGCATTCGATTTGGCTCAACGAGATCTACATTTCTAAAAAAAATAAAATTAAAAAATGTCAATAGGGGGTAGAGGGGGGTAAAAACGGGCAAATTGCAGATACATTTTAGACTGTTTATCACGGCCAGGTTTCTGAACCAATCTTAACGCAACTTTTGCCAATCGATAGAGAATGAACCAGGAATTCACATGGATCCTAAAAATATGCATTTTCAAAAATCATAGGCGGATACAGATCATTGAGGTTGGGGGTACACAAAAAGTATAGTAAATAAGGTTTTTGTTGGTACTGTTTCTAAAAAGGGTGGCAATGGTCTTGTTATGTTACAATTTTCTTATGAGAGAACGACTAAAATTGTATTGGTCATGCATAGGCGGTGTCAGGGCACCTATGTTGGGAGGTAAAAATAACCCCCCTTTTTGGACGCCTGGATCCGCCTATTATAGCAAAAACGTGTCAAAAGAGGATGCACAATAACTTTATATATGTTATCACATGATACCTTTCATTCACTGTTCGTAGAACTGGTGCAGCATCGTGATCTTCGCCCAAATGACTCGCTTCACGAATAGGACCCCCAATTCCCAGTGCTCTGGAGCCGCCCCTGGTAAAGTTATGAACTTGAAATTTTCAGGGAATGTGCCGAATTTAGTTTTAGGATAAGTCAGAAAATTTCAGCAACGTAGCTTCAGCGGGTTCGGAGATATTCCCGAAAAACCTGAGGAGTGGATAAAAACAACCCCCCCTGCCACTAATAGGGTTAAATGGCTATCTCGGTTTTTGAAAATTTTGGATTTTGGCCCAATTTTTTTCAAAAAACTTACTTTTTTGGGAAAATAATTAAAAATCCAAAATTTTGAGTGTATCGAAAAACCGGAATATATGTCAGAAAAGTGGTCTATGTGCATCTACATACCAATTTTTAGAAGAATCGGTTCAAAAATGTGGGAGTTATTCAAAATTTTATGACGTCACGACACACAAATTTTTTGAAAAAAAAAGATTTTTTTTGGAAGTTCTAGACCTCGTACGGAAACAAAAATAGCACCATTCGATTCGCCGTGAAAAACTGCATCAGATAGACACCTTTTTAGGCCTTCTTCCAAACTTCAAAATTTGACCTTACTTGACCTCGACCTGAAATTCATCCAGAGGTGGTCCATATCACTTATTGAGTGGCCTATTGAATTTTATGAGTAAAATGACCCATAAAACATGTGTCGCACATGCCCTTTTCTATATTTTGTTTTTGGTGACCTGACCTGACCTGACCTGACCTTGACCTTGACCTTTGAATGACATTGTATGCAACGAATATTGTCTTGGTAGTCTAAGAACACGTTTTGGGCAATCAGTCTCAGTCCATTCTTCGGCAACTACGGTGCAAGGCCGATACTGTAGAAACTTGCATTTTGTACCCTTGACCTGACCTTGACCTGACCTCTGACCTACTTGAGTTAAAAAAAATTGGGCTCTTAAGATCCGCCTTGTTGAGAGCTTTCGATTGCCGTTTTCCCCGTCTTTCTACGACCATCGGTTCGGAAGTTAGACAGGGGGGCAGAATCTGCCCCCCCCCCCCCAGCAGGGCGCGTATGGCTGAATAGCCCAGCGGGGCGCGGGTTATCGTAAATCATCGATAAAGCGTTAGTTGCCTGATACATAACGACGCATTTTTTTCCAAACCCCATATCTGTTCTCCCTTGAATTTCCGGGAGGCGCGAATAATCCCATTTAAAAAGTGTCCAATCGGCCCAGCCGTTCTCGAGATCTGGAAGCGGCACCCTGCACGTGCGCACGTGCAAAATGGTTCCCAACTGGCTTTTGCACACGGCACTCTACTAACCGGTCCCTAACCATGTACCAAATTTCAGCACAATTCGTTCAGCCGTTCTCGAGATCTGGAAGCGGCACCCTGCACGTGCGCACGTGCAAAATGGTTCCCAACTGGCTTTTGCACACGGCACTCTACTAACCGGTCCCTAACCATGTACCAAATTTCAGCACAATTGGTTCAGCCGTTCTCGAGATCTGGAAGCGGCACCCTGCACGTGCGCACGTGCAAAATGGTTCCCGACTGGCTTTTGCACACGGCACTCTACTAACCGGTCCCTAACCATGTACCAAATTTCAGCACAATTGGTTCAGCCGTTCTCGAGATCTGGAATCGACCCCTGCACGTGCGCACGTGCAGCGGCACCCCAACTGTGGCACATGGATATGCATTGTCTAGTGGGCGCCTACCTAGTTACATGCTAACTTCCAGCACAATAGTCCCAGTAATTGCCGGATTATTGTAATGTGAACGAACGTGACACCTCTTCATTTTGCATTCGGCACGTGCAGTGACGGTCGCCCAGATGCATCGAAACTAGCCAATATCGGGGTATAAGGGATGGGATCACTAAACAGAGAAGACTGCTCATCAAATGGTTGAACGGTTGCGAAGATACATGCGTCCCAAAAGTGCTTTATTATAATCATGTCACACTAACTGCGGTTAGGGTGGTATCACCCTCCCTAACCAAAGTCACACTTACCGGTAAGTATCACTAAGGCTAGTATGGCTATAAGAACGAGTCCCACTTTCCGGGTTAGTGCAGCTCGATGTTAGGGTGGCTATAAGAACCGAGAACTCGGTTCTCACTAACACTTAGCAAGTGTCACTTGCTTAGTGAGACTTTTAGGGTGGCTATAAGAACAAAATCGCCAATTCCAAGTGTCACTAGGCTTAGTGAGGCTTGAAAGTATGGCTATAAGAACCGGGCTCTGTTATTTAGTGTAGTAACCGGGTAGTTTCTTAAACCCCTCGTCTTCTTGTTCTCTGTCTACCAACGACCAGATCTAATGCAACTGCAAGGCATGAGGTCTGACTTACCATGTCCACGACTAAGGTGACATCGTTTTACTTTCTACAGTATCCTAGCCTGTGCCGCACTCCTAACTTTTCCTGACGCCACTCATTTTCTTTGGGGATGAATAACATATGCATAGATATGACAAAACAACATACCTCTTACGCTATTTAATCGCTGAAGATCGTCAATTATTTTCAAAACCGGTAGGTAGGTATCTGAGCGTCGGATGCAGCATAGCGCGCTGCACGTCGCATTCCTCCTGAGCCAGTCACTCGACAGACAGCACTGAAGGACCACCCGGACTTTGGACCGGCCAGTGTTAGCCGCTGCGCCACCACCGCCGTCAACATCCCGGTGGGGCTGGCCGGTGTGACCTCAGTGACGTCACTGGCCGCTGTGACCCTAGTGACGTCACTGGGACGACGGAAAGGCCGGCAGCCGGGACCGCTGAGCCGCCCGCTGAGTCGGCGGGGTTTGCGCAGTCCCCAGACCGGCTCCTGATTAGCATGGGACGGCAGCATTCCGCGGCTGGCGTGCCGAGGTGGTCGGATCAGGGGGGGGGGGGGGGGTCAATGGCCCCGCCGCGGAGATGACCGTGGTCGCCGGTGCCGCCACAAAGGGGCATTAGCAGCTGCTTGCTCAGAGAAAAGGCACATAACGGAACATGCAGTTTGCTCTTAGATGCGCTTAGTAATCTTTTTTATTAGTAAAGTAATTTTGGCTCTCAGTGATAACTGAGATACCGATGTGGTTGAAGATTTAATGTGTGGTTTCGTTGAAGCATTAATGAGTGAGCATTCAACAAGGCTCGCACAAACATTCCTCTGTCAATATGTCACATTAAATCGTTTTTCAAGCGTATTTAATCTATAGGTCATTAACATGTGCCATTCACCCGTCTATCACCCGTCCCATCGTAATGCCTCGAGACGGTGTGCGTTTTCAAGCCACTGTAACTCAGCCTCTCGGTCGCGGTATGTTTTTTCTCGCTGCCGTAACTTTTATTGAGGGATGCCAAAATGAACTACTTTACATTTAAATATAGTTATGCTAAATCTGAGACCTGCAAAAGTTATAGAAATGCGTTTCAAGCGTCTTGTCACTCAGTTCTTATCAATCGCTGAAATGATCAGTGGTCATGTTTTGTTAAAAACCGTGTGATTTGACGCATTTGGGAGCGTTATCCTTTTTCAGGCTTAAAATGTGATAATTTTCAGAGGACTGCATGTCATTCGAGAAAATCGTTCCAACGAAGAAACCCGTACTTGCATTCTTAGGCAAGCTTTCCTGCCAGTCCTGACATCTAGCTGCTGCTGTAAAACGCTAGTTCGGCCTTTTGCCTGGTGGTGGCGCTCAGAGCTCAGCCTCCACCTCGTGCAGTAGCTCACCTACAAGACAAGCTTTATTCGATAGTTTGTATCGATTCGAAGCAGCAGCGATCTATGGTCTCCTAGACTCGTCGCGAGTTAAGGGTGTTCAATAGGTATAACTCGTAGCCCCATAGATAAGATGTCCCATCTAACATGGGGCATCTTCCGTCTGATGGTGACAGCCGATCAGCCACCTCCTGTCTAGGCAATAGTAGAGGGTAGCTTCAATACGACTATTGAGGAGATGAAGCCACCGGATACGGCTCACGGACCCACGCTGAGCTGGCAGACAACTGAGAAAGTACCGGCTGTTTAGTCCGGCGTGGTGGGTGACAATGAGCTGAGAAAGCAGTTCTCAGCAGATCCAGCCCTGAGAAGTCGCCGTTCATTTGCCTGTCAGCTGGCCTAGTCATCGTGTAGTACACCCGACGTAGGAGATACAGGACTACCTATCGGTTTCAGTGGCACCCCGATTGAGATTGGGAAGTCAATGTTTGGTGCACCGTCGAGCAGGCGGTAAGGACTAAGGACAGGGTCTCAAGTGTGCTAAAGTTGAATGGTAACTCGTTTTCCGTTTGCTTTCTGAAACTACTCTTCGGTGATAGCTGGTCATTTATTGCACTTTTCCTTCATATTTTTGCATCTACACATGAACCAGCAATTACCAAAGCATGATTATGGACAAAATATCCTATGCAGTCAATTAACAGTAATTCATAACAACACATATTTACCACGGACAGATTGAAAGCTTAACAATAAGTGACTAGAAGATGTCACGATTGTCATCTTTGAATCAAGTAACAGCACAACAAGCACCATTCGCTCTCTGTGCAGAATTGTCTGCATGATTCGGTACGCAACAAAAACTCAACGCCCATAATCCCACTCGCAAAACAAGTGAGGTGGTTTAACGCATTATCATTAATTTCACTATTTGATTGATATGTTTCTCTCCTCTTTCAGACCGCCGCTTGCCGGCTGTTCGGGCCATGGTCCGTTTGCGGTCCGCCTGCCGCCCGTCGCGCTCAGTCCTGGAGCAGTGTGAGCAGCGCGGTGCCCTGGGTGATCCAGTGCTCCTCGGGCTGGTCACACGGCAGCTGGATGTCCACCACAAAGTTGGTCGAGTGGCCCGTCGTCGAGAGCACACCTGCAGCGCGGATAGGTGTGAGGTGAGTCAAGTGACACGGATGTGGGCGGAGACGACGGCAAGGGTGAAAGGCACTGGTGGGTGCAGGATAGGGACACTTATTGGTAATGAGCAGGAAGTAGGCGGAAGATAAGCAATAAGTAATGACAGGATTGCGGGGTGAAACCGAAGGTCCATGTGCCTTCCTGCAGCCGAGTGCGGGATAATCAGTAGTCATGCTGTCCCCAGGGCTACTCGCAATGCCAACTAATCTGCCGGGAACAACTGGAAGCTGGTTTGCAAGGGATCAACGAAGCATCACTCATGATTCCTTGGCACCAAATTAGGCCTGATCATTCATTCCGTTACCTAGTCAATACGCGTTCTGACTGTATGACCACTATCATGCACATTATTGTACGCAATTCTGCACATAATGTCCTCGGGTGACTCGATGTCGGACGTCTGTAGCTCTTACCTGCGCGCACCGGTGTCCGGTACAGGGGGCACGTGTACTCGCCCGGCTCCGGCACGTGGTTGAACGCCGGCAGCACGTGCAGCACCGGCAGCACCGCCTTCAGCTCACCTGAAGGCAGACATGTTGCATTTATGCCGCTGACTAGTGACATACACTTTGACTTAGGCATACGTCCATATCAAGCGCCGAGGATTTAAGCATCATAGTCCCTTGCACGCCCCTGCGTCCCACTCCCATCCCAAACTCTGAAATCCCTCATCTAATGCCGGGTCGGTCAGGATAGGTCAGTATCGCAGAAGACCGTCTGCCTTACCACACCCCAACCCACCACCAACCCCATTCGCCAGACACCTCACCTAGCGCCGGATCGGTCGGCATCACGGTCTTCACGACCCAGTAGACCAACCAATCCCAACCTCATTGCTACGACAGAGCTCTCTCACCTAGCGCGGGATCGGTCAGCATCATGGTCTCCATGTCCCATCGCGCTGCGTCGATGAAGAGTCCGTGCACGAGCAGTCCCTCCTCGGGCACCTCCAGCTCGTCGTCGAGCCAGCTAATGAACGCCTGCAGCAGTCCATGGTTAGGGTCACACTCAGCTGTTCACTGTAGCTGCGGTTTAGTGTTGCTCAACGCCATGTCTGGTGGACCAAGACTCATGGCTAAGAAAAATCTCTACTAGCCGTTTCAGGGAGTCGGGAGGTGCGAAGTGGTACCCTACCCAGGAGAGGAACACATTGACTGGAATACCCAGCCTGCCGACCTGCCGAGGTTGCTATCCATAAACGGCAAACTTTTTGATCGGGCTGAATGAAGAAAGATCATCTATAATCCATAGTCTCATTAGTAAAATTGTGACTGTGACACCGTTGGGTCCACTCACGCTGCCGCTGGCCGGCCGGCGAAACGGGCCTGCACTCTCCGGGGCCGGCTCCGATCCGGCGCTGCCTTCCCGGGTGCTGAGATCCTGGCGCCACTTCATAATGTCCGCCTACAGGTGACGAAAACATCGGTCAGCGGGAGCCTTTTACTGATACACAGGGTCATCGAAAACCGTCCTGGATTGACGCACACCGGTCACATTGATTAACCTTGGAGTGAGGAAGAAGAATGACGCAAGGGGGACAAAGGCAAGGGTTGGCAACAGTAGAAATCTCGCTCTCTAATCAACGTTTAGAGAGTAGAATCATTCTTGGTTTAGAGACTTTGCATTGCCATACCTGGTCGCGCCACACGCTTTGGACGTTGTACTGGAACCTCAGCTGATCAATGGGAAGCGTGTGCTTCCGGGCGAAGTTCTGCAGGATCCCCGTCAGAAAGCCTTGCGGGAAGAAAAATCCCGAGAACCAGAACGAGGTCGGCGGACCGTTGCGGCTCCAGTCCTGACGGCACAGACGGTGGAGACGTTTGTGTCAGGTCACTGACAACGAGCGAACGGCTGACACAACCATGAAAGGGGATCTGGATTGATGCATGCTGTTGGGACGATCTGTAACATCAACGATGAGCAGTGTGTATTGCTAACATTCACATCTTTCTCGCTCATGATTTTTTTGTGCCTCTAAAATGTCTCAAACGGGCAAAACAGCGAGCGCCATTTTAGCATGATTTTGTTCAGTCGTGACTTACGGCGAAGGCGTCCACGCGTAGTATGAGGTCATTGACCCAGCTGCCCAACGACTTGACCGACAGGTAGCCGACCCGGCCCCAGAGTGCCGGCACCTGTGACACAAAGGGAGTAGCGGATTACGGTTGCACATCTTGGTTGGTTTCGCTTAACGCCGTTGCATGTCTGTTTTTTAGCATTTTGTCCCAGAATAGCATGCACTATACGACCTCTCTGCAGAATATGTTGTCGAGTACAATTAGTTCCTGAGTGAAGATAAACACACAGCAGCCTCGGTGTGACGGCCACGCACCTGATTGTTGACAAACGCCTTGTAGACGCGGTCGAGCTCCTCTGACATGACCACCAGTCCGCGGATGGCGCGTTTGAGCTCGTTCAGCGTGCTGTGGATGCAGCGTAGCAGTCGGTTGTAGCGGTCCACCTCCTGAACTAGCACCGTGGTCAGCGAGTTCATACGGCCACAAGAGTCCAGCTGAGGGCAGCACGGCGAAGCGAGAGGTCAGAGGAGCTCAGGAGTCCAGCTCTCGGGGTATTCTTGGTCGTAGCATTAGTGATGTGGATATAGGGTCATCTGAGGTGTGCTACAGGTGCCGCTTCCGCTTCTGAACAGACTGGGGTGGTGTGGACACTGGACAGTTCTCTCACCTGGAAGAGTTTCTTGTGCGCGAGCTCCATGTCGATTTTGGTGGGTATGCGCCCCTCCATGGTCTCAGCGAGGTCGTAGACGAACTGGTCTCCGCTGCCCTCACCGCCGGCACTGGTCGCCAGCCACGGCTGCATGCTCAGAATGGTGCTCAGCAGGCGCTGCGTCTCCTGGACCTGCACCGCGTACACACAGAGACGGTGTCAGAGGTGTGCCAAGCTATCAGCTGTATACTTCACTTGGATATCATGAAATGTGGTTAGAGATGTGACACCATGACAGTGTCCCGTCCGCCGGCCTTTAGTCCAGTGTCGCTCGCTGCCTACATTGACTCGTCCCTCTCCCCCGGCCCGCAGTCTTGTGTGCCTACACTGCCTGTCCTATCCTCGATTTACAGTCCAGCGCCGTTACCTACCTTGCTGACGACGTCGGCGTTGACGTGCATGCCGAAAATCTCGGGCGAGTCGACCACGGGCAGCCGGTCCACGTAGCGGCGGTACTCGATCAGGCCGCCCTCGGTCGGCGCGTAGTACGTGCCAGAGTGAGAGTACTTGTGATCTGCGTACGAGGGCAAGGCGGGCGACAGTCAGAGGCAGCGTCAGGAGCCTGACAGGGGATGGTAGAGAACCACCGTCAGTCAAAAAACACATGGTTGAGGCGCCCGGTGGTTGGCGAGTGGTTGGTCGTCGAATGGTGACTGAAGACGGCACGTACCGGGTTCCATAGCGGCCGGTGAGAAGAAGTTTTTGAGGACGGTGGTGAGGCAGCGCTGGTCCCAGTTGTCCGTCACCCGGCCGCCGTACGTGATCTCCCCTGCGAACGACGGGGAACAAGACCGTGAGCGCCACCATGACTGCGCTATAACCGGCAGCATACGTCCCCGGGGAACACGCAAAATTACCCAAAAACGCAAAGAGATGAGATAAGCAAAACGCCTCCAGCTAAACCAATACCAAATCAGTAAATTTTGCCAACGGCCATGTCATGAACCCTAGTCTGGAGGCATGCACTGTCCTGCCTGCCCCCGGCGCGGCGCTCAACTGACCTGTGATGTACTGCAGCGCCTCCCACGGGATGTCGGCGTCCTGGCAGAAGAGCCGCAAGTTATCCAGCGCAAAGTCTCGGTCGTTGGTCGTGAACTCGTAGCCGATGTTCCAGCCGAGCGGGCCGTACTTTTTGCGCTCCTGGATCACCGCGTGGAAGAAGCACAGGCCGAACACCATCCGACGCCAGCTGATCTCCAGAGCTGCAAAAATCGGGACGCGCACCCGTCAGAGCTGCCCGGTTCGGGATACGCCTGTCAGAGCTGTCGGGTAGGGACACACATCCGTAAGACTGAGTTTCGTCACAGGTAAAGTCTAAAAGCATACCTAAATCATAACTCGCCCAGTTGGTAACCAGGACACACCTTTTTAGATTATATCCGTCATCAACTCGTACTTGGTAGGTATGAATTACTAGACGCGCCACTGTTCCGCACGGAAGACAAGAACGCAAACGGCACAAATATCCCATAACAGAAACAGCCACTTACGGTTATCATCGAAGAAGTCGCTGGTGATTGCAGAGAAGGCCTGACGCAGGCTGTTGCGGAGTCCGCGCGGCGGCTCGTTGGTCACTTTGACAGAGTTCTGCAGGATCTCCACGGGGAACGCCTTGGCCGGCATCGACGACAGGAAGAGCCGGAACGACTCGTGGACGGCCGGCGCCGCCTCCGGCAGGTCCTTGATGATCGTCTCCAGACACGGCATCCACGAGGCCGACAGGTGGCAGTTCTGCCAGCCGATGGGGAACGATCAACTCAATTTGGCCACTGCTAGCGGCCGATTGGCGCACAAGTCGCTGATGAACTTAGGTTGTGGCATGACAAAAAGACATGTATGTCTTTTTGTATGTCTTTTTTGTGGTGGCACGTGGTCTGGAAATTTTACGTATACGTAAAATTTCCAGACCACGTGCCACCACAAATCACTACCCGTAACCCACACAAGGATGTTGAATGCTAACCACTGCCCCAGTGACTCCTCCCCCGCTCGAAACTCGCCTGCAGGAAGACCCAATCGCCGGTCTTGGTGGCCTCCGAGATGGCCCGCTCGGCCACGGGTCCCTGGCCCTGGCCCAGCGAGATGGCCGCTACTCGCTCGTCCATCATGCGATCTCGGGTAAACGACATGAACTCGCCCATTGGGTCTGTTCCCTGACTCAGCACGAAGATCAGCGGTGTGTACCGGTCGATGTTGGGGAACCTGCGATCGCAGCGCCGCGGGGTGAGAAGGTGTCAGAACTGGGCAGCGGGACGTTGAACCAGTGGTCGACCGAAACCGGAGTGGATTGCTCGGGGAGGAGGGAGACAGTTGTCCGGGCGTGACAAAAAAGTTTTTACAGGGAAGTTAAGCTGGCACCGCAATAAGTTCACATCGCAGTAAATCCCCGCGAGGCAAACAGGACATGCGTCCTTTCCCTCAACAGAATAATATCGGAACTATACGCAATGACTATCGGACTCTGAACAAATAGCAATCAGCGTTGGAGCAACGACAAACCTCTCGGCAATTACACTCACAGCGTGGGCAGGTCGATGGCCGGCCTCTCGATGAACACGGCACCCAGGTTCTCGCGCACAAACTCTGTGACGCCCAGCGAGAGCTGCTCCTGTCGCGCCGAGCGCACCGCCAGCAGCTTCTGCATGCTGCTCAGCCGGGTGCTCCACTCTGACATCTTGGCCGTCTCCTGGGCCTCTGGGTTCAGCAGCTGGGCACGGAACAGAACGTTATGGAAACCATATGGCAACGCCATCTGCGTGTCGAGTTCATACGCAACAAAATTAGTAGCTAAGTTGAGGCATATTTCTGACCGTGGGCTCGCAGGGAGCTGCAAGCATTTAAACCGACTTATAGTGCAATTTAATGTGCCACCCATCAGTTTACTGTTTTGTTTATTTCACTCAGTATTAATGCTGGGGACACTGCTGATTCTGACACCTGTTTTACTCACAATGGTCTCATTTCCGATGGTGACTCGTATTTGCGATTTGAGGATGGCCCTGGGGAAGCCGTCGAACTCGTCCGGGAAGGCCAGCTCCAGACTGAGCAGACCCTTCCACTGTCTGTCGGCCATCCACTTCACCGGCGACTGCGGGTCGCCCAGCTGAAACCGAGTTGGTACAAATTGGTACGGCGTACAGTATGGCGGCAAAACACATCATTGGCCAGATCCCAGACAGTTGTGTTGCTCGTTTGAGACAGAAGGGATGTTTCAACAATGAAGAGGCTCAACCGGCACACATTTCGGCTTTATGAATTCGTTACAGAGAGAAACGGAGGAATGTGAGTAATTCATTGGGTGAAAAGCCATCACTATTCACTACTCATGTGGCAAAATCATGTCGACTTTCGCTGTCGGGCTGAACCAGTATCGGTACTGGGCCAGTATTGCATGCAGAAATACGAACTATATCATGCAGTCGTTCGCCTTTCTGTCCGGCACGTACCGCGTCGGCCAGATGGGGCGCTCCACGCAGCAGGAAGTTCCACTGGGCGTCGGTGACGGTGCCCCGCTGACGCAGGATGTCCACACACAGGACGAAGCTGAAGATGAGCTTGTCCTTCTCGAAGAGGCCGCGCGCTACGTCTGTGTACGCGGCCACGGTGGTGTTCTCGATCAGATTGGCCAGGTGCTCCTCCAGGTCGGGAGACTTGCGCGTGCTCTCGATGTGTGTGGTGAAAATCTGAAAGGCAGGAGGTGTTTGTTTGGTGATTAGCAGTTATTGGTAGGAGGGGACCGATGTCGTGGATGTCCAGATAGTAAGATTGGTTCTTACATCAGGCTTACTTTTGACATATAATGAGCCATATTATGAATGAGAATATTAGCATGAAATATTAGATGGTCTTTGTATGTTATTTTTATTTGTTTATTCATTTATTTATTTATTTGTTTATTTATTTATTTATTTATTTATTTTGTAACGCCAGGACCTTAGTGTTTGCGTTAGTAATCAAACCACTTTTAGTTATACGCACTGGTCTGAGGCGTGTCTCGCCTTGTCTCACTTCAGTGCCCTCGCTAGTGCTTACCTGGTTGAAGTACTTGAGCGAGTACTGGTACATGGCGTCGACCTCCGCCAGCTGGGCGATGACGAAGTAGACGATGCTGCCGCGCATCGCCACCGGCCGGTACTTTTCTCGGGCGGCCGATATTTTGATCTCGGTCGACTCGGCCTCCGCCAGACGAATGCTGATGTCGCGAGACGTGATCTGACCGACACAGACGGTAAACAATCAGGAATCGGTTCCCATCAAACACTACCGTTGTCACAGTTAATAGGAAATATGGAGTCCGGGCCTACAAGAGTTGGAGTTTTGGGACGATAGTCACGAGTTCAGCGCTAGTTTCTGCGCGGACACTGACGCGCAAAGAAGTGTTGAGTCTCTCTCGAGTTCTGTGTGACTCTCCGCAGCTGATGAACCCCAAAGCGACCGACCTCGGGTTCCCACATCCCTTTCGCGCCACGTCCAGACCTTGGACTCGTTGAGCGTCAGGATGAGCTGTTCGTTGTCGAGGATGTTGCCCTCGGAGGTGAACAGCATGTACAGGATCTTGTCCTCGATGGAGCGCAGCTGCGCCTTGTCGGCGTTGATCTGGACGATCAGCTTGTTGCGCGTCTCCTCGATTTTGGGCTCCTCCAGCCGCACCACGTCTCTGGTGGAACGAAGGAACGGCGAGGATCAGCTAATGCAGCTCGGTAGCAGGATTCAGTTACCACAAAGCGACGAACAAAGTTGCAAAGTACGTACACTGAGTACTCATAAGGTAATGTGTGCTGTCAGTACTGCACCTACCAACTTTTTACGTCTCGCTGCCAGAGTTGATTAATTAATAATGAGGAAAGAGTAAATATTGAAATTCAGGCATCACGGTTTAATGATACTCAAAGTACACTGTATTACTTTTATCCTGATCTGTGAGCATAAGTTTCAATAAACATACCTATTGGCTGTACGCTATTAAGTCCTTAATTGCCAAAACTCAGTGCTAAGCGATACGTGTTAGACGTAATGGACCAAACACGTTGGGGAGGCCATCGTGTGTTTACATTCACGGAAACCCGTCAAATCTCAACACGGCCAATTAGTCGAATTTTAATTGCATTTACGCAGCGTTCTCCCTGCAGCACTGGTCCAACAGGTTTCCGTGGTAGTTTTTCATCCCCGCCCTCCGGCTGTCTCGCCCCCTCTGCACGTCTTGTACGACGGTATCAACGCACGCAGGTCACACGAAGGTCGGAGCTGCTGCCGGTTACGGCCACATTGGTGAGCTCGACACTCGACAGATGTTGACGCAGGGACGTCGGCACCAGCAATGTGTTGTGAAACCCGCCGACCGCGCCCCAAGTGGCTGAGTATGGTTCGTTACATCTCGTCACATAGAGTGCCAGAACTGACTGGAGCACGGGCTCCATTGTTGGGATAAGTGTGCACAAATCAAGAATGATTAAATCACTCTTCAAGTATTCAAGTAACTGAATAAACCACTCGTATACAAGACGACAAGTTTGCCATCATCCCATTAACAAGAGATGAATGAAATGAATTCCCATTCATTTCTTGTTGTTCCAATGACTGACCTAGAAATGTCGTACTATTTGTCGCATCGACTCAAAGCGGCCCGGCCTGTAATAGGTATATCGTGTCAACTCGTCCGTCGTCTCACCCGAGCAGCTGGTCCTCGAGTCCGCTCTGCGTGACGGTGAAGTTGACCAGCGTGACCTTGATGCACACCTCGGGCAGATAGTGCGGGTTGCCCAGCTTGGTGGTCATGTAGAGACGGAACGACTTGTCGTAATCTACCTCAGAGTCGCCCAGCTTGATCAGCAGACGGCCGCCCTGTCGACACGGCCGAGAAAATGTGTCGAAGGCAATTGCGGACAGGCTGGTGGGACGGCTGAGGAAAACAGAGGCATGACAGAAGGGGCGGACTCAGGACTGGTCTGACTGCCGGTCAGAAGCCGGCGAACCTGTGCTCTCCGGCTCAGTGAGGCTCTTTGAGGCCTTTCTGTCCCCTCAGCACTGATCATTCGGATTGCAGCCTACGTCCAGCATGATTGATGCCGTGGACAAACGGAATTAGAACACAGTCATGGGCATGTACTCAAAGTGTACTTACCTCAGTGCGATCACGAGCACCAGAGCACAAACTCACAAGGAAACAGCAATAATCACCATCGATTACGATTCGCTTTTATGCTGATGCAGTAGTACCATAATTATGAAACAAAACAAGTAACAAGTAAGCACATTTGTCCTAAACCCCACCCGCACATGTGACCCCCGGCTGCCCCCGGGTGTTGTCGCCCTCTGTCCTCCTGCCCCACTCCGAGCCCCACACTGACCGATAGGTAGGTCTGACGGAGCAGAATCGGCTCCAGTGCCGCCTCCAGTGTCTCTCCCACGGCCTCGATCAGCATCGGCAGACCCAGTCGGATGCAGGTCTCCAGTACGCGCAGCAGTTGTCCGTCCGACATTTTGGCCACCTTCAGACCGTCGGCCGCCTCCATACGGCGGATCCACTGGTTCGCCTGTGTGAGGAGAGGACGGGAGAGAGAGAGAGAGAGAGAGAGAGAGAGAGAGAGAGAGAGAGAGAGAGAGAGAGAGAGAGAGAGAGAGAGAGAGAGAGAGAGAGAGAGAGAGAGAGAGAGAGAGACCGACCAATCAGCGATGGGCAGTGGGGATGAGGAGAGCGTCTACCTACATTACATTAGGTCATTAGGCTTAGCATGACAAACGACTGATACCATTCTGACCCCATCACATTATCGGGTTTATTTTGTCTTTCTGTTTAGCTGTGGTTGATTATTTGTTCCTGTGTCCTTACAGATTGCGGGCGCCGAACATTATTAACCACGGCTGCTCGTTACCACCGAACCCGCTGTTCAGAAGCCCGTTAAAACTGGAAATTCGCCTGTCGTCAGTGAGCTGGATCGATGCTCTGGACCACACGGTGCCGGAGGACGACCAGAGGTGGGTACGAAAGCACACGCTCTGTAGGTATCCTAATTGGACTTCCCAGTGACTTTGATGTGTCGTCTGACCCCTGACCGCTGACCTGGTCCTGCGGGTCGATCATGAGCGGCCAGCGCCGGCTCCGGGTGGAGAGAATGGCGTTCAGCGTGCTGACGTCATCCCGCGGCAGGCCGCACGCGTTCCACTGACGGATCTGGTACGGGTCGGCTAGCACTCCCGACAGGCTGAGGGTGTTGAGGGAACAGTCACCGCGGGTTGTTGGAAATTTGGAAGGTAGGGTTGACTTCTTGACACGCGGTTGTTACTCTGTGGGACGTCTCAAAATCACCCATGAATTTCTTCGGCACCCGTCATGGGCCGGTTGAGTCATTAGATGAGTCAAACCATATCCTAGCGAGAAAATCGAGCAAAAGCACTGAACTCGCCAGGTAAGGCCAGATGCTGCCTGACAACACGACCTGATACCGTAAGAAATAGTAATCGGGCACCGCTTATGAGCGACGAGCTCAGATAGCATTTCCGACTGACTGCTACCGTTCCGGACTACACCGCTGTATTGCGGCACAGTATCCAGCCCACCACATAGAGCATTGAATCCTCCCAAACCCAAGCATCGGGATTCGGGAGCGTCCCGCGGTCAGTTATACGTGCCTGAAGTTGTCGGCGATGGGGACGGCCAGCAGCTGGCACATCTCTACCCAGTGTTCCAGCAGCTCCTCCCGGAACTGGGAGGTGAAGGCGCCCAGGTAGGAGACGCTGGCGGCGCCCATGAACATGTTGCCCACCACCGTCTTCAGCTCACCGTCCAGCGTCTGAGGGAGAAAATCGGCAGGGTGAGCTGAGTGAGCACTGAGCACTGAGCGTGAGCAGTGGAGGTCCAGTTCCACAGAAATTCACCGAAAAACAATTATGAAATAGTCAGATGCCGATTTAACCATACATAAAAAACTTCATTTTGAGCCAGCCCAATCCTCCATCTGTGCCTATTGGTGTATTGTCCCTGCCGTTGGCCCATACCTCGACGTTGATGGCCCATCGTTCGCCCTCGTCGGCCAGCGCCGATGTCAGTTTGGAGGCGCGCGTCAGGCGGGCCGAGGTCACCGCGATCTTGTCCTCGAGGCTCTGTTTCTCGCCGACCGAGTGGTCGTAGAGGCTCTGCAGCTCGGCGATCTGCGCCTCGACGGCCGCCAGCCGGTCCTGCTTCTCCTTTAGAGTGGCCATCACGGAGGCCAGCTCCGCCTCGGCCGCCTGCAGCCTGTGGGAGAGACGGGGAGGGGGCAGTCAGGTACCGCCTGTAGCCTGTGGGAGAGGCGGGGAGGGGCAGTCAGTCAAGTACTGCCTGTAGCCTGTGTGAGAGGCGGGGAGGGGACAGTCAATCAAGCACCGCCTATAGCCTGTGTGAGAGGCGGGGAGGGGCAGTCATGTGCCGCCTGTATGCCTGTGGGAGAGGCGGGGAGGGGCAGTCATGTACCGCCTGTAGCCTGCGGGAGAGGCGGGGAGACAGTTGCCTCTCTTGCTTTGCAAGGGAATTGGAAGTCAGTAGTCACCTCCAGTCTATGGGAGCAAGGGAAGGCAGTCAGTCGCGGCCTACAGAATGTTGAAGATGGAAGGGAGGCGGTCAGTTACGGCCAAAATGTGAGAGAGGGAAAGGAAGAGACTGTCAGACGTCTGCAACCTGTGATAAAGGGAGGGAATACTATGGGGAACACAGCCACCCACTGAGGCCTGTGGCAGAGGAAATAAGAGGGACAGCAGGCAATTTCAGCCACTGTCTTATCCCTGCAGACTGTCCTAAATTGGCAGTTCCAACTACGCTGGGGCCTCTGTATTCCCTCGAGAGGGAGAGAGGGACGGCCGCCCTCACAGCGCGGCTCGATCTCGTCCCTGACCGGTACCATAACTCCTCCAGTCCATCATCCGACCCTTATTTGTATCCCGGAATATTGCGACGTCTCAGCCAGAATCTTGCAGCGACATTGGATTTACGACGGTACATTGATAAATTTTCGTCACTGTCGAAAACACAAAAAGGTCGCAAACTCATCAAAACAACCCGTCACAAGTGAGTATAACCATGTAGCCGCACGGCCCTCACGTCGCCACAACATTCCGGCCTGTATTTAGGTATAGTGTATCGGCTGTCTGTTCTCGGGAGACTTGCACGTACCAAAGGCATGCAATCGTTTTGGTCCGGGCAGGGGTTACCGAGCTGCCGAGGGGTTAGTTGGTTGATGGTTCCGAGATTAAGGAGATTAACCTAGGGGTCCATCTCTGCCCCTATCAAACAGAAGTTCTAACATACTGCTGATATCGTGTAAGTGATTGTCGCAGGTCTGAAATGTCATATGCTTTACGCACTATTGCAGCTCATACGTAGCGGCCCCGACCGACTGCCAAGCGGCTTAACAACGCTACACTGCAAGTGCATACCACATGACAGCGACATATTTTTTAAAAAGTTTAAGAAGCTCATTTAAAAAGTTTCGCTGGTGATTAAAACATAGAAATTGCCTAGAATCAGGTATATTTCGCAATCAGAAAACATTAACAATCCCAGGCAATTGACGCACTGCCCTCGCAGATGTCTAATTTCTCCATGATAAGTAACGTACAGCTGCGCTTTTCATCGACGACTCCCGAAAGTCGAGATCAGCGTGCCTGGTAATTTTGTCACCGTGTTTTCTGGACGTCTCTGACGGTCTCGGGCAGCGGCCGGCCGGCCGTCTCGGGCAGCACGAGCAGCGTCACCAGGCCGGCCGACACGGCCAGCACGCCGAACACCACGCTGGGCGCCGCCCAGTGCCAGCCGCCCAGGCCGTAGGCCACGTGCGGACTCAGCGCGCCGCCCACCGACTCGGCCATCGTGGACAGGCCCAGCGCCGCGTTGCGCACCTCGGTCGGCATGTACTCCTCCAGGTGGACGTAGATGACGCCGAAGCCGGCGCCGATCGCCAGCTTGCCGAGCATGCCGAGCAACAGCACCGGCCAGCCGGGGGGCACGGCCGGCACCGGCAAGATGGCCGCGCCCGTCAGCAGGTAGGTGGCGGCCATGACGGGCCGGCGGCCCAGCCTGTCTATGAGCGGCACGGCGGCCATCGAGGGCACCTCCACCAGACCGGAGAGCAGCATGGCCAGGTAGGCGTTGTCGGCCAGCTGCGCCGAGTCGAACGAGATGCCGTAGTAGACGACGGCCATGACCACCCAGAGCCAGATGGTGGCCAGCGAGAGGCAGCACATGCGGCGCGAGCTGAAGAGCAGCAGCGCCTCCCGACAACGGCTGGTGTCTTCTGCCGGCGGCGCCAGCGACAGCCGCCGCAGCCGCTCGGCCACGTCGGCCGGCAGCGCGCGCCCGTTGACGGCGGCGATCTGGCGCAGGCCGGCGGCGGCCCGCTCGGTGCGTCCGTGCGCCGCCAGCCAGCGCGGCGACTCGGGCAGCAGCCAGACGCCGGGCAGCAGCAGCAGGCCGGCGGCTGCGCACACCAGCTGCAGCTGCCACCAGGAGCGGAGCAGCCAGCCGGCGGCGGCCGTCAGCATGATACCGGCGGCCCAGGGCAGCACCCAGACGAGGCCGGCCACCGAGCGGTGCCGCTCGCCCACCGACTCCATGCACAGCGTGAACAGGCAGATGTAGATTCCCATGCGCGCCCCCGTCGTAAGTGAGGCGACCGTGAGGAAGACGTTATAATTCGACGTTGCAGCAGTCACGGACGCCATCAGAACGAAGAGGCCGGCGGCCAGGGCGGCAGCGCGAGCCCGTCCGTACCAGTCGCCGATCAGACCGAAAAGCAGGGACGTCACCAGACTAGTCAGCATCTGAGCCGTGAATATCATCGAGCGTAGCACGGAGCGGCCGCACACCAGCTCAAAGTCGGTCACCACCGTGGACTGGTAGACGCTGTGGTCAAACTGCCACTGCACGCAGGCGGGACGCGGGCCGTCCGTGGCGTTGGAGCCGGGCACGAAACACGACTCGGCCTCACAGCCGGCCTCGGTGGGCACACACGAGAGCGAGTTGTTGGCGGCGTCACGCACACACCAGTGGTCAGGCGAGTCGATCTTGAACACGATGGAGAATGTGTCAATGGCGGCTGTGAGGGCGCCTAGAGATGTGGCGAAAACCAGAAGCACTTGGAAACGCCCGCCGCCACCGGCCAAATTCAGGAGGTCGTCGAACATTTCTTCCGATGGCTGCTTCGTTTGAGGCTTTTCGGCGCCCGGTCCATCGCTATCGTACTGAGGCTTTTCGAGATCTCCTCCAGGGTCATCCTTTGCCGGGTATGACATCGTGAAAAGAAAGTAGCAAGAAAGCTCACTTTCAGAAGGACTTGAAGGACTAGCCTGTTGCTGCTGACAAGGAACAGTAATACCAGAGTATCGACAGTTTGTCGGCGTTCCTCCTTCTGTTCTTTTCTCAGCAGTTGTCAGATATTTCTTGTTCGAATCATCCTCGGTGCTGATCGTTCCAATCCACTGTCTCGTCCGCCGCGCACAGCCCGCTGCCGGACCGCCCCGCCCGGGTCCGGGCCAGCCACTGGACTGGCCGGGCCCGCGCGGCGCTGTCACAGCCCCGGCACGGTCCGCCCTCCGACAGTGAATTCCAGCTTAGTAGTCCACCGCGCCGACCGAGCGCTCAGCAAACGATACACTGGCGGATCCAGAAAGGCGGTCTGGGACGCTGCGGGGAGGGCATACCCCCCCCCCCAAATCGAAATTCCAAGAACTCATCATATTTCGATTCCTTACGCACTGCTGTGCAGTTTAAAACAAGTATATCAGTCGATCCATATCGTCGACATGAACGCATCTAAGGTGTTTTCATCGCTCTAGCAGTCTCTAGCAAAAGTTATTGCCAAAAAAACTGCTGGGGACCTTTCATGACCCGAGATAACCTCGGGGACATAGGGAGAGGTCACTGGTACAATTTTCTTACTCAGTGTGTCAAGGTTACCGTATCCCGATGTTTGAGTGTCTAGGATTGCGTCCGTCCAAAAGAGACGCCGTTCGATTCTCTCTCATTAACTTAGGTAGGTAAAGTTAATAAAGAGGGCGCAAAATTGACCTGTCCTTAGCTCACCAGTATCAAAATACCGAGATATACATTTTATACATACTGTTACTCTTACCAATTTCTGAACGTTTCAAGGCGATCGTTTAAACGGTGTTGCTATGAGGAGCATTTTATCTTTGCGGAGATGAGGTCACTTGACATGACCTGGCGACCTGATGTTGAGCGACCTGGGTCTGAAATTTTTACATGTAGGTACGAAGAAGATGCATGAAGAGGTGTGCCCAAAACAACCGAGGGTCAAAAATTTCACACACGATGTGAATTGATGTACTCACATAGGTATGATAGCAATACACGCCAAGTTTTGTTGTGCTGCGCTCCGCCTTTCTCTTTGCTCACGCAAGAGCTAGTGAGTGTAGCCAAAAACGCCCCCCCCCCATTTGGGCGAAGCTGGTTAAGATTTTGATGTCTGAGACTCAAACTCTGGCTGGAACTGGCTCGGTCTCGCGGGTTTTAGCGGTAGGTTTTGCACCTAGAAAATTTAGTGTACTTCAGGCTATATCTTCGTCGTCTCAAGCTTTTAAGTGTTGATGCGATCGACTTGTTGGGTAACAAGCCGGCCATGATCGTGTAAAATGGCTTCATCGTAGATCGATTACATAGTATCTGAGATATAACCGGAAATTTAAAAGTGCAAAACCTACCGCTTAATCTCGCGAGAGCCGTACGTACAGCACATTATTGACTCCCGACGGGTGTGGCTTGCGTTGGTCACGTTAGGTATAATTCATATATGTTGGTAAGCGGGACGGAAGGTGGCCGGCTATGGACAGACCGGCTTAGCGTGGGTGTACAATCTGAAAACGGCTCATTAAACACTCCTACCCAAGTAGAGTCCATAAACGACACTGCTCAGCCAATGCTATTTGTAAACACCATGTTATTGCTCTACTCGAATGTGTATATTTGCTTTAACATACACTGTATATGGATTTGACCTGGAATAAGACATGCACCGAGCGTCAGCGCGACCAGAGTCCATTCATTCCATCACGTTTTTCTGTTGGGAGCGGCTCGACTGTGACTGCCGGCCAGGCGGCGGGTGGGGTGGGGGGGCCGCGGCCAGCTGGACAGGCCCGTGCCCTCCCGGCGCCCAGTCGCGGTCCGGAGTCCGCCGAGAACGGTGACGTGTGCCCCCGTCCGCGCCGGTACAGCGCAGCAGTACACGAGGGACTGCGGAGGGGCTCCAGAGAGTGAGACGAGGAGCTGTGTGACACAAGAGGTTTGCGAGTCTTCGGAGAGACGACCGTCGATCGGAGGAGCAAAAAGAGGCATCCCGTGGAGCAATCAAAATGGCTTCGGCTAGCTGCTCAGGAATCAAATGGTTCAGCTTGTGAGAGGTAAAACATTGCTGGTGTTTGAAGCGACGGAGAGACGACCAGCAGAAACAAGAAAACCCGAAAACACGTCGAGGCCTCAAAAGTCGAAACTAAACGACTGATACTTCGACACGAAAATTGACCAAAGGGAATCGCAGGTCCAAGTGTCCTTGACGCTTCTCTGAGAAAACCTGCGCTACCGTTTCGGGCCGGCCTAGTATTGAAACGCCAGCGCAACTGACCGTCCGGCTCCATTCGGCCCTGGGAAGCATCACAGTCTCCAATCGCTGCAATTTAGCCTGCACGAGGAAACCATCGCAGTACGTGGGACTCAATTGGGCTTTTGAAGTCATTGCAGCGCCCAAACAAGCTCAACTATGACTGGCAGCATAAAGCCCCATCAGACCGACAGTCTGGAAATGACTGCGGTTCACGAGTCGGAAGTTGCCAAACGGGAAGAGCCATCACAAGAAGAAACGTTCGACGACCTGCTTGAATTGGCTGGTGGAGGCGGGCGTTTCCAACTGCTCCTGGTTTTTGCTACATCTCTGGGCGCCCTCACAGCCGCCATCGACACCTTCTGCATCGTTTTCAAAGTCGACTCTCCTGACCACTGGTGTGTGCGTGACGCCGCCAACAACTCGCTCTCGTGTGTGCCCACCGAGGCCGGCTGTGAGGCCGAGTCGTGTTTCGTGCCCGGCTCCAACGCCACGGCCGGCCCGCGTCCTGCCTGTGTACAGTGGCAGTTTGACCACAGCGTCTACCAGTCCACGGTGGTGACTGACTTTGAGCTGGTGTGCGACCGCTCCGACCTGCGCTCGATGGTGTTTACTGTGCAGATGCTGGCGGCTCTGGTGGCCGCGCCGCTGTTTGGTGTTCTGGGAGACTGGTACGGCCGGGCGCGTGGCGCCGCCGTCACCGTGATTCTGTTCACCGTGTTCGCACCACTGATGGCCGCAGCGACCAGCCTGTGGACGCTGCTGGTGGGAGCGGCGGCCACCGCCGCCACCCACACCGGCCTCTACATCTGCCTGTTCACGCTGTGCATGGAGTCGGTGGGCGAGCGGCATCGCTCGGTGGCCGGCCTCGTCTGGGTGCTGCCCTGGGCCGCCGGCATCATGCTGACGGCCGCCGCTGGCTGGCTGCTCCGCTCCTGGTGGCAGCTACAGCTGGTGTGCGCAGCCGCCGGCCTGCTGCTGCTGCCCGGCGTCTGGCTGCTGCCCGAGTCGCCACGATGGCTGGCGGCGCACGGACGCACCGAGCGGGCCGCCGCCGGCCTGCGCCAGATCGCCGCCGTCAACGGGCGCGCGCTGCCGGCCGACGTGGCCGAGCGGCTGCGGCGGCTGTCGCTGGCGCCGCCGGCCGAAGACACCAGCCGTTGTCGGGAGGCGCTGCTGCTCTTCAGCTCGCGCCGCATGTGCTGCCTCTCGCTGGCCACCATCTGGCTCTGGGTGGTCATGGCCGTCGTCTACTACGGCATCGCGTTCGACGCGGCGCAGCTGGCCGACAACGCCTACCTGGCCATGTTGCTCTCCGGTCTGGTGGAGGTGCCCTCGATGGCCGCCGTGCCGCTCATAGACCGGCTGGGCCGCCGGCCCGTCATGGCGGCCACCTACCTGCTGACGGGCGCGGCCATCTTGCCGGTACCGGCCGTGCCCCCCGGCTGGCCGGTGCTGCTGCTCGGCATGCTGGGCAAGCTGGCGATCGGCGCCGGCTTCGGCGTCATCTACGTCCACCTGGAGGAGTACATGCCGACCGAGGTGCGCAACGCGGCGCTGGGTCTGTCCACGATGGCCGAGTCGGTAGGCGGCGCGCTGAGTCCGCACGTGGCCTACGGCCTGGGCGGCTGGCACTGGGCGGCGCCCAGCGTGGTGTTCGGCGTGCTGGCCGTGTCGGCCGGCCTGGTGACGCTGCTCGTGCTGCCCGAGACGGCCGGCCGGCCGCTGCCGGAGACCGTCAGAGACGTCCAGAAAACACGGTGACGACGGTCTCGAATACGAAGAGGCGGTGCGTGATGCATGAGAAATCTAGCTTTGTGAAGATATGTACTCGATCTGAGTGAAGTTGTGTAAATGGCTTGACCAAACTCGATCAATTAATATATGAGGGCCATAAGACAAATAAGAAGCTACTCAAAGGAGCGCTTCTTCTCAAACCAGCAACTTGTATTGTTAGCAGGACAGAATCAAATCAGCATTGCAAAACTATTATTGTTTTGGCCGTGTCAAGATTTTCAAACGACGTTGTCAGTGACTTTAGTGTTCCGATTCGTTTGGTGATGAAGAACATGTGGACTTCAATTCTTAGTGTTTGATCAATGTTGTTATATATGGGGTATGGCATCAACAATAGAAACTTCCTACATGGAAAAGAGGTCCTTTCTTGTGCCGATAGTGGGTTTTTAGAAGTACGCCGCCACGGCCATTAAAATATGAGGAGTGCACTTACCTTTGAAATCCAATATTTGTCACAGATTTTGTTAATCATCTGTCAATCAGTGAAGTGCACGATATGCGTAAAATACCGAAGCTATCATTGGTGGCACTGGCAAACATACTTGGAAGTTTGCCAATGATACTTTTTTCTTTAGCGCACACGTAATTGAAGCCAGCATAAGGAAGCTGGCTAGGACGTTTGTTTTTGTACATCGTTTTGTTTTCGTAAGTGCTTCAGCGCATGCATACCTGGTAACTATCAAGCGCCCGGAAAACTGGTTGGGAGGTGCCGAACGTGGCACCCTAAATGTGTGTAAATAATGGGTTCTACTCCTTACACACTCACAGCTCGTGCGACGCACGCCTCAGCGGGCGGTTATTGGGTGTTCTATAAATAAACGGCACTCTCCAGCCATGTATCAGAGAAAGTACAGACACGCCTGTTCCCGGTGCACCAACGTGCGCCCAGTAAGGCGTGCTGAACCAGAATCTGACGAAGCCGCCGCCGGAGGCATAACAAGGGTCGCAAATACAAGCACCTCCAGTGACAGGTGGAGATCGACCATATAACAAAATAAGAAAACGTCATAATCGTAAATTAAAAACACTGACTACGTATAGCGGAAGCTGCGAACAGCAAAAATGATCGAATAGCCAGCGCAATTTCTATACAAATAACGTTCAGACGACCAGATTGCTTACCTCGCTCTTTTCGGCTCCACTTCTTTGAAGACTCTTGCAAACAGGTCGATGGCCCTCACCCAGAGGCACATGCTCTTGCAGGCCTTGGATACCTTCTCCACCACCTCAGGCACGAACTTGGGGTCGTCGATGTACTTTTTGATCTTGCGCAGCACCGTTTCCGGAATATTTTCCTTGTCATATTCCATCAACCGTTTTAGAAAATTGTTGTCCGACAGTACTTGTTTGGCGGTAGCCCAATCAGTCCTGAAATAAACATCGTTCTAGCTATTTTACCCGACTCTCTTCAGTGAAACTAATATCACAGCGCCCAGAGATATCAGATATCTTTGACCGTGGTCTAATTTAACGACTATCTTTCCACGTCTTGTGCGCGCACAGACAGTTCTTTGTGATTTAAAGAGCAGCCTAGTAGCGCTATATCATAAACGTGGACTCCAGGCGCCGCAACAACCGCTACAGTTCCAACTGCTCCGCGTTTGACAGGAACCAGACACCACTCAGTGCCCAGCTGAGGGCTGGACTGGGCGACCGGGGCCCACAAGCTCCACATATTCCAAACATTTATATCACTACGGCGCTAACATGTCTATTAATGAGGGATTTTCGAGGCTTCTGAATGCGTTACGTACTGCCGGAATGCATTCGGCGCCAGTTGAGATAGCGGCGATCAAACACTAGCATATCGAGTATTTGTCAAGATACAAACTGACGGTATGCAGTAATTAACAGTAGCTGTAATTATCAGTCTGTGCAGTGTGTGCAGGACCTGCCCCACCGTTTACCACACGATCACAGACCCTCCCTAATATATCAGTACACTTGGCCCAGCCCATTGCCACCCGCACCGCCACCACGCCACGCCACGACTCACTTGGCGCCGAGCAGAATACAGACGGCCTCCAGCACGATCTGCACCATCTCGGGCGGCTTGTTGAACACCTTGATCTCGGAGATGTCCGACTTGTCCAGCGAGTCCAGCGCCTTGACGGCCGCCTCCAGCGCCGGCAGCGCCTCGTCCAGGTCTTTCTGGGCGTCATCGGCCAGCGTCTGCGTCTCGTCGGCTTTTACCTGGCGGGGTGGCGGTAGCGGCATTTGAGGGACCGTGCTTGAAGTGTAGGTCAGATGGAGGCTTAGCGCTATAGTGCAACGCAACACATTTCGGTCTAATCCTGTAAGATAAAATGCACTAACCAATTGTGCTTCAGCAATCAGAAATAAGTCTAGGCAATACATTCTTTTATGAATGAATGACCGCAGGCGCAATGGCACGATTCCGGCATTATTGATAGAGCTGACTCCTCTATGCGTCTGTGAGTGAATCCGACCTATGTTCTGTGCCGTCTCAGCCCATCTCTCTCACCTTGGCTGCGGCCTCCTCCACCTGGACGACCTCTCGCACTTTGTCGGCGGCCGACTGGTCCTTGGCCAGCCGCTCCATCAGCAGCTCCGTGTCGGCCGACTTCTTCTTCAGCTCCGGCTCCAGCGCCACCAGCTCAACAGACATCGTGTCCACCAGGCTGTTAGTCTCCTTCAGCTTCTGCAGGTTCACAGCGGGTGGAAAGAGCGGGTCAGGGGAGCACCTTTCAGCGTCAGAGGGACTGGGAGACGGGGGGACATGAGTGTTGTCAGAGGTGTCAGGAAGACGTTCGGCAAGCAAACGGGGCGGGCTTGACAGTGTTGTATCAATATTCAGGAGAGTGAGGGTTAATGAGGAGCCTTTCCAGCGGATTTATAACGCAACCGAAGGTGTGTTTGATTCGTGAACCACGACGACGGACGGCTCTGACGCTCCGAAACAAACCTTGAGGCCGTTGGAGATTCTCTCCTTGGCCCCGTTGATCTTGGTCTTCTGTTCCTTGAGCATGGTGCCGTAGAGGTTGATCAGCTCCAGGTAGCTGGTCGGGGTGACGTAGTAGTAGCGCTTTAGCTGGTTCAGGAAGCGCGCCCTGGCCTCCACCACGTCCTGACGAAAAAAAAACAACGTGGGACATTTAGACATTGGGACAAGAATCGCGCTATTTCACGTCCACGGCTATTTTATTTTGAACAGCCACTAGATCGATGTGAGTACCAAGTCAAATTATATTCATCAATCGATTAGCATTGAAGTGTCCATCCAGCCTGTCGTATATGATCCCTCCCCTCCCCACAAACACATCCTCTCGCCTCGCCCCACCATCCGTACACCGTACCTGATGGGCGGTGACGCACATCTTGCAGATGTTCTCGGTGAGGTCGGGGTCACCTATCTCGTCCTTCTTGAGCAGTTTTCTGGCGACCTCCAGGAGCGCCTCGGCGGGCCACTCGCTGAACCAGTCGATGGTGCAGCAGTTGACGACGGCCGGGAACATGCGGCAGTAGAACCTGCCGACGCCAGGACACGACGGACGTCAGCCGCAATTAAAGCAAAGGCTACAAAGCTGTTAGTAAGGGTCTAAAATTCAACTGATCATTCCGAGAACCACTACGCATATCGTTTGTTTTAAAGGTAGTGTGCCAGCTTTCCTGGACCATATGGAGTTAATGACCCGGATAAGGAGAACCGGATTTTTAGAACTTATCCATACCTTCAAAACTCATGGAAACGTCTTAAATTCTTCAAATTTTGAGTACCCCAGTACGATATTCGCCCCGACGGGTTGTCGGTCGTACCCCAACCACATTTCACACCACTACGAACAATAAATGCACACACTAAAATCGCTATTACCGATAGGCTCATCCAATCAAGTTTCGATAAACCAGTTCATCATCTCCTGCGGTTTCGAACACGCCTGTTAGGTGGCTTCTGCTCATACTTTTACCGGGGTTACATGAGCAAGTAAATGCGTATCAGGAACGGATTTTCCTATTCGCTCACCATTGTAGTCCGTTTGTAATGCGTATTAACTCTGCTCATGTAACCCCGAGCTTTGTGGTGCGGTGGTGGTGCGTCGGGCCGCGCACTCTGACTTCGGCCAAGAAAAATGCGTCAGCTGATCATTGTCATTTCTGCCACTTTTGTGTGGTGAGATGGGGTCATAACGTAACAGGCGGCTGTTTCATATGAATTATTTTACATAAAATCATATTTCAAACCATAAATTAATGTTCGACAGCCAAATTAAAGAAACAATACCAATACAGGCTTACAGTTTAAGTTCGTCATTGTGTTGTCTACGATTAGACAGCTAATAACTCATTCCCGTACGTCGTAAATCTATAATGACCTTTGCTTATTGTCACATGTGCGCCGCATTCGCGATTGTTGCCGACGCCTGTTTGCAGGTCAGCCCACTACAGTTGTTATACATATCGAAAAACCGATAAACTTTAAGGCGAAAAAAAACACTATTCCAGGCCCATTTTTGATTTTTTGCGATATCAGGTAAAAACAGAAGCTTCTTATCCTAGGAAAAATAAAATGGAAATCATTGGAAGGTGGCACACTCCCTTTAATCGTTAATTAGTTTATTGCGACTCTTTTTCGACCACTACGTATATCATTTGTTTTATCATTAATTAATTAATTAATTGCGACTCTTCTTCGACTGTTAAAGGGACCCTCCCACCTTTAAAAAAGTTTATGAATTGGCATGAAAGTGATGTCGCTCGGTTCAGAAAGAGCGAAAACGAATATCTACCAAATTTCACCGAAAAATATTCACCGGTTTTCAAGATATTAGACTTTTACTTTTGTTTACTTTTTGGGATCTCCGCTGTTCCTAGCGACTTTATTTAAAAGTGCGGCATTTGTTGCGCGCAACGCAGCATATACCACCGCGTGCTACAAAACGTTTTAGTCAAACATTTAACGGACGTTCGAAAGCCTGATGACGTCATCAGATTTAAGTGCCTATACCAATACATTGTGGCACTTATTTGCACAGATGTCAAAATCAAACTCAAATTTCTTTGCGATGAAGTAATTGCTGGAGAAACGGTTTTCACGGCACTGATTTTCAAAGAACGTCCATCAAGATGGCTATCTCAACTCAAATCTAATGTTAAGGTGGGACAGTCCCTTTAATAAAACTTAAGTAAGTACCCTCTCACATTTCAATAAACATACGCGCCCCGTACAGGATGCCCGTTGCGCATCATCGCCGCTCCTCACTTTTCGTCCCCGTCCCATGTGTCTCACCCCACCCATCCACCAGTCCACGGACCACCGACCTGAAGGCCTCTCCGGCGGGACTCATGCTGAGCACGATGTGCAGGTTGGAGCGGACGTGACTGATGAAGTGGCTGAAGATGGCGTCTCGGTCTCCCTCAGGGATGCCGGCCTGCTTGGCGAACGGCCGGCTGGCGATGATCACCTTCTCGTACTCCTCCGGGTCGTACAGACTGGGCACTTCGCCTGGGGAGGGAGAAAGAGGGTGTGTGACAGTGAGAGAGGGGACGTGTGACACTCTGGGTCGTACAGGCTGAGCTCCTCGCCTAAGGAGAGAGAAAGAGTGACAGTTCGGGCCGTACAGACTGGGCATCTCGCCTGTGTGGGGCGGGAGAGCGGAGCATGACTGTAAGGGGCGAGTAATTCCACCTCCTCTATGTATGATGATATGGTTGTGCGATCCTCTCTTGACACCTCACCTCTGCACTGAGGGGCGTATTGTTCTACGGATCGTTGAAACAGTCAAGCATTGCAGCTAGGTGTTACGGCCGCTGAGCTGGTGGCAGCGGATCATGCTCACCCGAGTTGAGAATGCTGTCAATGTCCTCCATGAACTCCTCCTGGGCGATCTGGTAGTCGGCGAAGAAGAACACGGTCTTGTTGCGCTGCACGCCCGCCTGCCAGTACAGCTGGCGCAGGTCGTCCCGGAACGAAGTGTGGTCGTAGCCGCGGCACAGCGCGATCATGAAACACCTGCGGCGGAGTCACGACACCGGCACGGTAAAGGGCAGTTCACGTCGGACAATGTCGCAACGTGGGATGCGATATGACTGACACGAACGCTCGTCTATGGCGGATGGTTGATGCCAGACAAAAAAAAAACGCCGCATTTCAAAACTCAAAACTGCTTTCTGAATCATCACTTCCTCCAGATCACGCCGACGGTTATCACTAAGTGTGAGACCTACGCGGCAGGGCACCAAAACACCAAACCAGCGCGTTCTGCGCTATAGCTAGACCACCCTATGCGCTACTGCAGCACCAGCTCCCACGCCTCCATAGAGCACGATCCCCTCTGAAGGTCGAATCCCGTCTTACGTGGCGTTGTTGACGTGGCAGGCCAGTCGGGTGAGGCTCTGTTTGCCGGTGCCGCCCACTCCCACCAGCAGGGCGTTGCCGCGGTCCGTGCGGAGGATGCGTGCCAGACGCGTCACGTGCTCCACAGCGTCCCGGAAGAACACCAGCTGCATCTCGCGACCGCCGCTCACGTTGTAGTCGTCGAGGTAATCCTGTCGCGTAGGATATTTTCATTGCGCTACATGCACCATACATTCATTGATAAATGACGTCATAGCTATAAGATCATAATGATGTGAGACCCGATTTCAAATATGCCTGGAACGGCTAATGTAAGCTGCAATATACCTACGCATTAAACACCTATGCATCAATATGCGAGCATAGCCAAGCCAAAGGTGATCACGGACCTTTAAACTTATACAGACGACCATACCTGGAGGACCTTTTGCAGCTTGTCGTGATCCTTGAACTCCTCGTACATCTTCTGGTCCTCCTCGGCGCCCATTTTGATGAAGTCTCCGAACAGAATGGGCGTGTCGCGCAGCACCTGTGGGTCCATGTTGATGGCGAAGTTGCGCCCGGCCACCTCCAACATCATCGTGTTGAAGTACATCTTGTCGTCGTCGGTCACCAGACGATCGTGGAACACGCGCTGGGCTTCGTGCGTAAACAGCCTGTGGAAACGCGGTAGACTCGTAATACAACGCAACGAAAACACATTCCAGAAAAACAACATTTATATCGTCTGACGGCCACAAAAAGAAATGGCCAAGCTCCATCCACGAATCGCTCCTTGGCCCTTGCACCAAGAACGCTGCCGTACCAGCAGCTCACCGAAGCCATAGCAGTTCCCCCACGGACCTGAACATGGGCTCCTTGTCGACTATGACGCTGGGGTCGGCCTGCAGCACGCCGTTAATGCACTTGGAGAGGTCTCGCAGGTTGAAGATGTAGTGTGACTTGGACGGCGTCGGCAGCAGGTCCAGGCTGATCCGGATGTAGATCTCCACGGCCGAGTTGACAATGGCGTCCGCCAGTGATTTGACCGGCGCCGCGAATCCGGCCAGAAAACCGTGCACGATCGACTGCGGACAGCGATAGACACTCGGTCACCAACCAGCATAACGGTCCAGAGTGACATAATATCGGTGACAAGATGTAGCCTGGTCTTGTCATCCCGCATCTGCAGCTCATCTGAACGAGTAGGGACGTCATCATGGCTGAGAAGAAATCCACTGCCCCATCTCTAGCTAAATATGAAATCGAGCGTAAGGGTTTCCCCGGCTCTGCCGCTCTTCGCTCACCCGGAATATGTGGACGAGCGTGGCCTCGTTGGGCTGCGGGATGAGCAGCATGCAGAAGTGACGCAGGAAGCGTCCGTTGAGCTGGTGCCGGCCGCCGCCGGGCGGGGCGCACGCAGCGCACACCACCACATCCTGGATCGACTTCCAGAACAGCTCCTTGCGGTCGTACAGGCCGCCAAAGTCTAGCAGCTGCCTATAGGGAGCGGGAACACAGGAGTGTCAGAAGAAACATTACCGGACAGAGCGGGCGGGAAGTTAGTCTGGGGAGTTGAAAGATCGCTGAGAAGTGAAAATAATGCAAGGCCTAATATTTCGATAAACACCCGTACGCTATAATGCAGGATGAACCACTCGGGCATAGACCACTACATATAATATATGCTCGAGTGGTCTATTACAGTGGTCTATGACTTGATATATGAAAACAAGAACAAGGCGCCACGATAGCAAGCCACAAGTAGCCTCTAGATCATTCTCCTCCATCGTCCCAATCCGTGCGTAATTTACCTGAGCAGCTCCACGGGTGGCTGAGCGCCGTATATCTCGGGCCGGGGCATGTTGACGTCGTCGATGAAGACGACCACCTTCTTCTCGGCGGGCGCGGCCAGCACGGTGCGCCGGCGCCGCTCCAGCTTGCTCTCCACCACCTCCTGGGCGCGCATCGACGTCGTGTTGGCAGAGAAGTTGAAGAAGACGGGCACGATCTTGGCGCCGAGCGCCAGCAGCTGGAACCGGCCGATGATCGACTTGCCCACACCTGTCCGGGGGAAATGTATAAGCCCGGGGACTGAGGACGGCAGCGGAGTGGATTTTGTTTCAAAACATTTTGTCGCAAGAGGAAGGTGCTCGCAAGGTCCGAAGTGCAGAGCTTCTAATTCAGAAACTCGCTTACCTTTATTGTGGCAGCTGCTAAGCACCTGGCTAGCAGTAAAGAACAAAAACCCTTATGTATAAAAACCTGTTGAGACTGGCTCACGCGATTTAGCTCCCGCTGCCGCCACACACTGACCGGTTCCTCCGGTGAACATGACGGACGTGTTGACGGCCAGCAGCTTGTCCAGCAGGTAGCTGTAGCGGATCGTGTCCACCGTGGGCACCACGATGTTGACGAAGGACATCTCCGGGTCGAAATGGAACGGGGGCACGATGCGCTCCCACGGGTCCATCTTCTTGTTAGTGTAGTCCATCCGGAAACTCCATAGGTCAGAGTGGGTCGGCAGTCTGCCGGGAGAACACAGCCGGGTGAAAGTTGAAACCTTATTGCTGTGTTAGCTCACCGGCGGGTGTGTCGTGCACCTCAATCGTCATGCTCTGAAATATTCCTTCCTAAGAAACTTATTTCACTTGAACCGACACAACGCATAGCTGTATCGGTATGGAGAGCGGGTAAGCCAGCACAGCAAGAGATTCAACTAGCGACTTCCTAGCAGTGTTTCCACGTTCTAGGCCAATCTCACGATTTCCCTCTCCCGTCATATCGCCACTCACTTGACCTCCGCGTTGTCCTCGAGCTGTTTGCGGATGAACTGCTCGAACTGCTCGCGGTGCTGCTCCACCAGGTTTCCGCCCACAGTCCACAGGTAGCAGAAGACGAATGTCTGCGCCAGCAGCTCGTTGAGCCGCAGCGGCTCTTTGACCGGGTTCAGACCGCCCGGCCCGAACAGCAGGCTCGTCATCAGCCGGCACATCATGGCCACCTTGTTGACCTCGGCCTGCGCCATGGCCTGCGTGCAGGAGCGGGCCACGAAGCGCAGGCCGTCCTCCACGTATCGCTCGAACATCTGCTGCAGCTGGGCGCGCATGTAGTCGCGCAGCTGCCCAGTTTCTTCCAGGTCGTCCAGCCAGGTCTTGACGAACGGCAGCCACTTCATCTCGCCGGGATCGACAAACACCATACCGCACCTGTGGATAAATCACGGTCATATACGCACAGTTTATTATATCGCCGGAGTCGACAAACGCCATAACGTCCTGCGACTGGTGGTTTAGAGAGCAATTTGTTTTACAAAGGTCTATAAACATCATACGTATGCACTATACACTGCACGTCGTGACAATAACCCAAGAAATCCAACCATGACATATTGTCCTGGATGCAGATTCATTTGCTTAGCATTTCATCAAATCACAAAACGGACACGTCACAGAATTGTTCGTTCCGCAAGCTACCGAGCGCACCAGCTCTCCTCGTACCCTGATCGGACGACATTAATGAAATACCCCATGGACCACCAGCCTCCCCGGGTCCCCTCAGTGGCCCCACCTGCTGACTGTAGCAGGGGAGGCCTGCGCCAGGTCGTCCACCTCAAACACCATGCGAACGCCGGGCGTGAGCTTGATGCGCTCAGAGTTGGTCAGGCAGAGCAGCTTGTTGTCATCCAGCACGGTGTTCATGTTCTCGATCCAGACGGCGTCCACGGGTCCGTCGAACACGATCCAGTGCTGGTCCTCCGTGGTGTCCTGCGGTCGACAGAGGTGAAGTGGAGAGGGGATGTGGCACAATGCGGTTTTCAAACTTCTAGAACACCACTCCTAAGCGAAGATTCACGTCCGCAAGCCAATTAAGAACCACGTTGCCAATTAACTGTACAGCAAGAAGAGCTTAAAAGGCTTAGGTACTCTAAAAATGGAGGCATATTTTTATTTATATTCATTCGCATGTCTAACTAAAAATCGATTTTTATGTGTTGCGAGGTCGGTAGCCGGGCCACGGTCCGAGGCGGAGCCAGCAAACTACTGTCTACGGGCTGTGACGGGATATTTACCGAGACGGCGCCGCGCACCAGCCGACCGAGCACACCGTCACGCCACTCGAGCGTCAGTAGGTTGACCTCTCCGTACAGCTCGCCCATGGTGATCGACTTGGGGTTGAGCACCTCCACGTGCACGACCCGGTAGTAGGGCGACTCGTGGCCGTCCTCCAGCATCTTTGTCAGCGACTTCTGCAAAATCTGCCGCGACGGAAATCAGCCGTCAGCAATCCGCACAGACCTTCGCGGCAAATAAACTGCCAAAAACGCGGCAATCTTATCAAAAAATATTACTGAAGTTCGTTACACTGCAGTCATCAATATCGATGGCAAACATGAGAAACTCCATACGACGTGTATGATCTTATTCATTCATACTAACCCTGTAAATGGTGGTTTTGCCTCCGCCAGACGGTCCGACCAGCATCACTCCGTGGCGCACAATCATCGTCTCGTGAAACTGGATCACCTGAAATGGGCGCCAGGCCGGGCTGAGATCAGCCCCAGACAGACACCAATTTATGTATGCTCTGAATTATCCTCAGAAGCACGCGGTCGACTAAGCTACCTCCACCTTGACCACACGGCTAGCTGCTAGTGTAAGTAAATTTGAATCGCCTGAAACACGCGCAAGACATGATTCATCCCGAAACCAATATATCCGTTATAGTTGAACCTGATTATATATTCTAAAATCGTGCCACTCCATAAAATGCCAGGTTTCTAGGACGGTTTTGTGTCAACTATTAGCGCACCTTCTACACAGAGTGTTTCCAAAGTTGTTCAGAGCTCGACGAAAACTCACCTTTCTGATCTGGCACGGCTCTGGCTGCATCTTCATCGACACCATCACGTCTATGATACACTCCTTGAGCTGACCGTAGTCGATCTCGGGAATGACGGCTCCCGGGAACAGATCGTCCAGGATTGCCTGTCGACAGGAGTCAGCAGGAACCATGGGGCATGATTGCGGCGTATGGTGACCCGGTGGCCAAAAGTCGCACTGCAATTCAATGTGCTAGAAAAGAACGTGTCAGTATGATGGCCTGTGCCAGATGTGTCCGTGTTTTGCAGCGGCCAGCCAGCGCATCGTCCGGGCTTCACATGTTTAAAAAAGGAAATTCGGTTCAACACTGACAAAAGGCGTTCGGAAACCAGCTTAATATCCTTCTGTCGATCAGCAAACCATATATCAAACAGTGAATATCGCGGTAACATACGGACACTTACCTTGAACAGTACAAGATCGTCGGAGAGAAACTTGGGCACGTTGGCGTCGCGGAGTGCGCGGATCAGAACGATGTCCTCGTTGATCTGCGGGTTTTCGCGCTTCAGCCGACCGGCCATCACCAGCACAGATTTCAGCGCCCTGACGGAGACAGAGGATGGCGTCAGTTGTTAGCGAGGAGAGACAACGACACAACCCAGAAACGAGCGCGAGGGGCCGATAACGAAACGGCGCACAACCCAGAACAGGTGTCAGCGCAACCAGCCAAAGGAGATCGAGTAATAATCAAAAATAAACGAGATGATATGCATAGCGTCCATTCAGCATGCAACAAATTACCAATAGACATCCTAATGATGGATGACCGTTTAAAGTCATCCTTGTCTCCAGTAACCCCTTCCATTCTGCCGTGCAAAGGCAAAAACTACTATGTGAGGTCAGGTTGTAGTTTTTGCCTTTGTACGGCAGCATTGAAGCCCAGAAGATTCGGGCACACCCACCGCATGCCGAAGTCGTAGTGACTCTGCTGGGAAAGCTGCTCGGAGCACAGTCGGAACAGGTGCACCATCTTCCTGGCCAGGTTCTTGGACGACTCGAAACCCTCAGAGTACAAGATCACTTCGGCAATCAGGCCTGTGGGAGCCGGAAAAGTGGACACATGTAATGTGAGAGCGTCTGTGTTGTGATTTACATCGGTAATGTAACTTCGCTTATCGATTGCCAGTTCAGAAGCTGGCGAAAAGTGATGTAAACATGCTCGATGAAATTATAGAGGCTTACATCAAATTGTGATTCTATAGACTTCTAATTGATCACGGCTCTAGCATAGCCGCATGGTTCGCATCACGAGCGGTGGGGAGGGGCAGGGCAGCGGCTGAAAAGGAGCGCAGCCATGTTCATACCATGCGGCTACACCGGCCGGCCATTTACCGTAGTCGGGCACCATCATGGAGATGGGTCTGAAGAGCGCCTTCAGGTTGTCGGGCAGCTCCGTGCGGCCCGCGTATCCCGGGTTCATCGTGATGAACGCTGCACAGCTACGCACCAGCTTTATCTCGCGGCCCTCGAACATAAACCTGGAACAAACACACAGCAACCAACTCGTTACGGGATAAAATTGAATTGACAGGAGAGCAAGAGAGCCAGACTTCCACCTACCTCTTAATAGAATACCGGGAGTTCCTAAATAAACAGTCGAATTATTTTTGCCTCAAGTGGCGTCAACTAACAAAATCACACCAATCAAATTGCACGTGATGATAGCACGTGCAATGCCATTTTATTTCATACCAAAATCAATCACTTTCCATCATGCAGCCGTATAGTACAGACATAAAAACAAAAATAGTACATTTCTATTTTGAGACAAAGTCAATCGTTGCAACACAACGTAAGCTACAGCGACACTTAAAAAGGACCCAAGTGCCATCAAGAACCGTCATTTTAAGTAAAGTTGAGAAGTTTTTGGCAAGAGGTAGTGTGGAGAACGTAAAAAAGGGTAAATGTGGCCGAAAAAGAACCAAGAGGACGCCTCTAAACGCCCAAAAGGCACGAGAAGCCCTCCAGAGGAACCCACAAAAGTCGCTCAGACGGCTGGGCCAGGAACTGGGCTGTAGCAAAACCACCGCTCACCGTTTGGCCAGAAACGACGTTCAGCTGTTCCCGTATAAGGTCTCCGTTCACCAAGCACTGTCGAAAGTCGACAAACAGTCACGGCTTCTTTACAGCGGCTGGTTTTTGAGAAATTGCGAGCAGGGTAATGAGTTCCTTCACCGAATCTGGTTCAGCGACGAGGCCCATTTTCATATGGATGGCCGCGTGAACTCCCAGAATTTTCGATTCTGGTCGACGGAGCCACCCGATTTGGTCGCGGAAGCCCCTCTGCACAGTGTGAAGTGCACAGCCTGGTGTGCAATGAGCAGCAGTGGCATAATCGGACCTTTCTGGTTTGAGAACGACGCTGGGGAGTCTGTCACCGTCAACGCTCAGCGCTACCGGCAAGTCCTAGCCAAGTTCTGGACTGCGCTGAACAGGCGGCTGGGTGGAGACAGGCAGCTGATGGACCAACAATAGTTCCAACAAGACGGAGCCTCGGCGCACACGGCCGTTGCGACTCGAGAATGGCTGCGGAACCGATTCGGTTCGCGGGTTATCTCCCACAGAGAGGTGCGGACCTGGCCCCCGCACTCTCCGGATCTGACCCCACTTGACTTCTTTCTCTGGGCCCTGGGGTCACCTGAAGTCACAGGTCTACAAAAGCAACCCCAGAACCACAGATGACCTCAAGAGGGCCGTGTCGTCCGCGGTGCGCCGAGTGCGGCCGGAGATCTGCCGGGCTGCGGTGGAGTCCGCTCGGCGACGCGCAGAGCTGTGTGTGGAGCGAGAGGGGGCTCATCTGGAACACGTCCTCTGTGGCCGCAAATGAAAAGACAGCAAAAAGAAGATGGTATCACGTGAAATGGCATCGACTATTGTGTATGTAAGAAAGTGATTCGTTTTTGTCGTGCCTTCCATGCTGATAATATACAGCTTTTAAATACGACTGTTTATTTAGGAACTCCCGGTACGTCCTAAAAGGGAACTTCAATAAGGGTCCGTAGTAGTCCCGAAACGCAAACTTATCAAAAGTAAGCGTTCAGGCATTGAACTGCGTCATCCCATCAAAAATATTTCATTAGCTCCAGCACATCGTCGCCAAGTCTGCCACCACCCAGGGTATTCTCGTAGCTCCAAGCTCTGCCGTTCAACTCACCTCTGCGCGCCGACCACTTTAGCGCCGCGGATGGTGATGAGTTGCTGCGCTATCACCGACAGCACTTCGATGTCGATCCGATTGAACTCGTCAAAACAACACCAGGCGCCCGACTGGGCCAGACCCGAGAAGAAGCGACCCATCATCTGTCGAGAGAGGGACAGGTGAAGTGACTTTTCTTCCTCGTATAGCTGCAGCTCTCATGGATGTTTTTAGTGCAGCGTGTGATGGATCGGTCTACGGTCAACTAAAACTCCAGCATGTCTGCAAGTAACAAACCTTATAATCGATGCCCTCTGAGCAGTTGAAGACGACACACTGAATGGCCAGCGACTTGGCCAGGTCCTTAGTTGTCTCCGTTTTACCGGTGCCGGCTGGCCCGGCTGGCGCACCGCCTGACGAACCAGCAGTTGTTAGTGCGCTGCACGCCGCACGGTCCATCGTACGAGCCAGTGACATGTTGAATGTATTGCGAAAGTTTCACAACACTACCGCTCGTTCTACACTTCGTGCACTCATATACCAAATACTCTCTGGTCTGTTCTTCGATATTCTTTATCCGTACAAATAAGCCCTCTGAATCGCACTCGGAAGCCAGCGTACTCCCAAGCTGCCCCGCACCATTATCGCTGCTAACTGACCGAGGTCGAGTTGCAGCGCGCCCATCAGACAGAGGTAGCAGCGGTCGGTGAGCGGAGTGATGACCAGTCGCGGCGAGGCACCCAGGTACTCGTAGCCGTAAGTGTGGCGCGCCAGACTCATGGCCGCCTCACAGGTGTCGGCCTGCACCGACCAGTAGTAGCGCAGCTGCTTCAGCCACTCGAAACTGCCACTGCACGGGACAGAGGGGACCAGTCAGTTACGGCTATGCTGAGTTTTCGGAAGCACTGTCTTATCGTCTTCGGGTCGTCAATTTACGTTCAGAAAAACATATTTTTAGTTTGTGTTTCCTGAAGTGATAAAATCATCAAAGAAGATTTCAAGCAAGTTTGACATAGCTTCGGCTAGCTGGGAGTTTATGTTAAAAAGGTTGGTTGCCTAGACAGCAAAATTTTTTGGAAACGGTTGCTGAACTGTGCGGCATCATATAAAATTCCTCTACACTGTTTTCCTGTCCAGTGCCCAGAATTCACCGCCCTACCTGGAGTCGCACTGGGACTGCACCAGCCCGGTGATGATGTCCCGGGAGTGGACGCTGATGGTGATCAGCGCACACAGCACGTTCCGCTCCAGGTCCTTCAGCTCGCCGCGCACCATCGCCGCCAGCTGGTTCAGCGTCTGGGAACGCACGATCACGTACAGAGCGATTACGCCTTGAAAACCCGACACTAGCCAAATCTTGTGCGCTGATACAATTCAAGTAGAATTATACGTTTTTTCTTGTGGCTCGCGAATGTTCAGGTACTATCACCGTACTGCTGCAATCCGCTCATCCTATCTCGCATTGATTTGGCTGCATGCAACGGAAAATGAGCGGCGGTACTCCGCAATCCACAAGCTGTTTAAGACGAACTTCACTGCGTGTCGTGCCACAGCTTCCACTGACCTGGAACATCTCGTCCTCGAAGGCCTTCATGGCGGCCAGCCGGTCGTGGTCTCCGTCGAGGACGGCGTGCACGTCTCGACACCAGACGATCTGAGACACGGTCAGGACCACCTAGGGATGGTGACGGGGACGGCGGCAGGTCAGGTCAGATGCAGGGGGTCAGACACTTACCGGTCAGATGACAGGTCAGACTAACCGGTCAGATGACACGTCAGACGCCGGCGGCGCTGACAAGTTAAGAGTACGATATGTGACAGCCGGCCGTTCAGATGCAGACAACGACGGCAAGTCAGCGTAACGGCCGGATAATATTTGGGCACCAGGGCTGCGCACAATGGAGAGACAGCTGGTGCACTCCTGTCAGTTCCAACTCATCACAGATGACCTAATAATTATTTTGTCTCCCGTCATAGCCCTACCTGGGACAGATTACTGGGAGTGGGGACCCACGCATTCTGTCCCATATATATTCTTTTGCAGGGCCACGGGGAGGGGTGTCCCAGCCTCATCGGGATGGGAACTCTAGCTGTATCCTACCTGAGACGGATGCGAGGTGACCCACGCCTCCTTGCTGGGCTCTGCGTAGTCTAGCAGCGCCTGTTTCATGGCCCGCCGCAGCGAGGTGAACATGGCCTCCTCCACCTTACCCAGCCAGTCCTCGACGTTACCGCGAGCCTTCAGACCCTGCTAGCCGAGACAGAGAGTGAATAAACTGGGTCGTTACCAACGCTCAGTCTCAACGAATATAAACAAATAAGTGCTAGGAATGTGAAGCTACTGCCAAGAAATATTTTAAAGCTGGCTTTGATCATAACAATAAACAAGCAGAAATGTGTTGAACAAAACGCCTTTATTTAAACAGATGGAAAAGAATTTCATATCACACACCTTTGTTAGAGGAACATGTTCTTTTTCTGGCGAGAGCATGGCCAGAATCTCGTTGCTCATTTCTATCTGTCCTTCAGCGTTTTCCTTTGTACCAAATTCTAGCTTATGAATGGCGTCGAAGCACTTTTTCAAGTGAGGTTCAACAGCCTGGGGATTTCTCGTCTGAAAAATAAAACGTTATCCCTCAAGAATCAAGATAGGCCAGCTCATCAGAGAAGAGGAGCGTCAAACATTTGGCGAAAATGGATGATTGGTGGCAGCAAAGGAATCAAACTCGGTCAGCTACATAATTTGACATCTGCGTTTGGCCTTGGCAAGTACATATTGTGAAGCATACATGGGCTGATACAGGGTGTGAATACGTTATGTTAGAGTGTCTTACTTGGGCCAGGATCTCCAGCAGCTCGTCATTCGACAAGAAGTAAAACCGCGGAAAGATGACTCTCTTCGATTCCTGCAAAATAAACGGTCACTGTCAGTACTGGAACAAAACGAATGCTGGTGAACACAGCCCAGTGAATTAATCGGACACGGACACATTATCCGAACGTTGCTTTACGTTGAGTGCGTATTGTTGCAACAAATGTCGTTATCCCAGATTAATTGTATCTCGCCTTGGAACGCGGAACCTACCAGATAGGCCTCGAGGCACTTCATGATCTGGTCGAGCAGGCCGTTGTTGGTCTGGAGGGCGTCCAGCATACCGGCCTGGGTGGCGGCGCGAATCGCCAGCGGAACCTGACGGCGGAAACACGCAGCGGCGCGGAAATAGTGACAGAGAACAGAACTGTGCGTGAGCGCAAGTGGGAGATAAATGGGATACAATTGAGTGGGTAACAATGCAGCGGAAATGTGCTCTTCGGAATTTCACAGGTTTTCGGTACTGCCCCTCGACTCATAATGATAACACTAAGATGAAGATGAAAATGAGTGAAAATCTTCTCCCGTTCGACCAAGAAAGCTACGAACCGCCCCCTCCCACACCTTATAGACTCGACGCATGATGTCTTTGTACGACTTGTCGACGGTGATGAACAGTTTGGCCTCAGTGGGCAGCTGCCGCTGAATATCGGGCGCACAGAACACGGAGCCCAGGTAGAGCCAGGTGCGCTGACAGGTCAGCCACTCGTCCTGGGGACACGACGGTGAGGGTTGTGGGGGAGGGCAGAGGCTACTCAGGGGACCCTGATCAATGCACGTGGTAACGCATTGGGTGCGAGCTTCGGAGTCGTCACGGAAAATCCGGTATAGTTGCACACTCCCTGAAATTCACTGTGTTGTGTGAGGGTTTACCACTCAATGGTAGATTAACACCCAATAACCATGTCGACTGCCCGGACATAGCAAACAAACATCACATTCACAAACAATGTGTCTACCCGCGCTATAGCTGATTGCCAAACACTTGCATTCCTAACAGGAGCTGGTGCATTTGGGGGTGAACAGAAGTGCATTATTTACGTCTAAGGAAATTCAACATTAAACAGACGACCCATAATAGCGCCTTGGAACACAAACATTAAAGCTTGGTTGTTTATCAGTGTGTGGTGTCTCCTGACCAGAGTTTTGGCGAACAGGTCCAGGCGTTTCTCCCAGTCCTCCACCCGAGACCGGATTGGGCCGACATGGCGTGACGACGAAATGGTCTGAAATAAGCAAAACGCCGTCAGTCTCACACGCAAACGTGCTGGTAAGTTCTAGTCGTCATGTTTTGTTAATCATGATCGACAACTGTACACCAAACACGCAATGACAGACCACTTACACCCATGTAGAGCTTTCATACGACATGCATGTGTGCAGGAATGCGGCGTGCTCCGTGACCGCTCACATACCTGTATGTTGATGTTGGACTCGTCGAGCAGCTGCTGTATGTCGTCCGTTCCACCCAGAATAAAGACATCCTTCTGTCCGCTGAGCGGGACCACGCTGAACTCGGTCGACTTCCACACGGCCTCCACCTGACCGACACGACAGAGTTGAGCAGCGCTCTCCAAATACAGCTAATGCATTACACGCAATAAACTATGTAAGGCATGAACGAAAAACAATTCTGCTCCTAGCCACATATTCTGACCAGTTATACTGGTATGTGTCGAACTCATCTCCCTAATTGGATCTCGGTCTTTTCAGGATATAAAAGGAAGCAGCAGGCCCAACATCGAATTCAGCACCAGATCCAGCTCTACCTTAGACCCAAGGCCCTAAAACATAGACCCAACGCTTAGACCCAACGCTACCAGACACGGCTGCACCGAGCGCGACGTCGGTATGTGGAGTGTGGACCCAGCGCCGCCCACCTTTCCGAGCAGCGTCTCTAGGCTGGCCTCGGAGCTGGCCTGGCCCGAGATCTCCTTGATCTGCTCGGCTTTGGCGAACGCCTGGTAGTCGATCAGCAGGCGCAGTGTCAGGGGCGTCTGCTCGTCCAGGTCCAGCAGCGGACGGCCGAGCAGGCGCTCAATGGCCTCCCAATGGCGACGCCGCAGAGTGGTGTTACGGAGGTCGGCGATCGTGGTGAGCTGAGAATGGACAGTGCAGGGTATTGGTCAGCTGGGGACGGACAACGGACGGCGCTTGTCGTCCGATAGACGATACTCTGAATGGGCAACGAACGGACGCAGGACTATCGTAAGGTAACGAAACGCATAAAACATGTAACATATAAACATATAAGACATATAAAACTGCAATTCACGATTCGTCGCCAGTGCAGACTGCCAAGTGCCAACTGTCCAGTCACTTCATCCTCTGGCCCGTTCATGTAGTCCACATAACACGAACTTGGAGCATGCTGTGCCGCACTACACAGGTGCTTTGCGGCACAGCAGGCTATGACTGACGACTGTCACACGAGTCGAAACCGACGCATACGGATGACGCCGACACGCAGCTGTTACATCGCAACGTCGAGTGACTGCCCTGTGATATCCGTACCTTGACTCTGAAGTCGTCCACCTTCGCCTTGAGCACGGCGTTGACGTTATTGGGCGGCAGGCCCTTCTCCAGCTGGACAACCGTCTTGTTGAACCTCGCCACCAGTTGCGTGAGCTCCTCCACATCGAGGTCGTTGAACGGTGCCTGTGGACATCCAATAAACCCACTGAGCATGTACTCTGATAATGGTCGATTTTTTGCACAAAACTAACTTCAGCGACGTATCAAACATAGGCGGCGGAACGATTTGAGACAAGGGGGGGGGGGGCACCAGCTCAAGGAGCCAAACCTAGGGTACCCCCAAATCCTGTTTTCTCATCGGAATTAGGCCACTTATTTTTCGTCACAGCCCTGACACGATGATTCTTTATTATTTTTTTTCTAAACCAAAATGGCAGTTAACCCCCCCGTATGTGTGGTTAACTTAAAAATGATCCTCAAGTACCTAGGAGGTCACATGGGTCATGACTTAGGGCCTGGGGTCACCACATGCCTGCCAGGAGCACCACAGGCCTGACAGCCGACAGGGGCACCACGGGCCTGTCAAGGGCACCACAAGCCTGTCGTTGGCACTTTAGGATTGTCAGGGGCACCACAAACCTTTCAAGGGCACCTGCGTTCTAACAGGGGCACCACAGGCTCGCCAGGGGCACCACAGACCTGCCAAGGCACAGGGACACCACTGGCCTAGCAAGGACACCACAGGCCTGTTAGGGGCACTATGGGCCTGGGCACCTAAGTTATGTCAGGGCCCACCGTAGGCTTGTCAGGGGGCAGGGTAGGTAGGTAGGTACCACAGTCTTTCCAGGGGCACCAGCGGCCTAGCAGGGGCACCAGTCATCACATGTCTAACCAAAAATAAAGAAGAAGAAAAAAAAACTGAAAATAGGGCACCACCAAAATTAAGTGACCGAAATCCGTTGAGGTTTTAATTTTGGGTATAGGTAGGGGCACCACTTCGATTCATGGCCCTCCCCTTGGAGTTTTCCCGAATCCGCCCCTGGTACTAATACATCAAATTTAAGGGGGGCACCTTGCTATTGGTGCCCCCTTGCAGAATTCAAGGGGGCACGGTGCCCCGGTGCCCTCCCCCCGTTCCGCCGCCTATGGTATCACATGATGATACCGGGATCGACCTTCGAGGCAAAGTGAATGCATGTCAAGAAAGTAGCACCAACACTGTAAATTGGCGTTTAACGGTTAGAGAAGCGTGAGACTGGTCCGTTTTCGCCCTTGGTTTGACCAGCTGTCTGAGGCATTCCGCCGACTCACCACGAGTGTGTCGTTCAGGAACTTGTCCCACTCGTCGAGCGAGTCCCAGAGCAGCGTCCTCAGGCGCAGCTCGTCCTGGGCCTTCTCCAGCTGCTCCAGCTTGGTCACCTCCAGCTGTCGAAAGTGGAGATGGTCAGCTTCACAGGCAGGCTTCAGCAGCGCAGCGACACATATTGCCAGGGCACTTGGGATACGTGTTTACCCATGTGAACCGCTGAATAAGAAAACCAATAAAATTATTTCACTTGATTAAAAAAAAAAGATAGAACGTATCATCTGCTTGACAGGATGTCCAGCTGCTTCAAATGATTTTGAGCACATATCAAGCAACACGTTCCTTGCATAAAGGGTTTGAGGCATACCAGCTGATCGACGACTTACCCGGAACTTTTTCTGGTGATCTTTGAGAGTCGCCGCGGCATTTTCGTGTTTGCGTAGAATTTCCGTGCAGGCCGTTAACTTATCACGCACCACCTTGTGGTCGGCCTCCATTTGAAGAAGCACCGGCTCCTGAGCATGGAAAGGGGTGTCATCGACAGCAAACTTTGACAAGGACAGTCTAGATCAACTGGCTCGAGGACGCCAAAGGTTATCTCAGGTTAATCTTTTGCACTGTATTAAATTGCACTTAACATCGGAAACAGCACTACAATGGCCTAGTTTACGCTAAGAAAGGACGACAAATCCCCGCCTTACGTTGATTTGCTGTGTGACGCTCTCGACGTCTTTGCTGAGCGTTTTGATGTCCTTGGCGAGGGAAGCGGAGAGTTTCTCCACACAGGCATCCCGGTCGCTGACGCAGTTGTCGGTGAGGTCGTGTAGAATGGCGACTGTCGGACTCAGCGTCTGGAGAGACATGGGGCACGGACTCAACTGTCATACGGCTGGTTACGGAAGCAGGTCGCATGGTGCCATGGAACGGCATAAATGATGATTAACTCGTGAAAATATTGAAGATAAGCAATCAATCGTTTACCATGATGTTACAAGGACGGTTAAAATATCAAACAACGCTTATCAGCAGCACTCGCTCTCCATTTATGTTTTGCATAGTACAAACCGCTGATCTACTTACATTGAACTCTGCTATGTACTCTGGCGGGATGGGTGTCTGGTAGTCCTCCATCAGCTCCACCATCTGGCAGACCACATCCGCCTCCTGCTCCAGACTCTCGATCTGTTCGGGACATGCAGAGAACGTAGGGAGACTGTTATACACCGCGGTACACACCACGTCGGCCTCCTGCTCCAGGCTCTCGATCTGTTCGGGACATACAGAGAACTTCACGGGGCTGTAACCGGGGGAAATACGAGTGCCACGTCGGCCTCCTGCTCCAGGCTCTCGATCTGTTCGGGACATACAGAGAATGTTAGGAGACTGTAGGAGACTGCGTGGGACACACCACGTCCGTCTCCTGCTCCAGGCTCTCGATCTGTCCAGGATACATCAGCCGAGCGTTATTATTGGACTGCGCAGCTAAATGTATACTCAGCCGTGGAGCACATTATGTCGGCCTCCTGCTCCAGACTCTCAATCTGTCCACAACACATCGGTACCGTCAGGGGTCTGTTCGCAACCGCGGGAATGATGACAATTATTTACAACAGCACGTCAAGACAAACAGATCAAAAAGATCGATACTGCTGCAGCTGCAGGAAGCCACAGACCACAGACTTGCCACCATTGGCAGGATGAAATGACAGCAGTGTCTCCGAGGTACCCGCTGCTAGGGTAGCTAACTGGCCCACAGCGGGGTAGCATGAATATTAACAAGGCCAATAGCCTCACCCGGATGGAGATGTCGTCGAGGAAGGTGAGGAAGGTGACGTACTCCTCGGTGGTGGTCGGCGTGATCTCCAGCTTGTAGTGCGCGTCCTGCGACTCCTGCATCAACGCCTCCACCCGCGCCTTGGTCACACTGCGGCGTACAGATCGGGTCAGAAAACGTACCAAACCTCGGTGACTGTGTATCTCACAGACGGCAACCGACATTCGGCGTGGTGAAAATTTGGTGTTAACATTGAAATGGACAAATTAACCTCGTCTATGCAAAGAAATACGATTCACAACGACGTAGCTATCCGTAGAACGGTAGAACGTTATGATATACCACAAGAGTTTAGTACTACCACCAGACCCGCAACTGACCACCTGCATCTGGACTCTGACCAGGACACTCACGTGGGCATGATCTTGTGGATCTGCTCGAGGCAGTGCTCGGGCGAGGGTCGCACCATGTCGCGCACGTCTGTCGCGTTCACGCAGAACACACCCAGTTTGCGGTCAACGGGGATGTTCTTGACCTCGTTCACCTGGCTGGTGAATTTGGCCAGAGCCGAGCCGAATTGGTCCAGATCTGTGGTCGATGAGAACAGACACGGGTGATCAGGGGCTGAAGGAACGCACAGAATGAACACACTCAATACGCATACAGCTTCAGATCTTCCATGTTGCAACGTAAGACACATAACGATTGTATCGTTACACAACGATAAATCGTTACCTCGATGAGCAAATAAGATCAAACGACAATCACTGCTCTCCTATTTCACAAAGTAATACCTACCGCAACCGATGGTAGCAAAAGACGTCATATCGGTCCGCATGTTCTCATAGAACCACTCCTTGACGTGCTCGAACGTCTGGATGTACGTCTCCGCCGCCTGTCAGCATAGAATACCGACAACGCTGCAGCTACGTTCCTGCTCCTAACAACACCGCAATATATCAGCATAGATGTTTGGGGGGGGGGGGGTTACGCTCCCACTCCTGCGAAGTCACGGTGGCGCCCTAACGAGCACTTTTTAACGCTCATTCTGAACGATTCATGTGGCATAGCTCACATGAGGCATGCGTCATACACCGGTTCAGCAAAATCGCAGCAGCAACACGATCGCTACGCGGCTTCCATCTCCAGCCCGACAGGCCAAGGCATGGTCTGTCAGAGCTGGAGCGAACGTCGCCCGCAGTCTCGTTCGGCGCCCTCCACCCACCTGGAATCCCACGACCACCATCTCGGAGATGTGTGTGGACACGTCGGCCATCTGTTCGTCCGAGTCCAGCACGTCCTCCAGGTCGGGGCCCTCCTGGTCGTCACTACCCAGCGTCTTCCCGTTTATGGTCGGTCTGCCGACGGGGCCGGGGAAATGCAACCATTGTCAATCAATATCTTTCACACTTTCATGCGACACTTCAGATGTACTTATTTTAAGCAATATCAACAATCGTTAAACAGTAGATCATCCAACGGTTAAGATAAAAACCGATTTCATAATTAATTCGGTGATTTGTCTTCCATCTAGCAGTTGAAACATTCACCAACCTCGTGATGAACATGAATGTGTCGTCGGTGAAGAGGTTCTCCATGTTCTCGACCAGCTCTCTGCTGCTGGTGAGCAGCTTCTCCACAGTGAGCCGGAACTCCTTGATGGGCGGGACGAGGCGCGGCACGGCGCCGCGAAACTCGAGCGACGTGAGGAACAGGGGCTCGGCAGGTGTCTCGGGCTCCTCGCCCGGCTCCGGCGGCTCCGGCGGCTCCGGCGACGGCTCCGGTGGCGGCTGCAGACGGCGGGCGGTGGCAGACGGTTCATAGTGCGGGCAATAAAGGGGAACAAGGTTCAATGGACGGGAGATGAGACATTTAAATATCTGGCGTTGAAGGCGAATTAAATACTCGTATGGTTTTTTTTTTTAACCGCGAAACGCAAAATCGTGAACGCGTACATATTTATGATGATGTCAAATCGTCCTAAAATGAAGTGCGATACGAGCTAGGCTTTACAAACTGATCCAGACTTGACCCGAATATATAGCCGTGTCGGGTACCACTACTTTCACTACAAAAGCCACCGAGCACTGACCGGCGGCTCGTTGGAGGGTCCCGTCGGTTTCTTGGCCTCCGTCTTTGGTTTGTCGGCCGGTTTGGCGGTCAGCTCGATGATCAGCTGGTCCTCGGGCGGGATGCGCTCGACACGACTCGACAGCGCCCGCTCCATGTAACACAGCGTGTTCTTCACCAGCTGGTGCTTGCACGTCATCAGGATCAGGTCGATTGTGTAGATGAACCTGCCGAAAGAAGCGAGTGTCAACAAAATGACGCACACCTGCACCAAACGGCAACAGGTGACACAAAATACATACCCACGTCGTGTAACACGGGTGATGAGTTGGACATCTCGTTACTAAGCTTCACAAAGTCAGATGAAACAGTGAAATGTGTGCTTCTTACTAAGGTTTTCGAAAATTGTATATGCAAATTAAACATAGCTCTGCGACTCTTAATAGGCATGTGTGCGAGGTTAACGATTCCAGCGCGACACGTCTTATATCGCAGCCGTCGTCGTTCTGACCTGGTGAGCCGCTGGCACTGGCGCCGTTTGTCGGCCTGTTCGGTGAACGACATCTGCTGCGAGTAGTCGCCGACTTTGAACAGCGCCAGACACTGCTGCGGGTCCATGTGCAGCTTGGTCTTCCACACCGTCTGACCTGCGGTAGTGCGAGGGTGAGAGGTAGGGGAGCACGGGTTCATGTCGTGTACTGATCGTTTTAAACAACGGTGTGTACAAAATCAAGCGTCATCAACGTAAAGTTACTCAGCATCGTGCTTTTATTCCGACGTTTTCGCGTGTTTTTTTCAGCGCATGGTGCATGCGCCTCATTCAAACGGAATGGTATAATAAACGATGTTACACGGGTATGACCTGAGTTGTATAAACAGTTAAGGGGTCACCCGAAGTACGATCAAGTCGCATTAACACATAGGACGGTGTTCAAGGCGCGAACAGGGAGCGGTGAATCAACATTCAACACTCAGCGCCATCACATAAACGCCTGATGCAATATGTCATGTGGTGTTTTGTGTCACGACTACCTATTCACAGCCAGCCCTGCCAGACTACCATGCAACATCTGTCCATCGCAGCAGCAGCTACCGAAGACCGCCCGCGTGTCCGTACCGCATTTGACAGCCAACGCCAGTTCCTCGATGTACTCCTCGGTGGGGAAGCCGGCCTCCAGCATGGCCGTGTTGCAGGCCGTCTGGACAATGTCGCGCACCAGTCGGCGGAACTCGGCTAGCGAGTCCTGCACGCTGCTTAGCTGATCCGACTCGGCCTGAATAAACTGCGGGTGGGCAGCAGAGCGGAGTCACGACGTACTGCCACTGGCTGGCACCGCCGGGGCACACTGATGTAGTGTCATGAGAAAGAAATGAGGAGGGAAAGTGTTGTACACGTACGCTGCTCAGCTGATCCGACTTGGCCTGAATAAACTGCGGGAGGCGGTAACAGCAGAGAGGAGTTACGACAATATAAACATAGGTCGGAGAGATAACAGAGAGAAGTTAGGGAGAAAAAGGAAAGAAGGAGGGATAAGCTAGAGTGGGAGAGAGTAAGCGCGGAAGCTGTGATAAGCATAGTGGATGTCAGAGGATAAAATAGATCATTATCAACGGAAAAGACCGTACAGACAATACTGACTACACATACAATTATTCTATGCGAACGCTATATTCGCAGATGTTATCGCAGATTCCAATAAAGAATAATTTCAGACGCCCGAGTGACCGCGCAGCTCACGTTCTCCAGTGTGTAGATGTTGGTATCATCAATGTCCACGATGCCCAGGGTGGCCACGGCGTTGCAGAGATGTCGCACGGCCAGTAGGGCGGCTCGCAGGCACGGCTGGAGGATGAAGAGGTTCTGCGAGAGGCTGCGCTGCGCCAGGTGGAACTTGCACCAGCGCACGTTCACCCGCCACTGGGCGAACTGTTTCCACATGCGGAACTGACGGAACGTGCGGATCTGCCGAACAAGGAGGGGGCGGGGTGGGTCGAGATATGCCAAGGGAATGGATCAGGGCAGGTGGAATGCATTCTGTTACACAGCGAACGCAATTAGTGCCTACAGACTGTCGGAAGGTTTTATATGTCGCTAACTGAGAACGAGAACGTATTGGCACACTGGATGTCAGGCATTGCAAGGGCTTTTTATCGATTAACTTACTGCATTATTCCATGTCATTATAAGCATTTGTATGACTGATTCTTTGTGAAACGCATACTCGTCGCATTGCTATTCCAATTTCCACATAGCCCTGAGTGAACGAATCGTCAGGCTGTCGGCTCGTTACCCTGGCGAGTTTCTGGAACATTATGTAGTCTCGCTCCCATTCTGGCAGCGGCACAAAGTCAGCCTCCTTGTTCAGCACGTGGGTGACGCCGTGCTTGCTGATCGTGAAGTACTCCTCCGGATCGATCGCCGAGTAAGGCGCCACCCTGGCCAAAGCACCGGCACGGGTTAGTGCCGTCTTTATACCGTAAGAACTAAGAGTCACACTTCTACTGAACGATATAACGAAAATCTTACATAGATCGAAATGGACCACGAATGTCGGCTAAAAGACGTCAGTAAGAAAGCAATGCAGTCATCTTCCGTCATCCATGCTCGGGATGCAGATTATAAGCCGCTCCCGAGGTACCCACCTAGTCACCGCTTTCAGTTATCGTCGCCTAGCATTTGCAATATAACTATTCTACATCACGGATCCCATCTTTTCCCACTCCCCGCACGGCGGCGGACTCACTTGAGGCAGTAGTAGTGCCGCTCCACGGCGTATGTCGGCACAGACGCTACCAGGTAGAAGAAGCCGACGCGCGCGTCCTTCCGGACCTTATCAATAATGCAGGCCACGTCCTGGGGCACCTCGTCCAGCTGCACGGAGCCGGCGCTCAGCTCGGTGGAGGCCGAGGTGCCGGAGCTCTCAGAGGCGGCGCCGGCACCCACCGAGCTCAGACGGGAGCCGGCCGGCCGCTGCTCGCTGGCGCGGCCCGACACGGCTGCCAGACAAACGGGACGGGTGCGGGGCTAAGGATTTATTCGGATATGTACCCAGATACCGATGTAATAAGTCAGAACGTCTCAAGAGTCGTGGCGGGTATCGTTTCGTTTACTTACCGACAGAAGATGTGTGTTTCGTCTTAGTCTTGGTTTTCTTCGAAGAAGCTTTGAGAATGTCCTCGTAAGACGCGCAGCCGTGACCGCGCTTGCCACTTCGGATTTGTCCGGGCCATTCCTGTGCATGGATCCGGGTATTAACTGGATACGGTGGAATCGGTGATGGTTTCATCTTCACGTACCAGAACAAAGTTTAATGGAGTCGTTAAAATGCATAATTGTTTTCGAAAGTCGATGCTATTCCACGCCAGTCATTCTACGTAAAGTAGTTACTCAATGTCAATGTCAGCAACACTTTTTCGGGTATGGTCTATCGGAGATACGGGAAGGACGGTTAAAGGAAGAAAACATGCATACGATCTGTGAAGCAAGGTGAACGCATCTGCGTCGGGAAATGCGACGCATTGATATGCGTCGGGAAATGCGATCGGCGAGGGTCATCTCACCAGTGGCGATAGCTGGAAGGGTCGGGTCGATTTCTTTCCCGGTGCAATAGCTCCGGGAGCTCGCGGGAGCCGCAGCGGGTCCTGTCTTAGTCGCTCCTTGAGACCGGGTGGCACCAGCAGCCGCTCCTGCAGCTGACGCGCCATGGCCGGGTTTGTCGGTGGCAAGTACGGCAGACCCAGGGAGCGTGCCGAGGCCCCCGAGCTGCCATGCGACGGGCCGCCGCTGCCGCCGGAAGGATCCCGACGTGGCATCTCCGACAGTCTTCTGTCTCCCGACATCGCTCCCGAACTTGATCAGGCCTGGACACGATCAAGCTGGAGAGAGAGAGAGAGAGAGAAGAGAGAGAGAGAGAGAGAGAGAGAGAGAGAGAGAGAGAGAGAGAGAGAGAGAGAGAGAGAGAGAGAGAGAGAGAGCTTGGTAAAAAAAAGAACAGTCTGAACTATTACAATGGCGGTCTCGGTGATTGCCTGGTAAAATTTATCTACCCCGATTCAAAACAGTTCCCAAAAGACAGCATGGCATCATGAGGGTCTCACATATCAAATCAAGGAAATGTCAGGGAAAAGCCCGAACACAGATCGTCGATGGAGTCCAACGAATACCTACATGGCATGACATGTTGATGTGCAGATGATCCCAACCGAAACGATAAATATACTATGCTTCTTCTTCCAGTGATGCACAAATCCAAAAAGTCTTGGCCCTCGGGAAATGCCCTAGAGCACCGGGAACACCGTTTTCCATTGGCTTCCGGCTTGGCTTACGAGGCTTTCCAAGCAAGTTTCCGGCCATCAGCTGTTCAATGTAAATATTGACGTTGCCATAGCGACACGCTCCGCCCACCAAGTAATTACTAATTAGCTGCAAAATGTTGCTGGTTACTTTGATTGTCCTTGCTCTAAGCTTGAAAATGTTAGCAGTGCTCAACTTCAAAGATGCTTTTTGTTTTTTTCTTAATTATTACATGAGAATCGCTATTTTGAATGACCATTGCGTGTTTGGGTGAAAGCAGAGGGGTCACGGCGTTTGAAAACCTGCTGCAAATTTGTGATACAATTAGGCATCCTTGACTCCAAGACAATTGCGGCATTTGTGGATTTCGACAAGCGCTGAGAAACGGCGGGTGTTGTGTGGGAGCGCGGGGGTATAATTGGTTGATTAACTGTGTTATAATTTATATTGTTTGCGGTGTGAATCTGCTGGGATAGGCTGCAGTGCATATTGATACAAAATATTTCTTTGTTCAGCTATAATTCTGCTTTCAATGCCAGGGGACTTGACATGAAGGAAGCATATTTTCTCTCAGTAGTGTCGTATCACTGAAGCTGGAAGCTGCTTTTGAAAAGCCCATTTGATACATTTTCCGAAGTCACACAAATAAAATGGCTTTGACAAGACCTAGTTCCAAATCATCACTTATGAGTAAGATTCATGGCGCTATTGCTGACAAGATGGGACCACCGAGATTGATCATTGAAAGGAGGACTATAGAGAAGACATACAAGCTCATGGATAGAGTAGTCAAACTCTGCCAGCATCCAAGAATGAATCTGAAGAACTCTCCACCTTTTTTGTTGGATATTCTGCCAGACACTTACACACATTTGAAGGAGATATGCAGCCGCTATGAAGATCTGGAAGTTCTCAACAACAATGAGTACTTCAGGGTCTTCATTGAAAATCTGATGAAAAAGTGTCGCCAAGCAGAAAAGCACTTCAGGGATGGAAAGGAGCAAATGTATGATGAGAACTCTGTGTACAGGAGGAATCTCACAAAGCTGTCTCTTGTGTTCTCACACATGCTCTCGGAGCTGCGTGCAATATTCCCAGAACATGTGTTTATGGGTGACCAGTTCAGAGTCACAAAGAGTGATGCAGCAGACTTCTGGAAGATGTACTTTGGAGAAAGGTAAACATTATTGCTAGTTTACTTATTACTTATTCTTACTAGTTTTACCTGAATTTAATAACTTGAATAGTGATAATATAAAAGATGAAGAAACCTATTTTTCTAGTTTTTACTCAAGATTAAGGTTTCACTTTTGATTGTAAAGCTTATTTATCATTTTAACTGGGCTTTATTCATTCTTTTTTGGAGATCCAAGTACACTTGTGAGAGAGTGTTTCAGTGTTTTGTAAGTTTGGGTTGAGTAACTATCTGTGTTATGTGCCAATCTGACTTTGTACCTACAATGACTGCTTTTTCAGGACATTGGTGCCATGGAAGGTGTTCAAAGAGCGGCTTGATGAGGTGCATCCCATCAACCCTGGACTGGAGACAATGGCGCTGAAAACCACCATAGACCTCACCTGCAATGACTACATCTCAAACTTTGAGTTTGATGTCTTCACCAGGTAAGATAGAGTAATGCTGCAAAGGATGCTGCCTGACAAGAGACATGTACTTAGTTTGGTGTGCTGTGCAATGAGTTATGCTGGGCTGCCCCATTCAGTCCCTGCAGAAACAAGGATTAATTAAAAACCTTCATGGAGGTTTATCTATACTCCAGTTACAAAAATTGTGTATTTCAGTACATTGCAGTATCTGCTAAAAGGCTCTAAGGTCTCTCTCTAGATTGTGGGACAGATTCTTAAAGTTTCTTTTACAAAGTCAACTCAGTGGAAAACTGATACTTTGGGGTATGTGGCTGTTTGCAATTGCTACCTTCTTGAGGCTTGACAATTTTACATACATAGTAAGAAGTAGGTAAGAAGAATTACTGAGCCACGATCTGCACAATCATCTAAGGTCCATTTCAGCTCAATCGCAACCTGTGACCTTTACAGAACAACTGAAAGTTGTGATAGCTAACCTGCCAGATCAAGACTTGTGAAGCATGCTTAGCCTTCCCTTTGCGCTGTGTATTATGTCCACATTAAACCAATGTTTTGGGTGGTCACCACCACTTTCACACCCCTGTATTGTTGATATATCACCTTGGCTCGCAGTGGCGTATCCAGCTGACTTTTCCCCTCACCTCCCTCAGGCTGTTCCAGCCGTGGACCACGCTGCTGAAAAACTGGCAGATCCTGGCCATCACACACCCGGGATACGTGGCCTTCCTCACGTACGACGAGGTGAAGGCCAGGCTGCTCAATTTCAAGGACAAGCCCGGCAGGTGAGGCACCGCTAGAGGAGCTGGCCGCTTAACCCTCGCCCGCACATGCCATTTTCCCATCCTAGAACGCACATGGGGGGGGGGGGGTTGCCACCCCCCCCCCCCGCGCCATTTCGTTCCTGTTGGAGATAGAGCTTAGCGGTAAAGACCAAAAAGATTCTTTGGGAAGAGACGAATCCAATGATACCCAGTTTTACCTTCTCAGGTCAGTCGTTGACCTTCCAGGTCAGGTCAAACTAAAAAATGTTGCTGTTTTGGGTCACCGTTGGATATCAAGTGCGCTGCTTATCAAATACCGATGACGATGCTGTTTTCTGGTGCCAGGCCAGCTAGAACCTCTTTGTCACACTACCCGACCAGAATTTTGCGGCTGAGGTCATTTCAGGTCAAGTTAGGTCAAGGTCAATTATATGTGTTCGCATGTCTGTGTGTGTCTGTGTGTATACTGATGTGTGCACCGATTGTTTTTGGGTCCATATTACATGAAATCATGCTCTGAGAAGCTTTTACCAAAAATGCAGTCAAAAAAATTCAAAAAAGTAAATTCAGCTTGCCTAAAACGCAATTATCTTAGATGACCTAGGTTGACCTTGACCCTGACCTTGACCCCTGTACATCGTCGAACAACATGTTCCATGATAGGTGGGAAGTAATACTGGCAAAAAAGGCCGAAATCAGGGTGTCAAAAGCTCGCAAGACCCATGGCAAACGCAAGATGTTGAGAATTGGCCATTTGGGTCATGACATGACCTGAAAAACAAGGTCATATCTCCGAAACCAAAAATCACAGAAACTTGAAATTTTCAGTGGACATCAAGAAAGGATAGAGGAGCAGCTATACGAAAAATCAGCGTTCTAGCGCTAAAAATGTTGAGTGCAGAGCAGAAAGACTACCTGGGGGGGGGGGGGTGTGGCAACCCCCCCCCCCCCCCATGTGCGGGCGAGGGTTAATATCTTCAGCATGCTGTTGAAGGAAGGGTAAATTTGGTGACGCGAAAATGCTCACAGTTTCTTTGTTATGGCCAAACGACGCGTCTTTGGGCATGTTTTGCTGTGGTTGAATTTCGAGCCATTCCAGTGACGCGCGGAAAGTGAGTTTTCGAAGGCCACGCCGATATTGACCTCAGTGTCTTATTCAGCTGTTTTAGGGTTGTTGACATGTTCTGCATACCTATTATCTGTCATCTTTCTTTTCAAGCATCACCAGCACATGCATTGAGCATTGAACGTTGGTGTCGCCTTCTCGACAGTGGCTTTTTTGTGCAGACAGTTTTTTTCTGGCTAGGCTGTCGTTAATCTGAGAGGAACCTAATGTTCTGTTATAACGTCATTCACTTCCTGTTTTATTCATGATTCATGAGCCGCAGATCTCATCACCTTCCTGTCCTTCTTAGCGCCAACGTCTTGAACATGCATTCGATTTGCATTACTGTCTTAGTTTCGTCGTTCCGTATCTGCTGTTAAATTATGCATGCCGAGTAGTTTGGCAGAGCGTGAAACCGCATTCCAAAGCTATGATGTCAATATGCCGAGCCGCACTGAACCTGTTACGATAGTGGTTTATTGTTTTGTTGCAGGGCAGTAGCATTTTTTCTGCTGGGCTATTCAAATGTTCAAAAAGAGGACTGCCCTTTGTGCAGTTGTGCTGAACATGCTCTTGTTGGGGAAGAAAGGATAACGAGATGCCTTTTCCTTTTCCTGTGGTTGTGTGACATGAATGTTTTCAGTTGTGATTTGGTGGTAGCTGCATTCTCGGCCCTGGCCTCCCGGTAGTGGCACTATTTCCTCGAAGCTGCACTGGTTCTCGCTTGGTGCTAGATCCAGCTTATTCCCCACCATATCCTCTCTTTCTACACTTGCATCTACCACCATAAAATATTATGCATTATGTCGTGGTAATTGTTTACTCTGTGTTGTAGCCACTAAAGGCACCAAATGCCCCTAACATAATAAGTCACATGACCACTGAGCCCGCCAACCCGCTCCCGCCGTTTACAGCTACGTGTTCCGTCTGAGCTGCACCCGACTGGGCCAGTGGGCCATCGGCTACGTCACCACAGACGGCAGCATTCTGCAGACGATCCCGCAGAACAAGAGCCTGTGTCAGGCGCTGCTGGACGGGCACCGGGAGCGGTTCTACCTGTACCCGGACGGACAGGACGAGAACCCCGACCTGTCGTGGGCCGTGCAGGCCACGCCTGAGGACCACATCCGGGTGAGAGCGCGTGACTGATTTATTGTGTGTGATTGAGACGGAAGGGAGGGAGTTTTACTGCGCGAAAGGTTGGGAGACGGGGTCGTCAGTCACACGGGTGGAATATGTGCAGTGTGCACTTTGGTGAATTTTTTGGAGTCTGACTGAGTAAAATATGTTTGATTGACCCATTTAAGGGTACCTGATCGCGACTATTATCCTATTTGCCGCGGGGCGACCTGTGTCTTGCTTTTACCACGATCCCAGAAAATATGTGACAAAGTTTTACAGGGATAGTACCTATGAGATCTGCCTGCCCATTTTCCGTATGGTAAGCGTGCGACTGACTATTCGATGTTGTGTAAAATTAACCCAAAAACAGTGCATTTTCACGTTCCAATAAGCCCCCACATCGCCTCCCCTCATCATCGCCAACCTAGAAGCAGTATGGGCTCTACCTAGCCTGTTAAGTGTTTGTCTGTAAAGCGAGTGACACTAACGCTTCGTTTTCAGGTGACGCAGGAACAGTACGAACTGTACTGCGACATGGGCAGCACGTTCCAGCTGTGCAAAATCTGCGCCGAAAACGACAAGGATATCAAGATCGAGCCGTGCGGACACCTGCTCTGCACACCCTGTCTGCAGTCGTGGCAGGTGGGCTGAGGGGTGGGGTGCTAAATTTCTAGGGACGAAAAATTATCTCCAGAGGTGTCAGTGTTCAATTCCACCCAGCGCTTTTAGAATGGGACTTGAACGTGGTCTTGAATTGTGGGACTTGAATTGTGGTCAGTCCCTGTCCAGTTGTGACAGTTTGATCCATCCTTATAATGACTTGTCTTTTTTTAGAATTGGCTCTTCCTTATGAGCTTTAAGAGTGCCATGTTTGTGTCATTTGCCTTAAATGAGCTATGCTATTGACTCATTGGGCATCTTTGGGTCAGCCTGGCATCTCTATATGACTTTGATACTGTAAACGGCATCATTCACGTTACGAGTTCGTGACATTGCCGTTCGTCGTTGGAAGTGTTTTACCATTCCCTCATATGGACTTATGGAGGTGTATATATGTCGAGTGTCTGGGGGCTACTGCGCCTCTCGAATGTTCCGGTAACCTGTCTGTGCGCTCCTGCAGGACTCTGAGGGCCAGGGCTGCCCGTTCTGCCGAGCCGAAATCAAGGGCACCGAACAGATCGTCGTCGACGCCTACGACGCCAGCCGGGCGAGGGCGCGCGTGCGTCGGCTGCGTCGCGACTGCCCACTGCCGCCGCCGCCGCCGCCACCCCTGCCGCCGCACCCGTCCTCACACGCCGCCTCAAACAGCCAGCAGCTCTCGTGACGGCCCGCCGCCTGCCGGCCGCGTCTCGAAACCAAAGTGTCCGCCCGGCCGCCGCACGGCGCTGGCGTCGGGTGGCCAGCCCACTTGTTAGCCTTGTTCAATACGCTTAGTACTTACGGCGCGATTCGCGCGGCCGGTGGAGATGGAAGCCACGGCACGGCACTGGAGACGCATCAGGGCAGTGTAATGGACAGCTCAGCCGCTCGGCAGTCTACTGCGGGATCCGATGGTGGACGAACTATTACCTACTGCCGGATGCCAGAACACTGGAGACAAGCGACGCTGTGGCATAATCTGATCGTGGCGAGTGCGACATTTTTCCATAATGATCTGCTGTGAAGGCTCATCTGTGTGATTCGTACGCTGGTATGATGCGTGGGCGAGGTGGACTCGATATGCCTCAGCTGTGGTTACGAGTCGATCCGTCTCAAAACGTTCCGTTATGCGTGGGGATGACTGGAGCTCCGGCTCTCACGCCTACGTGGTGTATCATGCAAGTTGTGCGGCGTGGGCCTGCCCTGGCTATACGAGTTACGGTGTCTCGCTCGGCTACGCAGCGTGCTGTAGACGGGAATGAGGGACCGGAATTTGATAAACTAGATCACCAAATCGACACCTGCTCACGGTTCCCACTGCTCTCTACTTGCCTTGGTCGGCCCTGCTGGGGATCCGGACAAGAAACACGTTTAGTTTCTGTAGAAATGCTCAGCAGTGTGTTATTTTTGTCAGTTGTCACAACCCAGCTATCTGTGTTCTTTGCCAGTCGGGATTATGTTAGTGCTGTCCTTGGGTCAAGAAGAAAATCAGACCCAGGAGATGAGAGTTTGTCATTTTCCATGAAAATGATGATCGTGTAAGGAATCTAGGACTAGTAAACCGAAAAGCCGCGTATGCCCACCGCAGATATGTAAAGAAGTGGTAGGTTTCGTTCAAGGTCCGGGATATGTCCTCTGTGAAATCGCCCAATTTTGGTGGCTCTACCGCTCACTGCTCGGCTCTTCTCTCGCTCCGTGCGATTAGCCACAATCGGATCCATTCGCCGTCGTATTCGCTATCTCGTTTTGTCACAGTTCATCAGGTCCTTGGCTGTCTGTATGGGTGATGTCGTATTTTTGCTATCCTCGTCGCCCGCGCCGAGTCTGTTGCCTTTCCGCTGCGCCGTCGCACGCTGTTACCGCAATGTGGCGTCTGTCAATGCTCTTTTGGGACGCCCCGCCGCTCTGTGACCGGTCCATGAGTGTTCTCGAGAGTAGACAGATGGGCTCCCGTTTCAGTGCACTGTTCAGATGCGAGGCCGATTTCTCAGAGATGCTGCATATTAGTATGGTGCGGGCGCGGAAGCAGCGCTGTTGTTTAGTTGTGTGTATGTGACCGGGTTCTGTGTGTATCTCTGGTGATCTGAAAGTGAATTCTGGGGCGATCTGAGTGAATCCTGGGACGATCTGAGTGAATACGGGCATGCGCATGAGATTCTACAAGAGGAGAAGCCATCCATTATATTTGTACAAATGGACATCAATATACAAATATTCTTGTACAGAAACTCACATTGTCTGGGGCAAACGAGACAAATCATGCGATCAAAACAAAGTCACGGTGTACTAGTAAAAACAGACTCGGCACATGAACAAAAATCATGCAACACTTCATCGCTATCGAGTATACCGAGATAAGCAGTCTGGCTCCTAGCACTGCCACCCTGCCGCCTGACGGCCAAATGCCGTCCGCCATTCCACTGAGCGCGAGCTAAGCACAGAAACTGGCCCTAGTTGGTGTCTGGGTAGGGGGAAGTAAAGTCGGAGACCTAGAAACGTTGTAGGAAAACTGTCCAAGTAGCGTTATCACGCTGAGAGGTGGCACACGATCTATGGGGCAATTAGAACAGGTAGGGAGCCTTGAGACTGGTCCGGTCCGACTGCGGGGTTTATCTGAATTCACTGCTGACTGGTGACCCGGCACCCGGGCGGTGCGTGTGACAGCTCATGACTCGGTTCGTAGTCACCTCCGACGGTTCCCGTCGCCTCCGATGATATGTGACATCAACAAACGATGACCTCGTGAACATGATCCGTCGCGGGCAGGTCGGCCTTCCAAACAGGGAGCACCGCTCAAAGCACACCGAACGCGTCTCACATCCACGCGAGCGACAAACAAACGCAACGCACGCGGCAGGCATCACATAAATAAACGAGCGCACGGCGGGCGCCTCTCCCCTCCCTCCCCTCCCCTGGTTACACCGACGTCTCGCTGCTAAGACGGAGCACGAATTTGTTACACTTTGGGTCTATGATCTCCTCTGTGATGTTAAAGTGGGGCAGCTTCACCACGGTACAGAGTAACGACACGTCGTGCTGGCGCAGCTGGAACAGCGTACCCTCAGCCACAGGCCGGGAGAGCAACGTGTCACACACCAGCGCCCAGCTCTGGACCGGCCGCGCCTCTCGCTCGCCCTCCAGCACCGGCGCCGGCGCCAGGTAGCGCTCGAGGAAGGCGCGCGGCGCCAGGTCGTGCGCCAGACACTGCGCCAGGTGCGCCAGGATCGCCTCCATGGTGTGGCGCGGCTGCTGGCGGGTGACGCGCAGGTACTTCTGCAGCGGGCGGGCCATTGTCGGAAAGATGGCCTGCGCCGCCTCGTGCGGGTCCATCGGGATCGCCGGACCTGGGGAAGAGACAGCGGAAGGTTTGTTAAACACTGGGTAGTGAGCACCCCTCTGAGTGAAAGCCATGACCAGCTAGTCCCAAAGCTTAACGCTTCATACGAGAAGCAATCGATGAAACTGATGAAGCGATGAAACTTCTCGAATGCGAGAAGCAATCGATCGATGAAACTCCTCGACGACTCTTTATCAAATCCTGGTGACGAGTCTCATAACACATCATAATACACATCGGGGTGGTTTATGAGCGATTATGGTTTATGGTTTGCCACCCACATGGCCTTGGAGATAGGACGGGACAACGAAAAAAAACAACAACGAGGAAACCTCCTATTGAGCTAATAGCTCTCTGGCCAACGCTTTAGGGGAAAGGCGTCAAGCGACCGTCTACCGAAAAAGAAGACGGCATGAGAGGTAAACGATTCCTACTTAGCCAGTAATAAGCTCGACTGAACGTCCAAGCCAAAACAGTTTGGTGATTCAGCATTGTGTCGAGGGCTTACTCGGGGAGACTCGAACGGAGCGTGGCTGCTATGGCCGCGTCCTTACATACCTGATGCCATTCGCAATGTTTATCCGCCTAGCTAGCTAGGCCAAACAGTCATCACGCGAGCCCAAACACCTCCGTCCCTGCAGCCACCATCTGTGCCATCTCCTGACGAGAAAACTACCAGAAAAACGTGCGTCGGCCTGCGCTCCGATCCGTTTGCGTTCCGCCGGCCTAAACACACGTGCGGCCGTGTCCTGCGGCGCTCTGTCTCCCCTGTGCTCTCTCCGTCGGTCAAACAGTCGGTCTCGGCCGTTAGAAGGCGGCTGTTTGGATGTGCCGACAGCGAGAATACACGGTGATCTGTGTCGGCTGGAGGTAAACGAGAGGGAGACGGCGGCGCCGGGAGCGCGTCTGTCGGCAGGTCCGTGTTTGGATGTAAAGCAGCGGAGAGGTGGGAACTGCAACGGTAAAATGGTAGTGGAGCGGTAAGGGATACGTCCTGAAGTGTAGTTGATCGATATGAAGCTGGAGGCATAACTAATGTTATACGGGGCTTGCAACTTAAATCGCTTTATGGCTTTATGGCTCGGCTTTATGCTGCCAAAGGTGTGTGCCTGTTGTGCTGGCTGTACTCGTACTTACGTTCTGCTTCGAATTTGAGTCGGTGAGTGCGCGTTTCCGAGACATTGATGTAAAGGTATTCCTAGTTAAAAAGGGGAATCAAGTTTCCCTCTAGCCCTCACTAGATCAATATCCGTAACAAAAGAACATGAAGCGACATCTTATCAACCCGCTCGAAAGCATTCGACAACTGAAATGGCGTCACCACATACATCCGAAACCAATGAGCCTGTTTAACAACCCTGGTCACCATGTTGTGAATGGCTCTAGCCGTTCAGCGAGCGGTTGCATCACGGTTTGACCGGCTTTGGCCCGTCTCCAAATTGGCCGGAGGCGGGTCTGGCTCGCCGAGCCGTCTACCCTCCCCGTCTGCCCCCCCCCCCCCCGTCCTGTCGGCGTCGTTTGACCTCCCTGACCCGGCGCCGCTGTCACTGCCAATCAAACGCCAGGCAGGCGTAGCGGGACGGGGCGAGTCCTGCAGGCTGGCGCATCAGTTTGGAATGTCGCGCTTTGTCGTTTTCAGTGAACACAAAGAAAATGTTTAAGACGGTGAACTATTCTAAAAGCGTCATCTATAAGCCAACATTTGAAAGAACACGCTTGATATAAAGCTGATGGTTGATCACTCCCACGGCATGGCTAACTTTCGTTGCATTCACACTGATATGGGTTAGCAGATACCTATGTATACGGACAAAACGTTGCATCACTTTGTCCGTCCTACCAGCCTCTGTCAGCACTGTTCTCCTGAGCTGCACATACGGCCATCAAACGCGCTCTCGGAAAGGGGACCTTGCAGACTGGTCGGGGACGGGGGGAGGGGCGATCAGGTGCAAACAAAGAGATGAGGTACGCTACCTGGACCCTGCAGGTCCGCATATAGGAGGCCGTGGCCCACGGAGCGGAAATGCTTCAAATAGCGATAGAATCAGTCCCTATGAGGATGGCTGTCGTGGATGATCCGCACTACAATGGTTCAGTTGGAATGGTTTTGGCGGCATATTGCGAGACATTGGAAAGACGCGCGGTCCTCTGACGTGCATTTGACAGCAGTAGAATAGCATGCGAATTGCGAGGAACATTCCGCTCCCAGCGTGTGTGAACGTATTAGAGAGACGAATCGACTATTGCGCATTCTGAGGAAGACGACGGTTTCCGACTCAGCCCAGCGCAGCCGCAGTACCGTCCTCACATACATCCAGGCAATGAGCTAACGTTGTTTGGAGGTCTGGCTGTCGGTCGCTTATGTTCGGACGGGCTTTGTCCGTATCAATACTGACACTCGTCGGCAGACGGCCATCTGATTCGTGACGGCCTCGGACTAAAAACAGTTTCAGTTACTTTTTCAAGTTTTACTGACGTTCCTTCGGTGCTGACTGAGCTACTGACAGTAGGTGTCTGAATTTCAAAATAACTAAAGCACAATTGACTCTTACAACACTGTCCAAATCCCAATATTTCGTCGACACCATCGTGCTCTTATCGCTGCAACGTCATCAAATAACTCACTAGGTGCTGTTCAGTCAGGCGCCCCCGCTCAGTATCCGGCTGCACAGTGGACAATGCCGCTGGGTCGTTTCAGTGCTATTGAAAACACAGACGAACCGTTTTAGCCCGACACCATCCAGCACTTTGGGCACCTACTGTAATATTCGCCGTGAATGGCCTACCCTCGGACCGTGAATAGTGCAATGAAATACCGCGCTGCTTAGCAGCGGCCACATACTGTCGTGAGCCGTGGTCACAGCTTAGCCAAAGTACCGACCACAACGACATGCAGGCAGCAGCTGAGACAGCCTGTACAGGGTGTCCGGATAGTTCTGGCGCTTTTCAACATTTTCTAAAACAAATGCCATTGGTTCATAGATACTAATCAATGGATCAAAACAATGACCAGGGACACCAAGCCACATGCTTCCGCTACGTGCTCATTCAATGTAACCACCGTCGGCGCCGACGACGGCCTCGACGTAGGGGAGGAAGCGCCTGCGGGTTTTGACGATGCGGGACATTTCCAGGTCCTCCCATGCTGTCATGATGCGAGTCTTCAGCGACTCCAGGTTGGGGTGAGAAATGGCCTAGATCCTGTTCTACAAAACGCGTAGCACGCCTTAGTCGAGCGGGTCAGGTTAGGAGAATAAGGCGGCCTAATCTCATTTCGCCACGGTGATCTGGCCCGGCAAGCTCCTCTGTCAGTTTAGCTTGAATGGCAGCGGCGTTGTTGGAGGGTGCTCTGTGCTGTTGAAATGCGAAGTGACCTTTAGGGCATGTCGTCTTGACCCTCGGGTTGATGTGGCTGTCCAGGAACCCCTCGTGGGCCAGCCTGTTATTCATTTATTCGACATTGACGAAGATGATGGGACATTTTTGTCCATCAGACCCCCGCACTTTCTTCGATTGCCGCGCTGAAATGCTGCTCCGTTCCCATATCGCGTTCGAAACGGTCTGAGGATATTTTCTAAGGAATTCCCGAGTCGAAATAAACCTTTACCTGCTAAACCATTCATCGAAAAACGCCGCATCGCGCTGCAACTCGCGCCTCGTTCAAGTCGCACCCGGCCGCCGCGCGCAGGCATTCAGCGACAAGGCGCATCTTCGCCCATCTACCCAACTGAAAACGATTTCAAGGTCATATTTACACGACCCCTGGCTGAGCAATCAACGAGGGGTCATGTCTGTGATGATTGGCTGAATGTCCAATAATCACAGCGCGCGTTACACGGCGTCCAAAAGAAGCGCCAGGACTTTCCGGACACCCTGTATGTGGCGAGGGCC